ACATGAGCTTGGAAAGGGCCAGAAAATATAGACAATGCACAGACAAGACCAAACACCCCACAGCCATCTCACTAACAGCCCACTCTAACATAATTGATTCTTCCCACCACCCAGTCATGGGTTGGGGTGCTGTCACTATCCCCTCTTCGAGAGGAGGACAACCCCAAGACTTGCCCTTCCAGCCAGCGCAGCCTACTTAGCCTGGGGGAGCAGCGCAGGAAACCACCCCCCCTGGCCTGGGAGGCCTCCTGTGCGGGGGGCACCTGCTGGGGCTCCCTGGAGATTGCCTGTCCCTGGTAGGAGCTGACCCCCACCCTGTGTCTTCCCCAGGCACCGGCTGCAACGCCTGTTACATGGAGGAGATGCAAAATGTGGAGCTGGTGGAAGGAGACGAGGGCCGCATGTGCGTCAACACCGAGTGGGGTGCCTTCGGGGACTCGGGCGAGCTGGACGAGTTCCTGCTGGAGTACGACCGCATGGTGGACGAGAGCTCCGCGAACCCCGGTCAGCAGCTGTAAGGATGTGCCCCCGGCTGCCTCGGGCTGCTCTCACCAGGGTGCCCGGCCCGCCCACAATTTTCGGGCTGTGTGCAGACAACACGGGGGAGAAGTTCAGTATGACCCTGTGTCCTGGGGCCCCCAGGGAACAGGTGAATGCGGGGTGTGTCGGCAACTGTGCTTAGAGAATGTGGTCTTCCCTTTCCCATGAGCAAGCACAGCCCCTAGACGCCCCCGGCATAGCCCCTAGACGCTCCTGGCACAGCCCTGGACCCCCCCTCCCGGCACAGCCCCTAGACGCTCCTGGCACAGCCCTAGACCGCCCCCCCGGCACAGCCCCTAGACGCTCCTGGCATAGTCCCTAGACACCCCTGGCATAGCACCTAGATGCCTCTGGCTAAGTGCAAGCTGTGCTTGTGCAGAGTGGACAGTGGCATTTTGTGGGACACTGGGGGTGATCGTCAGCCACAGCTGTCGTGGGTCAGCACTGGTGACTTCACTTCCTGCGGCACTGCAGCTCACGGCACTGTCGGTGAGAAGTGGGCAGGACTCACAGGGCGTAGTAACTGTGGGGCCAGCAGCTCAGAAGGCTTATCCTCCCCTGGCTGAGCTGAACATACAAGTTCCCAATGCTCCCTGTTCCTGGGGTCCCAAAGGCTGCCAGCACTGCCCCGCGGTCTTCCAGTGACCAGAGCGGGGCAGTTCAGCCTCCCTTGTGGTGGGCCAACCTGTGTGACTGGGGCGCCTGGTGTTCAGGTACGAAAAGCTCATCAGTGGCAAGTACATGGGCGAGCTGGTGCGGCTGGTGCTGCTCAGGCTGGTGGACGAAAACCTGCTCTTCAGCGGGGAGGCGTCGGAACAGCTGCGGACGCGTGGTGCCTTCGAGACACGCTTCGTGTCGCAGGTGGAGAGGTGTGCAGGGCGCATGGGTGGGGGCGGGGCTGCCGTGGGCCTCACCGTGCCTCAAGGCACCATCCCCGGTGCTCCCGGGAGGGCAGACACCCTGCTCTTGGAGGGGGCTGACGTGGGCAGGAGGCTGCTGGCCTCTGGCGCAGACGGGCTGCGACCCGCTCCGCTCCAGAGGCCAAGCCCCCCAAACCCTGCCTTGGGCAACCCTCAGCTGCCCTCCCACCCCGCAGCGACTCCGGCGACCGTAAGCAGACTTACAACATCTTGAGCACGCTCGGTCTGCGGCCTTCAGCCACCGACTGCGACATTGTGCGCCGAGCCTGTGAGAGCGTCTCCACACGCGCTGCGCACATGTGCTCGGCTGGGCTGGCAGGCGTCATCAACCGCATGCGCGAAAGCCGCTGTGTGGACGTGATGCGCATCACCGTGGGCGTGGACGGTTCAGTGTACAAACTGCACCCGAGGTGAGTCCCCCATCCCGCCACCTGTGCCTGATCCTGGAGTTGTTGTCCTGGGTAGGGGGACACCATGGGCACAAGGAGCCATGCAGACCTGCTTCTGGCCTTGCAGCTTCAAGGAGCGGTTCCACGCCAGCGTGCGCAGGCTGACGCCCAGCTGCGAGATCACATTCATTGAGTCGGAGGAGGGCAGTGGCCGGGGCGCAGCGCTGATCTCAGCTGTGGCCTGTAAAAAGGCCTGCATGCTGGGCCATTGAGGACGGCAGTGTGTGCAAGGCACCCCTGGCTCGGTAGGGGACAGTTCTCCCAGCAAGAGACCTGGCCTGGAGAGGCCCCAGCCCCCCACAACTAGCCTGGGGGGATGCAGTATATGTCCGGTGGAGTCCATTGGAGGGGCAGCCGAGAGGCCCTGCCACATCAAGGAGTGTGGCTCTCCCAGGACCTCATCAGTACACTGCCTGCCTCCCACAGCAGGGAGCTCACCCTACGTGGGCACCAGGTCCAGCGGCTGATCACAGAGTGGCTCTGGGGCCAGCTGAGGCTTGTGTGGGGTTTAAGCTGCTGGGAAGGGCAGGGGGAGGGTGGTGGTACTCCCTAGAGGATACTCCCAGGCGTCACCCTGAGTAGCTGTGTTCTAGAATGGACGTGTGGGGGCAATGCCTGGGGGAAGGGCCTACCTGCTCCCCCAGGCAGGATGGCCCGGGACTCAGCACCCTCCCCTGCCCTGGAACCATCCAAGCCCCTCTCCAGAGCCCCCTGCCCTTTCCATGCCCATTGTGGGGCTGTGTGGAGTTTTTAATTAAAAATGTGAAAGACTGGGACTTGGCCTGGGCACTGTTCTTTGGCTACTGCGCATCAGGACAATATGGGAAGAGCCAACACTGCGTGCCCTCAGATGCCCCTGCAGGCCCTGTACGTCCGAGCACATCTGGCCTTTGCAAAGAGCATGAAGAGTGACGGAACGACCATGGGAACAGGATGCAGTGATGTGGCGAGGGGCAGAGGCAATGGCAGGACACAGGAAGGCCTGGGTGCACACAAGAAGCAGAGGAGAAGTGGCATGCCAGGCACTGCTCTGCTGGGGGTGGGGGCGCTCTCTCAGAAGGGTCCTCTCCCCCAGAGCCACTTGGGAGGTGGTAGTCAGTGGGGGTCAGGGACTGGAGGCCCCGTCCGTGAGGCAGCCCTAGAGCCCATGCTGGCTGTGCGTCGCATCTCCCATGGGAATCAAAAGCAACGCTGTGGCTCCCCTTGGTTCAGGTGCTTCTCCCATGGGATTACTTGGGATGTCTGCTTAGCTCATCGGAACTGAGTGTTCGCGTGGTAGACACTTCAGTGTCAGTGGCTTCCCCCTTTACATGGTAGTGTGGAGCACTGCACTGATTGGTGAAGATGTGTGGGTAGGGCCAGCACTGAGCCCTGGCAGGTTAAACCACTGTCCGTGACATTGGCATCTCACATGGGGAGTGCTGGTTTGAGTCCTGGCTATTTCTGCTTCCTATCCAGCTTCCTTGTATGGGTCTGGGGAGGCAGTGGCCAAAGGCCTCAAGTGCTTAGTCCCCTGCCCGCTCATGTGGGAGACCCAGGTGGAGGTGCAGGCTCCTGGCTTTAACCTGGCTCCCACCTGACTGTTGTGACCATTTCTGGAGTGAATTAACAAATGGAAGATCCCCGTCTGTCTGTCTGTCTCTCCCTATCACTCTGCCTTTCAAATGTATAATAAAAACACAATTCCTCGGGCCCAGCGTGGTAGCCTAGAGGCTGAAGTCCTCACCTTGCATGCACTGGGATCCCATATGGACACCAGTTCGTGTCCCTGCTGCTTCATTTCCCACCCAGCTCCCTTCTTGTGGCCTGGGAAAGCAGTAAATGACAGCCTAAAGCCTTGGGATCCTGCACCCGCATAGGAGACCCGAAGGAAGCTCCTGGCTCCTGGCTTTGGATTGGCTCAGTTCCGACTGTTACAGCTACTTGGGGAGTGAATCATTGGATGGAAGATCTTTCTGTCTGTCTCTCCTCTCTGTATAATCTGACTTTCCAATAAAAATAAATCTTTAAAAAACAAAACCACCACAATTCCTGGTGGGTTACACATCTGAATGGAATGATCTCCATCTGCAACCAGTAAAGATGTTACAAAACACCACACAAGGGGCCTGGCAGCGTGGCCTAGTGGCTAAAGTCCTCACCTTGAACACGCCAGGATCCCATATGGGCACCGGTTCTAATCCCTGCAGCTCCACTTCCCATCCAGCTTCCTGCTTGTGGCCTGGGAAAGCAGTTGAGGACGGCCAAAAGCTTTGGGACCCTGCACCCATGTGGGAAACCTGGAAGAAGTTCCTGGATCCTGGCTTCGGGTCGGCATAGCATTGGCTGTTGCACTCACTTGGGGAGTGAATCATTGGACGGAAGATCTTCCTGTCTGTCTCTCCTCCTCCTCTCTGTATATCTGACTTTGTAATAAAAATAAATAAATCTTAAAAAACACACACACAGAATAAGGCTGGGGTCTGAGGGGTACAGGCACTGATGCCCCCCACCAGGGATCCCCCCACTGCCTGCCCTGCTTCTCAGCCCTCTGCCTAGCCAGATTGCCTAGCCCCGAGGTTGCTGCTCTGAGACACCTGAGGGCCCTGGGCTCCCCCACGGTCCAGAGGCACCCAAGGGCTCCAGGACCCAACTGGGGTGGTTCCTTGGGATACTTGGAGCCTGGGCACCATGCTCCATGGCTCCATGCAAACAGCATCACAGGTTGCAGGTGTCCAGAGGCCATCCTCAGAACCACTGCCTCCACCTAGAGGGCCCTGGGCCGGCCTTCACCCAGTCATCCTGGTGGGCCAGCCAGATTGTACCACATGGGCACAGCCACAGGGGGTGACACGTACCCTTGGTTCAGCACTTTGGGCTGGGCTGCTCTGCTCAGGGAGGCAGAGCTTGGCTCTGCAGGCCAGGCAGGCCCCAAGGTGTCATACACTGGGCGGAGGGGAAGAGCACCAGGAATGTGGCTGGAATCTGCTGGGCCCCTCATTCTCTCCCAGCTCCAGCGGGGGCTGCCAAGTTTGGGCCTGTCCTCTGGACCTCGCCTTATTTGGAACTCCAGGTGATAAGGCTGGGACATAAAGGGGGCTGGGCCCTGCAGCTGGGGGAACAGCCGTATCCCCTGAGCGAGGATGGTGAGTGCCTGGCCCCGGGGTCAGGGCCTTGGGGTGGGGGTGGGGTTCTCCTGGGAATGCAGAAGACAGAATGGGAACCCCCCCACACACACCCCTATGGCGTTGCAGGCCAGCAGGAAGGCGAGCACCCGAGGCAAGGCCGCGGCCACCAAGCAAGCCCAACGTGGCTCCTCCAATGTTTTCTCCATGTTTGAGCAAGCACAGATCCAGGAGTTCAAGGAAGTGAGTGTCATGGGCACTGCCACCTATTCCCGCAAGTCCCCTGCTCTGTGCCCTCACAGTGCCCCCCGCCATCCACCTGTTGTCCTTGGGCTGGGAACTGTCCCTACTGAAGGTCCCTTCCTCACAGGCCTTTAGCTGCATCGACCAGAACCGCGACGGCATCATCTGCAAGTCAGACCTGAGGGAGACCTACTCGCAGCTGGGTGAGCGCAGCCCCTCCGTGCCCCCATCCTAGCTTCCACCTCCCCTGCCCCTGCTCTGGGCTCTCTGTTCCCTGTGCTCACCACCTCTGCCCCCCACCCCCAGGGAAGGTGAATGTCCCTGATGAGGAGCTGGACGCCATGCTGCAGGAGGGGAAGGGCCCCATCAACTTTACTGTCTTCCTCTCGCTCTTCGGGGAGAAGCTCAACGGTGAGCCTGGGCCCGGTCTGGGCTGCCTTAGCCAGGTGGCCAGTGTGCACCACAGGGACCCCCTGCCCCAGCACACACCCCCTGTATCCCACAGATGCCCAGTGTGCACCACAGGGACCCCCTGCCCCAGCACGCACCCCCTGTATCCCACAGATGCCCAGTGTGCACCACAGGGACCCCCTGCCCCAGCACGCACCCCTTCATCCCACAGATGCCCAGTGTGCACCACAGGGACCCCCTGCCCCAGCACGCACCCCTTCATCCCACAGATGCCCAGTGTGCACCACAGGGACCCCCTGCCCCAGCACGTACCCCTTCATCCCACAGATGCCCAGTGTGCACCACAGGGACCCCCTGCCCCAGCACGTACCCCTTCATCCCACAGATGGCCAGTGTGTACCACAGGGACCCCCTGCCCCAGCACGCACCCCTTCATCCCACAGATGGCCAGTGTGTACCACAGGGACCCCCTGCCCCAGCACGCACCCCCTGCACTAGGCCTAGCCCACCCAGAGCACATGGACTACCCCTGTACATTATGCTCATATGGGGTCCAGGAAAATATCCCCTCCAAAACACCCATTCCCAGTATCTTAGCCAGGCCCCCCTGGAGGACAGCAAGGAGTGCCCCCACTCCCGCCCCAGGACAAGTGTCAGGGTTCACTCTGGGTGGGCCTAGTAGGCTGGCTCACCGGGTTGCCTGTGCCTCCCCAGGGACAGACCCCGAGGAAGCCATCCTGAGTGCCTTCCGCATGTTCGACCCCAGCGGCCAAGGGGTGGTGAACAAAGACGAGTGAGTGTGAATCCCCGCCCAGGCAGTGTGCTGGGGTGGGGTGCAGCCCTTGGGGAGCCCCCATCTGCTCACACACCCCTGAACCCCAGGTTCACGCAGCTTCTCCTGACGCAGGCGGACAAGTTCTCCCCGGCCGAGGTGAGGCTCCCTGGCAATCCATCAACACTGACCCTGGCACCTTGTCTGGGACCTGCCCTGACCCCCAGTGAAAGGGTGTGAGGGTACACACAAGGCCCCATGCTCAGGGCTGCACGTGTCCCTCGACCCCGGCCCTCTTCCAGACCACTCTCCAGGGTGTTAGGGCCTGGGGCTGAACAGGTGGAGGGCGCGCAGCTGGAAGGCCCCGGAGCCAAGTCTCAGCAAGCTGCTACCTCTCCAGGTGGAGCAGATGTTTGCGCTGACACCCATGGACCTGGCCGGCAACATCGACTACAAGTCCCTGTGCTACATCATCACCCACGGCGATGAGAAGGAGGAGTAGGGCTCATGCTCAATAAACAGCTGCTGAACCACAGCTGTGTGCTGGCTCCTTTGGGACAGGTGGGCTGGGAACGGGAGAGGTGGCCAGGGGCCCAGTGCGGGGCTCATCCCATGCTGACCCCACAGAGCCCCAGGGAGGGTGAGTGCCTTCTTTTGCCAGGCCAACCCCTGTTCCACCTCTACCTGGCCCAGGGACAAGTACAAGGTAGGCACAGCCCAGCTCCTCAGGGCCATGCAGAGAGGCCCAGCTGCCCACCTGGTGGTCCTAGGGACCCTGCCGGCACAGCCTCCACTTCCCTGGCACGTGGGCTCAGGGGACCTGCACTCCAGCCTGCAGTTTGCTGGGTTCTGCGTGAAGAGCCTGTCTGAAGAACACCCAGACTTCATGCTGGAAGTCCAGGCAGGGACCGGTTCTGAGGACAGTGGACCCTAGAGGTGGCCAGAGCAGGTGCCCCTGTTCAGCCTTGTGGGTGGAGGGGAGGGAATTGTCCCTGTCCCGTTCATGGCTCACCTGCAGAAACCTGGGCTGATGAGGAGGGGCCCCATCCTGAGAACTGAGGGGCACAGAGGAGCCCTGAGAGTGACAGAGAGAAGGGGCCAGACCACACACCCTACTCCTTCCTCACAAGGGCCGTGGGGATGCAGTCACAGCCACTGCGGAGTGGGAGGCGCAGAGGCCCCTTCCTGGAGGTCCCAGAGCAGGTTCAGTGCGGGTGCTTGTGATTCAACCATCTGATGCTTGCATCGACATCAGGTCTTGTAAGGGAACGCATCAGGCTCCCATCCCAATGGCGGCCAACGCAGCCCCTCTGGTAGGAAGTGTGAGGCTGTGGCTGTCACACATCCGCACATCAGGCCCATAGCAGCCACATGGCTGCTGGCTCTGCAGCCTGCACCAGGAAAAGAACCAGCTGACCCACAAACACTTGTACCTGGACTCACGTGACCACAGGTGTGAAGGGTGGGGGATGCTGGAGCCAGCCGCAGCACCTTCACTCCTCTGAGCTGCAGACTAGGCAGGGAAGCAGTGGCCTCAGTGACACTGGGGCCAGTGCCTGCCACCTACCATGGGCATGCTGGCTGTCCCTTTCCCAGGGCCCAGCCCACCCTGCACCCACCAAACTTGCCTGTCCTGACTACACCCGCTCCCTCAACAAGCACAACATCCTGCTGGTTCCCACAGCAGTCAGCAAAATCAATAAAGCCTTTGATGAGTGTTCCGTAGTATTTGTATGTGAGTCAAGATTCTGCTTTTTTAGAATTTCCTTTCACACTTCCAGTAGAGTTAGCTGGTGAGGCTGGACCTGTCTGTGCCCACACTGCCTGTGTTGGTGTTAGGTTGGGGGTAAAGCAAGGACCATGCATGTAAAATGCAGTGTGTGGTATATGTGGTATGTGCAGTGTGCATGGCATGTAGCACGTGGTATATGTGGATGTCCGTGTGGCAACAGAGAAATGGACCAAGATGGGGACTTGGGAGATCCTACTGAGGCAGCCACCTACTCCTGTGGCTCCAGGAATCCTAGGCTCCTGGTGTGACTTGGGTTATGAGGCAAGTGTGTCATGCACACCCAATCTTGAAGATTTAGTACAAAGCTGCAACACTTCATTAATAACATTCATATTGAATATATGGTGAAACAATATATTTTTGAGAGTGGATTAAGGTATTGCTAAATAAAACAACATGGCTTTGGATGTGAACTACTGCTAAAATTAATTTCATCTACTTTTTTCCCTTTCAAACGCGGTGAGCAGGGAGTTTTGAATTCCTGGGAGTCCCATGTGGCCCAGGCTAGATCTCATGAGCCTGTCCATGGACACAGCGCTCGGGCCACTCAGGGTCCCACCTTAGCCTGGAAAGTTTCCGTGAGGATGTGGGGGTCAGCATCTCTACCCTGGGGTGCTGAGTGCCAGAGTGTTGCTTACTTCCCCCTTTGGGGAAAAGCAGTCAGCAGGCCCAGGTGGCCACCCTGAGCATGTTGTCACCAGACTTCCCTGGAGAATGGGGTGGCAGAGGCAGAGCACGCACGTCCAGGCCAAGACAGGCTGCCTGCGACATACTCCACAGCCTGCTCAGCCAGTGCTGTTGCTAGCCCTTCTCCCTTCCTAGAAAGGATGGCTGGGCTGGTGGGAGCTTGTACAAATGGGGCCTCATCTTCCCTCCTGTGGACTCCCAGCCCTGTAACACCAACAGCCCCCAGCATGGCAGTGGTCCTGCCCTACCCCCATCCTGCATTCTTTTCTTCTCGGAGCTGATAAGAGAGCAGACAGGCGCCCCTCCCCGGCTCCTGCTTGGCATGAGGAGCATGCAACCCTGAGGCTCTGGTGGGGTGAAGTGGGGCAGAGGGGAGGCGTCCCAGGCACAGCCTGTGCTCCGGCTTGGGTTTCCCTGCACAGAAGCACAGGCTCCAGTCCTGCTGGGGGTGGGGAGGAAGGTCCTGCAGCCCTGGGAGGTTGCTGGGCTGCAAACTGCCCCTGCACGCTCAAAAGCTCAGTCGGGGCTTGAGCCCAGACTTAGCCTTCAGCCGCACTCACCTGCAGGTACAGCCCTGGTGTGGTAGTTTTCCCTTAAGAGACAAATGTCACACTGCCCTTCGCTCTGCCGCCTGCCGCACGTCCCCCTGGGACTATGAGGGGGGATACGGCTCAGTGCATGCGGGCCTCGCACACCACCCCCCTCCTCTGTCCACTTGGGTTGCACCTGCAGCAGCCACTGTTTGCAGCCTTGCATTCTCACAGCAGAACACAGTCCTAACCTGTGACTGCCAGGACCACCACCCGGCCACCAGATGGGCAGGAGGCGGCAGAGCAGTGCACAGGCTTCAGGAGCCCAAGTGTGGTTAGATGCCCTCTCCTGCCAATGCTTCCCCCACTCCTGCAGGGCTCCCAGCCCAGTCTCTGCCACCCTGGGCGCCTAGAACGACCTCTCCACTCTGTGGCTCATCCTCCAGGATGCGCCGCTGACATGCAAAGCCAAGCGGCTCCAAAATAGACCCTTATCTCCCCTCTTGCCCTTTCTCCGTCAGCAGCACCCTCCCCACCCTTCCGCCAGGAGCCCCTGACCTCCTACCCTCCACCACACTCTGACACACTCTCTCGGCATCCTCTGCATCTCTGCCCCTCCCAGCCGTCAGGTCGGCATGCATGGCCTGGTTGCCCCCGCCTCAGGGCAGCCATAGGTAGCTGCCTGAGGACCACACCCCTGCCAGTGGCCCAGCATAGGCTGTCATCAGCTGAGAGTCCTGCACATACCAAACTGTCCTTTTGAAGTAAGCACAAAGAGAATCCCAGGCCCTGACTTACAGACCCGCCCTATACAAGAGGCTATCATGTGCTTGTGGACAAGATGGGCTTGGCAGACCCAGGGAACTGCGGCTCATGGCCAGGGGAGCTGCCAGTATGTCAGAAGTCCCTGGGGGTGAAATTCTTGGGTGGTATTATTCTCCCAACACCCCACAACACAGACACTGATGTAAAATTAGTAACACTGCCAGAAAAGCCAGTGAACAGCCAATGATTTTATTTTACAAGATAAAGAGAATGAAAACAAAGGCACTGCTTAGTATACATATACACACAGACGCGAGGGCATTCCTCACGTAAGGGCTCTGCTCCGGACAGCTGTCTTGTGCTGTGAGTGGCCCCTATCCTACTCCGTCTCCAGCGAACACCTCACCTGACCCTGGTCCTCCGCCTCCGGGGGTGACCTGCACCTTTGCTCTGGAACAGTCCGGCTGTTCCGCTGCCCACCAGCCGTGGTCAGGGACACAGCACTATAACAGAAGAGCAGTGCTAAGCGGTCTCCTGCTTGCCACATCTGTTCTTCTCACCTCCTCTGGGGAGTGCTGGCCCAGGTCGGTCACCCAAGCCAACCCTGGCCGCCGATTCAGAGGCACCAGTCTCCCTGGGCTGGATGAAAACACGCTGGCTGCAGGCTGAAGTGTCAGCAGAACATGGAGTCACAGGAAGAGGCCAACATCTCACGAGAGGACAGCTGTGTGATGGCCAGCATCACTCCCGGCCCTAATTCCTGGACGCATAAGTGCTGGCCACAGGAGACAACACTGGCTGGAAGCATACACAGCCTTCTGGAGGACCCTGCCCAGCCGGCGCCGTAACTGAAAGCTGCTGGCTGGTGAGGCTGTCACGTCTGTAAACTGTGACACGAGTTTCCTGCTCACATGCTGCTGGGTGGAGTGACGTGGCGCCGTTAAGTCCACAGAAGGCAGGTCTGGGAAATCGGTGCCTGGGTGAGGGAGGAGAGTTGCAGCAGAATGCTCTTCCGGGAAGGACCAAATGCTGTGCACCCACGGCGAGGGCAGCCCAAAGGACACAGCTACCCACAGGGCGCTGAATGCTCACCTCGGGCAGTGGTGCTGGTCTCTGCTGCTGGCAGGCTGGGCACACAGCACTGGCTTGGTCAGATATGTCTTTGTTAAAGAAGCCCTTACAGCTGAGCCCACACACAACCTCTGTCTCAGCCAAGACGACTTCCTCCAGGCAATGACATGGGTGATTAGAGTGACAGATGCCTACAACAGGTCACTGAGGTCACCCTTGGTGGGCGTCCACACGTGATACAGACATCGTTATGTCCTCTGCCCACTTGGAGAGTTCACCCACAACACCTCCTGCCCTAACTGACCATTAAGTTTCCAATCTTGTTCCAAGTCCCTGACCAGCTGAGCTGCTGGCCACAGTTCACCGGCTGACGCTCAAGCACACATCCGGCTATTCTTGGGTACACCGGCCTGCAGCTGGCCCTGTCCTTCAGGGATGTCCCAGAGGGGCTGCCTGTGAGGTACCCCTCTCTAGGATGCAGAACCCCAGGTGCAACTGTACATCCTTCCATTTCCTGCTCTGCTCAATCAGGACAAGAACTGCAGGGAAAACGAGACCCTGCAAGCTGCCGTGACACGGGCCAGGGAGCGGGTACACCCCTCAGGCAGGACAGTGAAGGCGTACCACTGGCCTTGCCAGGCAACAGGAGATGCTCAAGGAGCAAACTGTGTCAGGTACAGCAATTCCTACTGCAATCACCACAGTTCATAAAAGTTCCAGATAACCCACTGTCATTCTCCAGGTCAGACAGGAGAACTGAATGGCGAGCGAGTGTGGGGACAGCCCTGCTGCCTGCGTATTCCAAGTTCACTTTTACAGCCCCTACAGGCATGCAGCTCTGGTTCCAGGCTACCGGCAGCAATCCTGCCAGCCGCTCGGCCTGTCCCGTCATGCTAGGCTCACACCACAAGTGAGCAGACCGACAGAGGGATTCTGCCAGCTGCAATTACACCTGTTCCAGGAACGCATCCCGGCATCCGGCAAATGGTCACAGAGCAGTGGAGGGCACTGCTACCACGAGGCAGACCTGAGCTGAAATCTTCTCATCCCATGGCCCTCGCACTAACTGAAGGCCACAGCAACTTTTTGGGTCTCCAGAAAGCGACGTCAGCTCAGAGCCAGAGCTGAGTCCCCGGAGGAGTTGACCACTGCCTTCTCCGTGCACTTAGTCTGGTTCAAGGCCGCAGGTCCCTTTGCAGGAAGGACAGAAGGATTATCATCATGTTTTCAGCATTGATCTGGGAGGACCTGCCTCAAACGGCCAGGCCTACTCTCCATTCTCTCCATTCGGTTTTAGGAACTGCTAAGGGCTATGTTTTCATGACCCAAGAGAGTCTTTTGTTTACTTGACCTGAAAAAGTTTTCTGCTTAGATTAAGATACAATCTGGGCTCTTTCTGGAACATCATGATCTATCTACACACAACAACGCTGACTGCTTCTTTGTCTCTACTGCTTATAGTGGCAGCTATACCCAGCTGGGGCTCCACACGGCCCAGGGCAAGCTGGTGGCCCCTGGCACGTCACAGCATGCCCACGGCGCTCAGGCTTTCCAGCTGTGCGATGGCAGTTCCCACAGTGAGGCCCGGCCCGCAGAGCAGAGCCACCACACAGCTCTTCAGGGACGCGGGGGCCGCCCTCACGAAGCGCTTTCTCACAGCAGCGCTCAGGAGCGCATCTTCGGGCCCCTCCCAGGGGAGGGGAGTCGAGCGTAAGTGACAAAGCCACTCGACCATTCCGATCTCCCTCAGCCTCTGGATGCCCTCCTCCACGGTGAGCCACGGGAGGTCGGGCATCTCCAGCTCACTGGCCGTGGGCCACCTCTTGACCCACGCCTCGGCCAACCAGCCAAACAAACTGTCAGAGCCCTTCTTGACGTCCTGGGCGGCGGCGTTGAAAGCAGGATCTTGGCTTAGGGCGCCCATGTCCACAAACTCGGCACGTGTCAAGTGGACGTCTTTCCCACCGCTCTCCCACACCCTGAGCATCCACTCCCAGGCTGGCTCCTCAGACTTCTGCTTGTACCCATCAGAAAGCTCCAGCAAGTCCTGGGGGCTGCGGCCTCCCAGCTCCGGGCTCACACTGTCGGCCTCCACCTCTGGGGCCAGCTGCGAAATGCGTCTGGCCACTGGTCTGGCCACTGGTCTGGCCGGAGAGACGGGTGCCGCTGGGGGGTCTGGAGGGGCGTCGCCCGAGCCCTGCCTGACCCCCGCTGCCCGGAAGGCCGGGACCACCTCCTCGGGGGAAGTGGAGTGAAGCTCCCGTGACAGAGGCGGGAAGGCCCACAGGGGCACAGTCGGGGAACCCGTGAGCGGGAACACAGCTGTCGCCGTCCCGTGGCCAGTGGGGATGATTCTGGGGGGCGGGAGGCCCATTTCCAGGGACACTCCGGCCTCGTCGAAGTTCAGGAGCTCGGCGTCCCCTGCTCCGGGGTCCTCCCACACGTCCCCGTCCCAGCTCGCCGGATCCCACTCTTTGCCGACCAGCGACCTCACCTTGGCCGCGGACACCCTGCGCGGCCGGGCGCTCAGCTTCCGCTGCAGCTCGGCCAAGCGAATGGCCAGGGCCTGTGTCTGGTTTTCGGCCACCTCGGCCCTGCGGCTGCACGCGAGCAGACTCTCCCCCAGGACGCTCTTGGAGACGCGGAGGTCGCTGAGGCGCAGCTGCAGCCGGGCCACCATCTCGCGGAGCTCCTCTTTCTCCTTCAGCACCTTGTCCAGGGACGCCAGGAGCAGCCAGCCGGCTTCGCTGTGCTCCCTGCTCCTGCACAAGTGCTCGAACGTGCCGTGGACGGAGTCACCCACGTCCTTGCCTCTCACGAGGGGCGAGTCGGGAGCATCGAACGCGTTGATCTTGCAAATCTCTGAGAACAGCTCCTGCCACGGGCTCCTGGGGCCTTCGGCACTCCCGGAAGTAGAGTCCTTAACACTTTTAGGTGTTGTCACCGGAAAAAGCCAAGTCCAGAGACCCCAAAACCAGTTAAGGAAACCCATGCTGAAAATTCGGGTTCCCCTAGAGCCCGTGGTACCAAAACGGATGTTGCGGCTCTGCAGAGAGAGCGAAACAGCAGCCGGCGCAGGTGCTGGGAGGAGACCGCCCAGCACGCGGACTCACGTGGAGGCGGCAGCCGGCACTCAAGGTCTGCAGGCCTGGGCTCTGAGCTCAAGGCCGGAGGCCTGAGGGCGGGGGAGGGGGCTGCGAGAGCCCCAAGGTCGGCGGGCTGGAGTTCTGGAGTCCCACGCAGCAGCCCTGGGGGATGGAGGGAGGGAGAGGAGTCGGCGCGTGTCCAGCGCTGGCGCCCCACCGATCGGCCAGGGCCACGCCGGGGGCGACCCTTCCCCACTGGAGGTCCACCCGGACTCACGCCAGCTCCTCTGAAACTTCCGCGCTCACCCCCCCATAGACGCCTCACCAAGGCATTCCCCAAGGAGCCCTAGCGGACGCCTGAACCACCACCACGACCTTCCAAGAGCCCGCCATGGCTCCGGGCAGGGGCTGGCGGGAGAAGCCGAAGGGATGGACCCTGCACCACGCCTCTCGCCCAGCTCGCCACCGCCCCACAGAGCAACCGCCCCGTTCCAGACCCTCCTCACTTTACCGTCGCCTGGGCTCCGGTGAGCCGGTCTGCACAGACGCCAGGGAGTCAGTCGCGCGCCTCTCCAGCACTACGACCTGCCCGGGGACCAGCACGCTGCCCAACGTGCACGGGGTCGCTCCGGCTCCCGGGCCCAGCCCCCTTCCGGGTTTCCAGGCATGCGCACGGGGTAAACTCGGGCCCGTCCCGCCCTTCCCCGCCTCGCGTTGCCCGGGAAACTGGCGGGGGCGTGGCTTCGCGTGGCTCCCGGGGCGTGAAGCGCGGGGACCGGCGGGATCCGGCGCACGATGACGCACGGACCCGGGCGAGAGGCGATTGGAGAACGGGGCGGAGCTGGCGGCGATTGGCGGGACACGCCAGGGGCGGGGTGGGCGCGCGGGGATCGGCGGGATGCGGCGCGCGGCGCGAGGAGCGCGTCCGGCGGGGTCGTGGCGGCCGTGAGGGAGGGTCGCGCTCGTGATCCCAAGGGTCGGAGTGTCCCGCCGCTGCCGCGTGGGGCTGCCGCGTGGGGCTGCGCTCGGAGCCGGCCGCGGGAGTTCTGAGCCCGCGGGCAGAAAGCGCAAGCAGACGGGAGGACGCCGTGAGTAGCCGGGGGACCTCACTGCGGCCCTCGGCCGTGGGCGCCTCGTCCTCCGAGAATCGGCGGGGCTGCGCGCGGGAGCCCGCCCGAGCTCACGGCCTGGGCAGAGGAGACGCGCGGGAAGCCACAGCTCACGGCCGTGGGCGACGTCCCCAGACGCCGCGGTGGGCGGCGGAGAGGCCAGATCTGAAGTGGGGCGCGGAAGGGAACCCCAGGCAGGGAGCTGTCAGCCCTGGGCGCTCTGCTCCACGGGGTGGGGTGACGTGGAGACCTGCAAAGTCCTGAGCAGCTCAGTGGGGACCCCAGGCAGGGAGCCGGCGGCCTTGGGCGCTCCGTGGGGTGACGTGAGACCTGGCCGGTTCGCTCTACTGTGGTTTTGGCTTTGATTACTTAGCAGAAGTTGACACTCTTACGATAGGCTCATTGCTTAAAGAAAGGCTGCTCTAGTGCCAGACAAGGGACAGGTGCAGGGGAGGTGGGGGGCCTGGGGCTCCCCTTTGCATTCCCCTTCTCTCCCCTTTGAGGGCACCGTGGCAGGGATCCCTCTGTGTGCCCACAGTGCCCTCCACCGCTGGCCAGACGCAGCCATGTTTTCCGAGCAGGCCGCCCAGCGTGCCCACACTCTGCTGGCCCCTCCATCGGCCTCCAATGCCACCTTCGCCCGTGTGCCTGTGGCCACCTACACCAATGCCTCACAGCCCTTCCGGCTGGGCGAGCGCAGCTTCGGCCGGCAGTACGCCCACATCTATGCCACGCGCCTTGGTCAGATGAGACCCTTTCTGGTGGCACGGGCGCGCCAGCATTGGGGTGAGTGAGTGGGGGGTGCCCCGGCTCAGCTACCCTGGCAGCCTGACCACTGCCCACGTAGGGCTTTCCTGTGTGTGGCAAGGGACACTGGAGTCATCTGTGGGTTTCCTGGACGCTGCCCACTGCTGCAATGACAGAGTGGCCCTCCTTGTCCTCTTGCGGGTTACCCCATCTTTTGGCCGGGGGGCAGGCATGGTTCGCGAGCACCCCTCTGTTGCTGCTGCCTTCTTCCTGTATTGGGGCTGTGAACCTGCTGTCCCCAGGCAGTGCAGGCCACTGTCTTGTCCCCGTCTTCCTGTGGTCCCAACTGCAGTTAGACACTGTGAGGTGTGCAGTGGGACCCCCGTGTCCTCCTGGTAGCACTGGGTGATCCCCCATGTTCTAGCCTTGGGATTTGTACACAGGGCCTTTCCATGTTGGGTTTATTTAAGATTTGTTTATTTGTTTGAAAGTCAGAGTCACAGAAGAGCGTGCAGTTCATTCCGCAATGGCTGTAACAGCTAGGGTGGAGCCAGACCCAAGCAGGGTCCGGCAGTTTCTGCCGGGTCTCCCATGTGTGCGGGGACCCAAGTCCTTGGTTCATCTGCTGCTTTCCCAGACCTTGAATAAGGAGCTGGGTGAGAATTGGAGCAGCCAGGACTCCAGCTGACCCTCACGGCGTGCTGACACCGCAGATGGAGGCTTGATGTGCTGCACCTTAGCGCCAGCCCTTCCAACCCTCTAGTCATTTTTTAATTCCTCTCCTGCCTGTCCCATTGCCTAGTGAGGTTGTTGTCGCTGAAGCTTAGCTTACTCACTGGCCCCTGTCCAAGCACCAGGCAGGTGGAGCTCAGCGCAGCTTTCACATTGGTACCCCCTCCTGGGGGCTCTAGGGGCTCTCGGCCCACCCACTCCATCCCAGGCTAGTGTCTGAAGCCTGCCTTGGGACCTGAGGGAGCAGAGCTGGCATACCACAGGGATCGACTGGCAGTGGGTGCACACGAAGCTGGAGTGGGGTGTTTTCATGAAGCATGTGGGGGAGGAAGGAGGGGGAGTGTGTCACAGACCGGTGTCAGAGCACAGGCCAGAGACTGGCACTCTGCATCAGTCCCCATCGGGGGAGCCACCCTGCTCCCTGCTCAGCCTGCACCCCCATCCTCCTCCTCTGGCCTTCATGGGCCTCCCCCGTTCCCAGTCTCCCATGGCCTCTCATGAGCAACTCGGCAGCCAGAGCTCCCTCCCCGGCCTGCTGCCCGCTCTCAGTCTGCGCCCCTCCCGGGCCTGCTCCCCACTCAGCCTGCCCCTCTCCCAGGCCTGCTCCTCACTCTCACCCTGTCCCTCTCCCCTGCCTGCTGCCCGCTCTCAGCCTTCCCCTCTCCCGGGCCTGCTCCCTGCTCTCAGCCTGCGACCCTCCCCGCTCTCAGTCTGCGCCCCTCCCGGGCCTGCTCCCCACTCAGCCTGCCCCTCTCCCAGGCCTGCTCCTCACTCTCACCCTGTCCCTCTCCCCTGCCTGCTGCCCGCTCTCAGCCTTCCCCTCTCCCGGGCCTGCTCCCTGCTCTCAGCCTGCGACCCTCCCCGGCCTGCTGCCCGCTCTCAGTCTGCGTCCCTCCCCAGCCTGCTCCCTGCTCTCAGCCTGCGTCCCTCCCCGGCCTGCTGCCCGCTCTCAGTCTGCCTCCCTTGCACACAGGCAGCAGTGTAGTAGTGAAGAAGTTGTGTGAGCTGCAGGCGGGGGAGAAGTGCTGTGTGGTGGGCACTCTGTTCAAGGCCATGCCCTTGCAACCCTCCATTCTGCGCGAGATCAGCGAGGAGGTGAGACAACGGAGCCAAGCAGTGCCCACAGCTGGGCCAAGGATGCTTCCCCAGGGCTACCCACTAGCCACCTACGTCAGTCCCGGGCCGGCAGCCCTGCGTTCATCTTCTGTCCCTGTGTTCTAGCACAACCTGCTCCCGCAGCCTCCTCGGAGCAAGTACATCCACCCGGACGACGAGCTGGTGCTGGAGGATGAGCTGCAGCGCCTCAAGCTGAAAGGCAGCCTGGATGTGTCACGGTTGGTCACAGGTGGGGAGCCCCTGGCTGGGGGTGGCTCATGGGGCAGCCTGTTCCCACCTGGGGGCAGTAGTCCCAGGCAGCAGGCGTCAGAACTAGAGTTCGGTGAGAGCCTTCCTGCAAGGCTGAGGGGAGCCCACTGCTGTCGTCCCTCTGGGTGAGATGCTGACACCCCTGCTCCCCAGGGACGGTCCTGGCGGTGCTGGGCTCCGTGAGCGATGATGGCAAGTTTATGGTGGAGGACCACTGCTTTGCCGACCTGGCTCCACAGCAGCCCGTGCCTACACTTGACACAGACAGGTGAGGGGCAGCCCTGGGAGGAGGCCCGGCCCAAAGAGAGGCTGCCTCCATCCTGGTGCCCTGCAGGACCCTGCCTTCCACAGGTTTGTGCTGTTGGTGTCTGGGCTGGGGCTGGGCGGAGGCGGTGGAGAGAGCCTGCTGGGCACCCAGCTGCTGGTGGACGTAGTGACTGGGCAGCTTGGAGACGAAGGGGAGCAGTGCAGCGCCGCCCACGTGTCCCGAGTCATCCTGGCTGGCAACCTCCTGAGCCACAACACACAGAGCAGGGATTCCATCAACAAGGTGCAGCACCTGCCTGGCTGCTGCGGGCCAGGAGGGCCTGCCTGGATGTTGGGTGCTGGGAGGGTCCAGGCCTAGCTCCCTGGGGATGAGGGCAGAGTGTACGGGGTCTGTGGACTGATTCAGCCACATCCCACTGGTGAGCTCTGGGTGTCCCTTAGACCCAAATCCCACTCAGGTGCCAAGTGGCCTCTTGGCTTTTACTTTAGGCCAAGTACCTCACCAAGAAAACCCAGGCAGCCAGCGTGGAGGCAGTCAAAATGCTGGATGAGATCCTCCTGCAGCTGAGCGTGAGCAGCTTGGGGGCCTGTGGGATCAGGAAGAGGAGGGATGGCCAGAGCAGGCCCAACCACCCTTGGGCTCCACGAGCTCCCTGCCCTGTGCCCTGCAGGCCTCCGTACCCGTGGATGTGATGCCGGGAGAATTTGATCCAACCAACTACACGCTCCCCCAGCAGCCCCTGCACCCCTGCATGTTCCCATTGGCCACTGCATACTCCACGTTGCAGCTGGTCACCAACCCCTACCAGGCCACCATTGACGGAGTCAGGTAACCAACTCAGTGACCACGGGCTTATCCTGGGCAGAGCGGGGGCAGGGCCGCCCGGAGCTTGCCGGTCCTCCACCCTTCCCTCCCGGGCAGCACCCCCTCTCTGGACTGGGAGTCAGCCGAGCCCTCCCTTGCAGATTCCTGGGGACTTCTGGTCAGAATGTGAGTGACATTTTCCGGCATAGCAGCATGGAGGACCACCTAGAAATCTTGGAGTGGACCCTGCGGGTCCGTCACATCAGCCCCACAGCCCCTGACACCCTAGGTAACAGCACTTCGATTCTGGGAGCCCAGGGTGCCATGGGGTTCCCCGCATGGATCTGTGTTGCTCCATTCTTGTTCTGGCTACTTTGGAATCTTGTTTTCCCAGCCAGGGCCTACTCAGGACTGAGGGCCCTACACGGTTCCCAGCACTGTGGGTACGGGCAGCAGGGATGTGTCAGCCTGGTCCCAAGGCAGTGTTACTGCCGCCAGGGTCTCTGCTGCTGGCCTCCAGCGGCTCCAGCACGAGCTCGTGCAGAGACCAGAGCCCTGCTGAGCCATCAGCTCCCCCACAGGTTGCTACCCCTTCTACAAGGCTGACCCGTTCATCTTCCCGGAGTGCCCACACGTCTACTTCTGTGGCAACGCCCCCAGTTTTGGCTCCAAAGTTGTCAGGGGTAAGTTCTATCTTCTGGGAGCAAGGTCCCTTGGGGAATGGACAGCCTGGAACCTATAAACATCTGTGTCCTCACCATGGGGGCCCGCTGGCTGGTGGACTGAGGGTGTGGGCCGCTGAAGGCATGACTGCCCCTGTGCCCACTGGGAGTCACTTGATGTGCCCCCAGGCCTGAGGGGTCTCCTGTGGCTGCTTTGTAGGCCCTGAGGACCAGGCGGTGCTGCTGGTGGCCGTCCCCGACTTCAGCACCACACAGACGGCTTGCTTGGTGAACCTGCGCAGCCTGGCCTGCGAGCCCATCAGCTTCACTGGCTTCGGGGCGGAGGACGATGACCTGTGCGGCCTGGGGCTGGGCCCCTGACCCTGTCATGGAAATAAAGCCTGTGTTTGCTCCTGGGATGTGAGCCTCGGGGACTGTGGGCTGCGCTTGTTCTCCTCCAAGGATACGGCAGGCAGTGCCACGAGCTGGTTTTATTGGTGTGACGTGGGCTCCCCATGGTGTGGCAGGAGTCCCTGCACGGGCCCTTGGCTGCTCCCTGGGCCCAGGCCAGGCCTGGGAGGCTCTCAGAAGTCCCCAAAGTTCACGGTGTACGTCTCCACAGTGGAGAAGGGGAATGTGGGGCCAGTGGCCTCCTCCTCTCCCCACTCCTCTGGCTCCAGCTCCTCCAGCTCTGTCACCACTTCTGTGTAGGTCTCGGTCTCTGTCTCCTCCCAGCCTGCTGAGGTCGGAGGCAGCAAGTCCCAGGGCGCCAGGGTGGGGATGGGGGTAGGGGTAGGGATGGTGCCTGTGGTTGGCATAGGGGTCGTTGGGGTCACAGGGCCTGCTGTGGTCTGGAGGCGTTGCCGTCTCATTTGCTCCCGCAGACGCAGGCGCTGCTGCAGGCGCTGCCTCTGCATACGCCGCTGCTGGGGGGTCATGGGGCGCGAGGGGTCGATGCGCAGGATGGGCCGGTTTCCGTTCATGGCCATGATCTCCCGGATGCGCTTCCAGTTGGAGCGGGCCAGCACGAAGTTGCACTGGGTGGCCCCGATGTCGTAGTCCACATTGCAGGTCTTGGAACTGGCTGTGTAGCCGTCTGCGTGCGCCGTCACGCGGTACTCCCCCGGGTTCAGGATGCGCCAGTAGTCGCCTCCGCTGGCTGCCATGGGAGGGAGGAAGGACTGGGTGGGCTGCCCCCTGCCTCTCACCTGGGGAAGGCAGGCAAAGGTGTGACCCTCGTACCTGTCTTCACCCCGTGGTTGATACCACTCACAGAGATGGTGGCATTGGCAATGGGGATGCCTTGCTCATCTGTCACTACCCCCTTGATGCCGCGGTGCACCTACAGAAAGAAGAGCTAGGTGTGTGTGGAGGGCCCACGCCCAGGCCAGGGTTCAGGTGTCCCCCCATAGCCCCACGTGGCCTGGCCCCACCTGCTCCATGAAGGTGAGCAGTGCCTCCTTGTTGTTCTCCCACTCACGGGGCAGCTCACTTTCGTGGGGGAACTTGTCGCAGCCCAGGTAGATGGAGAGCTCCAGGCAGTTGGTGTGCAGGTAGCTGAAGTCATTGATGGCTGGACAGGGACAGGCAGACCTGTGTTGAATCCTGCCCTGAGCCATGACCCTCCTCCCGACCCCTCCGGCCGACTCACTGCCTGAGCGGGGTTTCCACTTGGCCCCATTGACGATGCCAGTGCCACTGGTGTAGTCCTGGGCCTGGCACCCACCCCGGTAGGGCTCCGTCATGGTGAGATGGGCAGAGGCAAAAGAAATGGCCAGCCAGCGGAAGATGGCATGGTCAGGGGTCTCCTGGGCCTCAGAGACCTCGTCATCATCTTCGCCCCGGGCGGCCGCCATGGCTGCAGCCAGCAGCTGCTCCTGGCTGGGCGTGCGAGCCATGTCGTACGGGTAGGACACGAGCCTCTCGCCTCCGTTCAGATTTGCTCCCAGCACAAAGGGGTTCTTCTCCATCCAGGCGATGATGGCCCGTACCTCCGTGGACACCTGAGGCAGCCAGGGTCATCGTGGCACCAGCACCACCACCCTCCCCTCTCATGCATGCCCCTCTGGCTCCCACAAGCAATGCCCAAGCCTGGCTGTCTGCCAGCCCCTGCCCTGTTAGCAGGTTGCAGCTATCTCACCGTGGCATCAGGGGACAGGTAGCGCTCGGGGATGGGCAGGTTATTGTTGGGGACCCGGTAGGGGACCCATTTCCTCTCCTCGGCTCCCCAGAGCACGGTGTTGAGATCTGGGAAGTCCTCAAAGATGTCAAACCCCTCCTCCGTCCACAGTCCCAGCGCCCAGTTCCCGAACTCGGAGCCCTGTGGACACAGCCGACTCAGCAGCAGACCTGGCGCTGACCACCCGCTTCCCGCCAGGTCCCCTGCCACCCACCATCTGTGCTGCCACCTCGTAGCCGTCGGGGTTGAGGGACGGCACCAGGTGGATGCGTGTGTCCTGCACCAGGCTGCGCACGCGGGGGTTGCCGTCGCGATACTCGCGGCACAGGTACTGCATCAGCAGCAGCAGCAGCTCGCGGCCCAGCACCTCATTGCCGTGGATCCCAGCTGTGTAGCGGAACTCGGGCTCCCCTGCAAGGGCAGGGGCCGTGGCAGCCACTTAGACAACTGAGGCCTGCTGAACACCACAGGACAGACCTGTGCCCCAGGTGGCCAACACCTCTCAGGGCTGGACCATTTACAGCGCCAGGGCCTTGTCTGAGCCCACAGTGGGGGAAGGAGGCACAAAGCCCTGTAGGGATGGGGTGGGAGGGAAGCCCTGGCACTGTCATGGCCATGTTTGCAGGCCTTACCCAGCTCGTGCTCCCCAGGGTTGTCTGAGATCTCCATGGCGTAGATCTTGAGGCCACGTGAGCTCTTGCCTAGGCTGTATGTGCGTGTGATGGTGGGGCACTCCTCATTCACCACCTTCATCAGCTGAGGGAGGATGCCAGGTCACTGCTGGGGCCCCTCCCCCTGCCTATCTCCTGCATGTGCAGGGACAGATAACCCCTGCCCATCCCAGGCCCTGTCCTACACAGGAAGGCCAAGTCCCTGGACCCAGCGGGCCTGGGACATGCACTCCCAACCTGGCGCATGTCCTTGTAGCTGTGGTGCCGGAAGTCCAAGTTGTCTGTGACCACTACCTCGTTCTGTGCATAGTAGCTGTAGACGGCTGCAGAAGGGTACAGGGCGGGGCCCTGAGCCAGCTGCTCAGCACCCCCCGCCAGCCCCAAGCCCTGCCCCACCAGGCCCCAGCACTCACGGGACACAGGGCAGCCCAGCACCTCGAGGCGCATGCACAGGCTGCCGTTCCAGGTGAGTGGGTAGACACGGATGAAGCGAGCCACCACTGGCTCCGGAAGTTCACTCAGCACGGGCGTGTCCTTGTCCACGTTGCCGTGGAAGGTCTGGGGAGAGCAGGCCTCAGAGCAGCCCTGCACCCCTCTGAGAACCCACCCTGCCAGGAAGAGGGCAGATGGAGGGCCTGGCACCCACCATCTCCTCATAGCCGTTGGTGTACATCACCCACGTCTGGCTGTCGTTGCTAAAGCCCAGGAAGAAGGTGGTCACAAAATCATCGCTGTGCGGGGGTAGGACATTGGTCAGCTGTAAGCCACAGGCACCCCCTGTGCCACCCCCAGCTGGGCCCCAAGGACCTGGAGGCCGTGGCTATGGCCATGACTTGTCCCTGACCTCTGGCCTGGCAGGCACGGGTAGGCCCCTCGCTGGCCTTCCTGGTATCCCACAAATCCCACCCACTTCCTTGGGGCCTGCCCTGGCCACATACTGAATGCTGGAGTCCCGGCCCTGTGTGATGACGCCCGTGAAGCGGGTTGTCCTCCTGGTGTCCACCTCAAGCCACTGAGTCTGTGACTCGTCCTCAGCACACCAGGCCCCGTCGTAGTAGTCATCTTCATTGGCACCGGCCTGTTGCGGGGTGGCAGGAGGCTGAGTCTGGGCCCAAGAGCTCCTCGCCCCACTGGGACGACAGCTAGGGTACCCACCTGCATGTTGAGCCGGCCACGCTGTGCCCCCAGGCCATGGCGGAGCATGGAAGAGGCACGGATCTGGTTGTCCTCGATGCGGTGGGACTCCATCCCAATGGGCGGGCACTCTGGGGACACACACATCCAGGCCGGAGCTCACAGCTCACCCCGCCAGACCCCAGGCAGCTGGGACTGCTCCAGGCATAGAGGTTCACACGGCATCCTCAGGACAGGGATGCCTGTGGTGGTGATAACACGCCTTGCTCCTCCCCTCTTGTCCCCTGGAGCAGGTGGCCGTGGGCCAGAACCAGGCTGCTATTTGATGTAGCTGCCCTGGACTCCAGGGACACCCCTCACCCCAGGACAGAAGTTACACAGCAAAAAGGGGCTCTGGACACCCCCACCCCTGCCTGGCTCCCACTCACTGATCTTCTCTGTGGGCGCCCATTCTTCCTCCAGCTCCTTGCCCTTCGAGGGCCCTGGGGGCACAGGACAGGAGGTGATGCCAACTCCAGGCAGAGGGAATCCCTGGCCTGCCACCCCCAGCCCAGTCCAACCATGCACCTTGGGCGTCCTTGCCCTTCTCCACAGTCCACTTGTCCTCTGTCTCCTCCTTGGGGCCGCCACCCTGCTTTTTGGGCTTTTCTGGAGGATACAAGGCAAGAGGCTGGTGATCCAGCCTTGGGACTCTGTGGGCGGGGTGCAGGGAGCAAGGGCCGGCCCACTGCAGGGAATACCACGTCCCACTCACTCCGCTCCTCCTTCTCCTCGTGGGTGTCCTGCTCAGCATCGGGCTCCGGGGCCGGTGGGGGCGGGAAGTAATAGTCCACTACGGGGAGACGGATGGCTGAGGTAACAGCCACAGAACCAGGGGTGCAGACAGCACAGCACAGAGAGGCGGGGCGTGTGCCCACCTGGCCCTCAGGAGGGGTGCAGGCAGGGAGAGGCCCCAGGGCTGAGAGGTGACGTGACAGCAAGCACCTGGGATGGGCCGGACAGGGGACTTGAGAGGCAGATATGGACCTGGGGGCAGGACCAGGTGAGGGCCTGGCAGCTGCTGCCTCGACAGTGGACAGGCCAGAGAGGGAGGGCTGGGCCTCAGGCGGGGCCAACGCTGAGCCAGACAGGCTGGGGCAAGGACAGCAGGAGGAGCGAGGCAGGCTCCTGCAGGCCCTGTCCTTGGATCACACGTGTCTCCCATGCGGTACTCACTGTCGTCATAGTTGGGGATCACAAAGCCATCCCCATAGTCAGGGGACAGCGGGGGCAGCAGAGGTTCTGCAGGGGGCTCTGGAAGAGGGGAATGCGGGAGTGAGGCACAGCCTGGCCCTGGCTGTGGCCCCCGCCCTGACCGCTGGCCCCATACCCTTCTCCTCGGCTTCCTTGGCCTTCTCTTCGGGACGCTGGGGCCACAGTCGCTCGGGCCTCTTCCTGCTGGGCGGCTTGGGCTTCTTTTGGCGCCGGATGTACTCAACTGCAGGCAGGCGGGCCCTGAGCTCGAGCCAACCCCCAGCTCCTGCACCCCCCGAGGCCCCGCCAGCCGGAACCCCAAGCCTGCTCACAGTCCTCGTAGTCTTCCCGCTCGATCTGGTCGTTGTAGTCCAGTGTGGGCACCTCCGTCTCCTCCTCCACCTCTGAGGGGACAGCACCAGCCTGATGACCAGGCCCGGCTCCTCAAGGAAGCCCCTCGTGGGCTGGGGCAGATGGCAGCCACTCACCCTGCCGTGGCTCTTGGGGTTGTCCACGGGCTGCCGACTCCTCCTCCTCAGGGCTCGGCCAGGCATGTGTGGGGGGCTCACCTGCAACAAGAGGCCCCACAAGGGGCAGGTAAGGGGCCCCATGGAGACAGCGCCCAGGGCACACGGCTGCTGTCTCTGGAGCACCCCCTCACCCTCGCTGCTCTACCCAAGTCCACAGGAGCCCGCACAGACCTGCCTCCCAGAGCCGCTCCTCCGGGCCCGGGCTGGGGGGCGGGGGCAGGGGCCACTCCGAGGGTTCTGAGATGGCTGGCACGGAGGGCCTCTTCCCTGCCAAGGGCCTCTTGGTGGCCTCAAGTGGCTTTTCCTTGGGCTTCTTGGTGGCCTTGGGCGGCTTCTCTTTGGGCTTCTTGGTGGCCTTGGGCAGCTTCTCCTTAGGTTTCTTGGTGGCCTTGGGCGGCTTCTCTTTGGGCTTCTTGGTGACTTTGGGCGGCTTGTCCTTGGGCACCTTGGGTGGCCTGGGAGATTCCTCCAGGGGCTGTTTGGTGGTCTTGGGGCCTCTGTCCTTCTTGCCTTTCTTCCCTTTGTCTTTGGCCTTTTCTGGAGGGGCTGGCCAAGACGCAGACAAGTTAGCAGAACTCTGCCCCAGGGTGGCCCTCCACCCAGGAGGCCTGGGGTGTCCCTCGCCCCTGGCTGGGACCTGAACCTGAGCTTGAGTCTGCCAGTCACAGGCTGTTAGCACCACGACTCGGTCCTCATGGACAGACCCTCACTCCCAACCAAAACCTCTAAAGGGGATCCCACAATCCACTCTGCCTGGGCGGGCACTTTCTATGCTAGACTCAGCACACCGATGTGAACCTTCCAGCCAGACCTGGGGGCAGGAGTCGGCCACGGGAGAGGGGGAGCTTCAGGGGTCGGGGGCATGAGGGCGCTTGGCAGCTAGAGAGGTGAAGACAGTCTGCATGGGCCGCCGACCCCACGAATGCCGGCACCTTTCGGTCTCCCGAGAACAGAATCACCAGACCCTTCGACACACTCGCTGCCAGGAAGACCGCCAAGATTTATGGACGCGGATTACGTAAGCGCCCCGCGTGCTTGGGCGATGCCTCACCTCGGTTATTCTGACGACCCCGACTGCCTCTGCCACCTGCATGCCTCCTGGGGCAGGGGTCCCCAGCAAGCCCTTCCCCACCTGCGCTCCTGGGCCCAGATGGACAAGCCAAGCACGAGCCCGTTGCGCTCCCCGCGTACGAGCGGAGCCCGCGGGGTGGTGACGGTTCACCCCACATGCACGTGTCCCGCAGGCGCCCAGCCCGGCGGGCCCCTCGGGTCCCGCCCCCGCTCACCTCCGGCGGCCGCCCCCGGCCTGGCCCCAGCCTGGGCTTTGCGGCCGCGCTGGGTGGGCTCGGGCGGCGCCGGGGCCTCCACGTCGTCCTCCGGCGGTGGCCCGGGCCCCAGCTCAGAGAGGAAGCCCTCGAGGAACTCCTCGATCTCGTCGTCGGTCAGCACCGTCTGCGGGCACCCTCCGGGGCACAGCGCCAGCAGCGCCAGGAGGCCGCCAAGCAGCGACGCGGTGCGCGCCACCGCCATGGCCGCAGAGGGCCCCCGGAGCGGCAGGGGAGCTTTCCCGAGGGGGCGCAAGGGGCTCCGGAGGGAGGAACCCACAGGGGTGCAGGGGAGGGAGGACCCGACGGGTGCAAAGGGCTCCGGAGAAGGGCTCCTCGCGGGGTGCCGAGTCTGCGTGCGGCTCTCCGGGGCCGACGGGGGACTGGGCGGTCCGGGCTCCGCGGCGCTGGCGGCGACTGTGCACTCCGGCCCCGCGTGGCGAGCTCCCGTCCTTTCCAAAGCGCTGGCTGCGGCCGGGGCGGGGGCGCCGGGGCTTCCGGAGTTGGCTCCCCACCCCCAGGGAGGAGGAGGAGGAGCCGGGCGCCGACGGAGGGGCTGGGGCTGGGGGGGCGGGGGAGCCGAGCCGGTCGGCGCCGCACTCTGGGTGCTGGGCGCTGGGCACAGTCCGAGCTGCAGCGATGTCTCAGGACCCGGAGACTGGTACCCAGGACACAGGGACTGGGGAGAAGAAAGGTAGGAGCCCCACGCCCCTACCTCATGGTGCCTGCCCATCCCCATTCCTCGCTTTTTGTGGGCCCTTGCCTGACAGGCCTGGGTGTCCTCTGCGCTGTCACACAGCCAGCCACTCAGGGCTGTGTGGCATTGTGCGACAGACAGCATCCCCCAGTCAGAGGCAGGTGCAAAAGTGCCCCCAGAGGTGCTGGCCCTGACAAAGCAGCTGGGCGAGGGTGCCCCCGACGTGAGCCAGTCTTGTCACAAGAGCTCTGGCCACTGTCCTGTGCTACAAGTGCCAGCGTGAGAAGTTGTGCCTGGCGTGGGCCGTGAGCTTCCCCGGGTGAGCCTGGGCCAGAGCTCCCAAGACCCCCTGTGGGAAGGAGGAAGCAAGAGGATGCAACGGAGCCCTGGGTCAAGGTCAGACGTGGTCAGCCAGAAGCCAGGGTGGTCCATGAGTCTCTGGGATGAGATCAGGTGACAGGATGGCTGACAGGGAAGCGCCAGGGAGGAAGAACAAGGCAGCTGTGCCAAGACCTGGTCCTGGTCACTGGGTCTCCCGGGCTTCAGGGTCTGCCCCTCCCCCAGCCCTGCCTTGTCGCTGGGCTCTCTGAGCAGCGCCCAGGGTCAGGTTCCCACACCCTGGCCCAGCTTGCACCCTTGCAAATGTCTGAATCATCGCCCCTGCCTGACTGTTCTGGGAACTCACTGTTGTCCCCATGGCTGAGGCAGGAGGGCGGTTGGTGAGGGCTCCCCGGGAATGGCTCCCACATCCTCTGCCAGGGAGAACAGAGAGGGACTGGAAGAGCCAGGCGGTGGAGCTGGGGCGGGGTCTGCCGGGTACAGGGGCACTGCAGAGCCCAGGGGACCCCTCCTCAGCCGAGGAGCACAGAGCTAAGCCACAGTGCCCAAGGGCACAGCCCAGGTCAGGATGAGGTGGTGGATTCTGCAGGCCTCCCTGGGGCAGGAGCCTGGGGCTGGCAGAAAGGGCCTGGAGCAGAGGGCTAACCACCGGGGGCTCAGGTGGTACTTCCCGGGCCCTCAGGCTGTGCTAGAGGGCAAGGGCTTTGGGCACAGCTGGCCTCCTAGCGCCTTGGGTAGGGGAGGGAATGCTGCCCGCCAGATGGGAGTCAGAACTTTGATTTCACCCAAGTCTGATCAGGAAATGCCAGGGAGGCCGTCGTACATCACCCTGTGGCCCTGACCCTGACCGCTATGGCGTGGCTGGTGGCCAGTGGCTGCTGCAGACAGTCTGTTTCTCGGGGCAGCTCTGGCCTGGCCTTGGGCGGCGTGAGGATTGGACCTGACCCTGCTGCTCACTTGCTGGTGACCCTTGACCCTGCCTGCTGCTCCTCCCGTATACATACACCATGGGGGCCCGTCATGTGAACCTGCTCCAAAAGCATTTGAGAGGGATTCAGGGGTCCTGGAAGACCCCTGCCGCTGTCTTGGGTTAGCCTCCAGCAACCAAAGGAAAAAGGTCCAGACCCCTAGGGGGGTTCTCTTTTCTGTGGCCTAGGACCTTGCCCTTAGTGGAGGGGTGGCGGAGGAGGTAGGGCGGTCTGGGCTCCTGCAGACGGTGTCTCATCAGCCCTGTGCCTGGCAGAGCCATCTCGTGGCTCTCGGCAGCCTGGAATCCACATGTGATTTTCCACAGGCCGGTGGCCGCGGCGAATTCCTTCCACTGACCGCAGGGCAGGCTGCGGGCCCAGCTGTGGGGAGCCATGCTGGGGTGGGGTCCACCGCAGCCAGGCGGGGGCCGGCGGCCAGCACCGATGAGTCATTCTGCAGCCCTGGGAGCTGGGATGCGGGAAGGGGGCATGTGACCGTGTGAAGTCAGAGGGCTCTGGTGGCAAACGGGGTCGGCCCTGCCCCACGCTTTCATCCAAATTAACTCCAGACGCCTGCCTGCCTCGGAGATGCCGGAAGGCAGCCAGCCGGCACACGCAGGCTGGGGAATCTCCCAACAAGCATGAAGGACTCGCGGGGATGCACATTGCACCCTCTGGGTTTCTCAGTACACTGGCACTGGAATGCAAAAGCAAGCAGCACTGAAGAAAAGGCTGGTGGGCCCCGGCTGGGAGAGCAAACACTGGGAGCCTCAGTGGTGCCAACGGCCTACCCTGCAGCTCAGACCAACCCACAGTGAGTCCCCTGGCTCCGCCGTGCACTGAGAGCTGAGCACGAAACGGGCAAGAATTTGCTGTGATGAGTCTGTACCATGGGGCCTGAGAAACAGCAGGTTTTTGATCAAGAGCAGCTGCTAAAGAGACTTTTTCCCATTTGTAAAGCTCATTCAGCTCCATTTCCACCTTTAAAGAGAGCTGAATGACCATCGGACAGACAACCCACGGAACAAACACGGGCGGCCGACGCAGGTGCAAGAGAGTTACTCCATGGACAGTTCCCCCCACACCTCTCTCTCACACACACACACACACTGAGCCGTGTGGGTGTTCAGTCCAGCAGCTAGGATCCCCACAGCCCACACGGAGTTCCAGCTCCAAGCTCAGGCTCCTGACTCAGCTTCCGCAGACTCTGGGAGGCAGCAGGTGGTGGCTCCAGGGGCTGGAGTCCTGCTGCCACCCATGAGACCTGGAATGAGCTCATGGCTGCATCCCATGCCCAGCTCTGGCCAATTTGGGAAGCAGACTAGCAGATGGAATGGGAGCTGTCTCTCCCTGCCTGTCTCCAAGTCCCTATCGAACTTCCAAAGCCTAAAGCCTCCGTGGTGGTGGCTGCGACTCTAGCCATCTGAGAGCTGCTGGAGGAAGGGACCGCAGCCTGCAGGGTCAGCCCCTTCCAGCTCAGCGTCATCCACCAGGAGCTGCCTCAGGCAGCTGAGCCCCTCAGCTGGCTGTCATCAATGGAAAGTCCCAGCACCCAGGACCTCATGCCTGCTCACATAAACAAGATTTAGAGGTTGGCTGGCACGGCAGCCCAACAGCCTCCAGAGATTCCGGCTGCTTCTGCTTTTGCAGCTCCCTCAGCGCCAGCACGTGGTGTCTGGCCTTCAGCATGAAATCCCAGGGAGTAGCACAAGTAAGTACCAACTCCAGGTCGGCCTAGTGGCACAGCAGCTTAAGATGCCAACTGCAATACTTGTATCCTACTGAGGCACTGGTTCAAATCCCAGCTGTTCCACTTTCCCTCTTGCTTCCTGCTTGTGGTCTGGGAAAGCAGCAGCAGATGACCCACATGCATGGGCCCCTGTACCCCTGTGGGAGACCCGGATGGAGTTTCTGGCACCTGGCTTCAACCTAGCCCATTTGCGGAATGAAACAGTGTATGACAGAGCTGTCCATGTATGGCCCCCTCTCTGTAACTCTGTCCTTCAAATAAATAAATCTTTAAAAGAGAGAGAGAAAGAGACCCATTCTTGGCGGCAGCGGTTGTGTTGCCAGCTGGCAAGTGAGGTATTCACATTCTCTCGTGTCTGCACACCGAGCCAGGAGCTCAGCCAAAGCAAACCAGAGGCAGGCAGCCATCCCGGGCCGCGGGGACCCTGGTGTGGCAGCTTGCACGCTGGAGAGGGTAGCACCACAGCTGGCCAGGCTCTGTTCCCAATCTCCTGCAGGCCAGGAGGGGTTCCCCTGCAAAGCCCCTGCTGTCTGCATCCCCCCTGATCCATCAGCTTTCTCTGCACCCTCGGCCCTGTAGCTGCCAGGGTCCGTCTGTGTCCCCGCTGGGCACTCATGAGCAGGGACCTCAAGAGAACCATTGTGCAGTGAGCCTGCAGGGCTGTGGGAGGTATGGCCAGCAGACAGGCCCACCCGGGTAGGGCGCCCTGCCTTGGTCGCAAGAAGCAGGCCCTTGTGCTCGGCATGAGGCGACATGCCAGTCCTGGGAGGTGGAGCCCATATGCCAGAGCCACAGGGAGGCCCCGGAGCCTCCTCTCCTGCTAAGACAGGTGGTTATGGCTTCCAGGGCTCCAGGGTGGAGTCCCTGCAGAGAGCAGGTGGCTTGCCCCAAGGCCCAGAGTCTGGGTGTGGATGGCCAACCTGTGCTCAGTTCTGGACTGGCTGTGGGAGCTCCATACTGCTGACAGAGGTCGGGGAGAAGCTGGGGGCCATCCCTAGATCTGGGGGTGAGGCTTGCGGGGAAGGCACCAGGGCAGACAGCAGGCAGGGGACTCCAGGAACAGGAACCCTGACCAAAGTCACCGTCAGCTGTCCCTCCAGGCGGTGGCAGTCTGGGCCCAGCATCTCCGTGGGCCCTGAATCTGGGCTTCACTGCAGAAAGTACAGAAGGCTAGGAGGTTGCTGTCAGCGAGCTTGGACCCCGGCCGGAGGGGGTGGTGAATGTTCTCTTACATAACCTGCTGGGCGCTCTGGGAGTCAGCTGCCCTCCAGATGGGCTGGCTCAGCTATGTTGCCGGCCCACCCTTCCCGGCACACCATCCCATCCCTGCAGGATGGGACATGAACGTTGCTCCCTGGGGATGAGGGAGTTGCCAGTGCCAAACATGGAGAGCAGCGTGATGGAGGGTGCCAGCTCAGACATGTGGGCACCACCCGCCACTCCCAGCCCCTCATGTTCCACATGGGCGTCCACACCTGCTTCTATCCTCCCAGGGATGTCTCATAGAACATTTCTAGAAGGAAAGTAAGAGCCCTTCCTGTCCTCTCCCCTATTTGGAAGTTTCAGTCACAGCTCCTAACCTGGGACACGGTGCTGAACTCTACCACCTGCCATAGTCCTCACGGACGACTGGCTTGAACCAGGATCCAGAGGAGGCTTCATTGCTGTGGCTGCATTGCCCACCTGCATCCCTAGCCACTGGCTTCCTCCATCTCACTTACCCTCGGTCTGGCCGTTTGTGAAAACCAGGTGGCCCCCACTTTTCCCAGGACGTGCATTTTGCAGAATGCATGACGACGTGTTCAGTCTCTGACTGCAGTGATTATATCTGCCTGGGACGTGAACCAGGTTCGCCAAGCTGACTGCCCCAGAGGCCTCTTGACCTCCCTCCCCCGGCGGTGACCACACAGTAAGGGTGCCTTCCACCTCTGCCCTGGTCTCCAGGACCTCAGCCCTGCAGGTCACAGGGCCTCAGCCCTGCAGGTCACGGCGCTGCATCCTTGTCTGATGGTAGAGCCACCATGAGCAGCGGGGGACATCCGGGTGCAGACGGGGTGGGCTCACGACCTCGGTGGAAGTCTGGTGCTGTGGCTCTGCAAACAAGGATTCAGGTCGCTTAGGGACTTGGCAGTCTGAGACAGGCGTTAAGCCATACCTGTAAAGAGACAGAGATGATGGATCACCTCCCACAGGCCCTTGGAAGGGGTTTGCCCCCATGCGCAGGGATCATGGTACACCCAGTGCTGACACCTCTTCTGAGGCCTCTGAGCTTGTTTCTCTACCACCTTCTACTCTACTACTGAGGTCTCCCGGTCCCCAGTCTCAGTGTCGGAATGCAGGGCTCTGGCGCGGGGCTCGGCTGCCTCTATTGAGCTGCACCTTGGGATCTGCCTGCCACACTGGCAGTCTGGTCTTGAGAGCCGCCTCCCTTGATTTCTCTGCAAACCTCATGCTGCCCCCTGCTGGCCGCCTCCGCCCCAGGCCGAAGAAAATCTCCCTGGCTCTCCTCTCCCAGCAGGTCCAGCCCACATTCCGGCCGGTCACCACCCCACTCGCCTGGGCTAGCCTGCTCTCGCCCCACCCCGCTAGGCCGAAAGGCCCCATCCTTGCCTCTGCACAAAAACCCCTCTCACTTGGAGTCAAGGCAAAGTGCTTCCGGGGCCACAGCCATGGGGACTGGGCCCTGCTTTTCAGTCCCTGTGGCTATAGCCTCTGGGTCCTCCTCTCTAGAGTCCACCAGGCGTGGCCTCACCTCCCTTTGCCCTGTGCCAGCGCCCACTGCATCAGGCCTCCTGTCCACGCAGTCTCTGCCACCCAGAGCCTGTTGTTACAGGCAAAGCCCACAGGAGGCACTATTGCCACTCCTTTCTCTGAATCACTGTGTGTCCCAGCCAAGTCCCCTTGGCCATCTGCCTGTGGTCTGACGTCGTGTGTCCCCCATGATGCACTCCTGCACTTCAAGCAAAGCTGGTCATCACAGGGATCTCCTTGAGCGAGCAGTGTGGCCCTGGCTTCTCATGTGTGCCTCCCCAGAGATCATATTCCTGGCTGTCCACTTTTCTCCTTGACCTTGACCCGCCGCTGTGTCAGGAGCCTGTGGTTGCCTGTGCAGCCTCTCAGGACTCTGTGCTCCACAGGCAGCAGGAAGCTTGCAGCCACGTCCTTGTCTGTGACCCGCAGGAAGCTGAGAGCCACATCCCTATCTATGATCAGCAGCAGGATGTGCAGACACCTAAAGAATGGGAAGGGCCCATTGTGCAAGAGCACAGCAGGGTTCCATTCTGCCATGATGCAAACGGAATCATCTGGAGCAGGGCACAGAAGGCTCAGCAGCTTGCAGGAGACCGGGTGCCCCCACCCACCAGGCCAATGGGAACACCTGCTGGGAACGCCAGGAAGGCTCCGAGTAAGGATGCAGCACCTGTGTGGATCCTCCAGCCCCAGCCCCGGGGGCGGAGCCACGGCCTTCTCTGCCCTCGCCCACACTCCAGACTTCCCACAGGGAGTCCTGAGGGCCTGCAGTTCCACACCCTGCTCCCACAAAGCCTGTCCTGACCAGAGCCGCTCATCCCCTTAGTAGGCCTTAGCAGGTGTGGCTTCCAGACCTGGCGACAGCAGACTTCCCACTGGAGCCCCAGGCTGTGATCCTTCGCTAGCCCAGCCACTACTCCAGGCTACCCTCACCACCAGCACCAAGCTGAGAGCAGAGGCGCCCACGCCAGTGCCCGGGGCCAGCAGCCTCGGCAGCCCAGGTCCAGCTGTGTCAGCAGCTTCCCCCCTCCCCTCCACTGCTGGCTCCAATGAACACTGACAGGCTGCCTGCGGGGACTGGGGGGTGGCCAGGCCCCAGAGCAGGGCGGAGTCCTGGCCCTGTGAGGACAGCACCAGGGTGGCCCTCCTGGCATGTTTGGTGGAGAGTGGCGCTTGGGAGTGACCCCCTGGTCTCTGACCTTGCCCGAGAAGGGGAACTGCCACATGTGGCTCACCTTGGAAACAAGCAAACTCAAGCGTCGAGGCTCATGGCAGGCCTCAGCAAAGGCTGTGGCAGCCAGAGGGCTCTGCGGGCACTGTAGTCTGCAGAGCACCAAGTCAGCTGGACGCCAGGCCGTGCAGGGGCCAGTGTCCTAGGGGGCCCGGGGCCGGGTGAGTTCCCTCGAGCCACCCACCCCAGCAGGCTCTGTGTCCCACAGGGCAGACAGCAACTTTGGGGAGGGGATGGCAGGGCAAGGGAGAGCTCCGCAGCTACCCTCTGGCTCAGGCCATGGCCCTGCCTCTCACCAAGCCTCCCTGGCCTGATCCTGGGGGCACTCAGGCCAGCAGAGCAGGTGCCTGGAACCCAACAAATGTTCTGCACTGAAAAAACTTATCTTTTAATTCCATTTTCATGAACTTTAAACTTACTCCAGGTCTCTCCCACGGGTGCAGGGTCCCAAGGCTTTGGGCCATCCTTGACTGCTTTCCCAGGCCACAAGCAGGGAGCTGGATGGGAAGTGGGGCTGCCGGGATTAGAACTGGCGCCCATATGGGATCCCGGGGCGTTCAAGGCAAGGACTTTAGCTGCTAGGCCAATGTGCTGGGCCCCACTCACTCTGATTTTTTACCCTGTCACAGGTTCAGCTCCAACCGCTGCAGCCACTTAGGGAGTGAACCAGCCAGGACGTGGACCAGTGCCCATATGGGGTTCCAGTGCTAACGAGGGGAGGTTTAGCCAATTAAGCCGTCGCACTGGGGCCCTGTTCTTTGAAATAACATTTGTACAAACAGAATGAAAAAGGTGTCTGTGCCACTTGTGGACCCAGGGTCCTGCAGACGCTTTCTTGGGCGGGAGGGCACCCTCTCTCCCACATCCCCAGTGCGTATGCCACAGGCGTTCGACAGACACAGCCCCACCTCACACTGGGAGGAGTCAGCAAGGACCACAAGGACGCCCCTCCTGCATGGCACCTGTTGGCTCCCAGGCAGGGCTGGGAGCACTCCTGGATCCCCCACATGGTGATGGGAACCCAGCTCGGCCCTGCGCAGACATCACCCCACAGCCTCCGTTAGAGGCCCGGCAAACCACCGCGGAGGCAGGCCGTGCAGAAAGGGCCACAATAGATGTGTCCATCCGTTCCATTTCCCTACCGCCCTCCTAACCCTGGAGCTGCTGAGGCAGCACGCGGGGGTTCTATCCTCCCCTCCTGGCCCATGGCTGCCAAATCAGCTTCCAGTGCCCTCAGCGCACGCCGGCTGGGAGCTGGGAGGCAGCTGGGTCTCTCAGGTGAAGGCGGAGCCGCTCTCGCTGCCCAGGCTTGGTGCCCACCTCCTACCTGCCCGCAGTTGTGCCAGTGCGCATGGCAGCCTGTGCTCCTCCCCTAGGGCCTCCAGCTCCCAAGGGCTTGTGTCACGCTTTCCTGGCAGTTTCCAAGCTGGCCATCACATTGAAATCAAGAAAACGCTGGTCGCCTTTCTGCCAGGCCGGTTTTGGTTTCTTTTCCGGGTTTAGACGCATCACTCGTCTGGAATTTATTTTGGTGTTAAGGGTACCAATTACCGTGGTTTTAAAAATGGCCGACCCCGCCGCCATTCGGCTGAAAACCCCTGACGTGGCCCCCCACGCAGGTGTGGGCGTTCAGGGGTCGACTGGTCGAGGGCGCGCAGACTGCACTGACCCCACACGTGAAGCCCATCACTCCGGGATCGGGACCAAGCCCCTCCCACGCCTCGGCCCCGCCTCCCCGGCTCTGGGCACGCCCCCATGCCCGTGCCCCGCCCCCGTGCTGGCCACGCCTCCCCAGCGCTTTTCTGGGCTACACAAGGCTTTCCGCGAGGGTAATTTACATAGGAGCGTGTCCGCCTGCGATATTTGCATAGAGGCGGGGCCCCCGGAGTGGCCGGGACACTACAGCGCTCTGATTGGTTCCAGGCTCGCCCTGAGGCTTCACTTGAACGGGGCGGGGCCCAGCGGGCGCTAGGCCCGGCTTCCGCCTTCCGCAGGCCTTGGTCCTCCCGGATGCTCCCAAAACGGCGGCGGGCGCGGGGCTCTTGTCCTGGGGGTTCCGCCGCTGCCGCTGCAGAGTGCCCCGTGCGTTTCCCCGATGTCGTCATCCACCTGGTGGAGTCGCGCATGGGTCGCAGTCGCCGGGCCTTCCTCACGCGCCTGGCGCGGTCCAAAGGTTTCCGCGTCCTGGAGACCTGCAGGTGCGCAGCCCCTGGGTGACCCCCAGCCCGTCCCCAGCCCCGCAGGGCGGCTCCCGCACTGCCCCGACCTGGCGGGATGGTGGGTGCCACCAAGGCAGTTCCAAGGGGCCGGAGTACAGTCAGCCTGGTGTCCCAGAAGGACAGAGGGCACTTGGCCAACAGGAAGGGCCTTGGGCCTCCCCTGCCTTCTCCCTGCCCAGCTCCGAGGTGACCCACGTGGTGATGGAGCAGATGTCCGCAGAAGAGGCTGGTCGCTGGCAGGAGTGCTGGGCAGCGGCCGCACCCCCGGGCTGCCCTTTCCCGGCCCTGCTGGATGTCAGCTGGTTCACAGACAGCATGACCGCGGGACAGCCTGTCCCCGTGGAGCAGAGGCACCGGCTGGAGGTGAGCTGGTACAGGGTAGCCTCCAGGGCAGGGCCGTCCCAGCTTGGGGCTGCAGGTTCTTTCAAGTCCATGGCCTCCGCGGCTCTCCCTGCTGGGCGGCGGGCTCTGCCCGTGTCCCCTGACTGTGCCCTGTGGCCCTGCCTGCCCAGAAGGGTGGATACCCCAGAGAGGCAGCAAAGACAGGCCTGTGGTGACCCGTGCATTCCTGCCCACAGGTGCCCAAGCCCAAGCCAGAGGAAGGACCCCAGGGGCCTCTGTGGCTGCCCGCCTATGCCTGCCAGCGGCCCACGCCCCTCCATCACCACAACACTATGCTGTCGGTGAGCTACCGCCGGGGAAGGGTGAGGTGTACCAGATCGGGGTGAAGTGCCCTGCCCTTACCAGCACGTCCCCTGCAGGAGGCCCTGGAGACCCTGGCAGAGGCAGCCAGCTTTGAGGGCAGTGAAGGCCGCTTCCTGTCCTTTCGCAGAGCGGCCTCGGTGCTCCGGGCCCTGCCCTGCCCCATCACAGCGCCGAGTCAGCTACAGGCACTGCCCCACTTCGGAGAACATTCCTCCAAAGTCGTCCAGGTAGGCACATGTCACCCTGGGCTGGAGGTGCCAGCACACTTGGAGTTTCCTGGCTGGTGTCGCCTGCATCAGGATGGGCCGGCCAGCCACTAATGCTCCCAGGTGGCCCTGAGTGGTCCATGAGTAGCTTTTTGCTTTCTTTGAAAGAAATGTTTATTTACTTGAAAGCCAGAGTTACACATAAAGAGGAAGAGAGAGATCTTGTATCCACTAGGTCACTGCCCAGATGGCCACAATGGCAGGGGTGGGCCAGGCTTTAGCCTGGAGCTTCTTCCAGGTCTCCCACCTGTGTGCAGGGCCCGCAAAACTTAAGCCATGCTCCACTGCTTTCCCAGGCTGTAAATGGGGAGCTGGGTCTGAAGTGGAGCAGTTGGGTGTTGAGCTGGTCCCCACTGGGATGCCAGTGCTGCAGGCAGCGACTTAAACCTCCATGCCACAGCACTGGCCCCTGTCAAGAGTTTTTGAGGACCCCACAAGGTGAGGTTCCCTTTTGTGCATCTTCATTGCTAGGACACATAGTGACAGGAGCTGCATGAAGCTGTGGCTTTAGAAAGCAGATATTTACGTTCCCCAGGGCTTGCTACTCAGCTTAGAGATAAGCCATGTTAGCCAGGACCCAGCTGCAGGGCTCCAGGCCCCCTGGGGCTCTGACCGGAGCCCTCCCCAGCTCTGGCAGCGACCGTCTCCTGACATAGGCTCCGCTTCCAAGTTCTGTTATCCTGACTTCGCCAACCCCCAGTTGCAGGACCTGGGGTGCCTGGCCCTCTTGGGTTCTGGTCTGTCCCCCATGTCCTTGGGCTTTGCCCTGTCTGACCTGGCTGCCCAGTGCTTGGCTGTGTCGCCTCCCACAGGAGCTGCTGGAACACGGGCTGTGTGAGGAGGTGGAGCGTGTGCGGGGCTCGGAGAGGTTCCGGACCATGAAGGTGTGTGGCTGGGCTTCAGGGGAGGATAGGCAGCCGAAGCCTGGGTTGCCAGATTCCAGCTTAAGCCGAGTTTGGAACTCACAAAGGGTGGGCGGAGTAGGTGTGAGAGAAAATAAATGGACCACTACAATTTCATGATTGTAATGGACAACACAAGAAAGGTGTCCCCTTTACTTATACAGAGGCAGTCACAAGCTCTGGCACAGGCGTTTTATGGCATGGGCAAGTATGTGTTTCCCAGGATAATTCTGCTGTTTATTTCACCGTAAAGCAGGATGTTACGGATCCTGACCCTGTGGTCAGGAAGTTCTCAATAGATGGTGCATATCAATCGGTAACACTTTCTACAGCTTCATCTTGAATCAGCTAGGCGAGGAAATGCATCACAGAAGGAGGGACCTACAGATCAAGGAAAGAAAACCCTAAACATTGATTCCCACGACACCCGTGGACTAACCAGCCTACATTAGCGTGTTTCACAATGTTAGTGTGAACATTCTCCAGCCCTCCCAGCCATGTGATCCATGGGGGCAGCAGAGACGGCAGGAACTGGAAAAGGCCCTTTGCCAGCAGCATCCCTCTGCTGCCTTCCAGCGGCATCAACTTCCAGGCTCACGTTGGTAGTAAAAACCCACACAGCCTTGGCGAACAACGCCTGCGTGGATTACAGAATTCTCAGTGGAGTGGTTTTGGTGTCCGTGTAGAGGGAGGTGCACCTGCCTGCAGGTGGTTGCAGAGACTCCACAGGGCCCTGCCATGCAGTGGAAAATTCCTCACGGCCTTGCCTGCAGGGGAACAGTTGACACACCCTTGTGTCCTCCACACCCACTGCACGGACCCCAGCACTGGGCCCCCTGGCACCATCTGCCTTACCTGACCGTGCATGTGCTCAGGCAGGCCTTGTGCTGCCCACACCTGAAGGGAAGCCTTTCTTGGTGTCAGCCGGCACTAGCCTGTCCTTGGTCATGGGTGCCACTTCCATGCCATGCCTGGATTCCTGCTACTCCTGGCCACCTCCTGCCTTAGTTCTGCTGGCTCTGATGCCATTTTGCCACTTGGCTCGTAGCTGGCTCAGTGGTCACCCCAGTTGGCATAGGTACAGCGTGGCCTTGGGGAGGGTATGCTGTCCGCCATTGATGAGGAGACCTCAGCAGAGGGCAGCTGAGCCCTGTGGGGCAGTGGCCTCTGGCAAGATGGAGGCCCCTTGTGTTCCTTGTGTTTAAGGCGTCCAGCAGGTCTGGGGTGCCTGTAATGCCCAGGCTGGCAGACCCTCGGGATGTGGCACCCTTGGCTCCCGGAGGTCCAGAAGGGAGGAGGTGTGGGCGGCCACCCCTTCCTGCTGCTCTGCAGAGCAGCCCCAGGCGCTGGCTACACAGCAGCCTTCTTTACTTCCAGGCAACCAGGCTCCCTCTGCTTCTTCCTGAGGGTCCGGGAGGGCTCAGAGTGGCCAGTCCAGGGCATGGGCTGTGGTACCTGTGGGAGCCCCTGTGTGGGGGCCTGGAGCCGGTGCCTGCAACTCACTGAGGCCCGGCAGGGCACACATAGTAGGGCCACAAGTCCAGTGTCCAGTCCAATGTCTGTGGGGCTGTGCCTGGGAGCCAAGGACACTGCCTGGGTGGCCCGGGTTCCGGATGTGGGTCTTGGCTGCCAGGGCAGTGTGCTCCCCCCACCAGAGCATTACCGCAGTGGGTTCTTTCCTCTCGCTCACAGCTCTTCACCCAGGTCTTCGGGGTAGGGGTGAAGACCGCTGACCGCTGGTATCAGGATGGCTTGCGAAGCTTGGATGACCTCCGTCAGCATCCCCGGACACTGACGTCACAGCAGAAGGCTGGTGAGCCCGAGGGAGGCTGGCCAGGGCTCCCAAGTCACCTGGGTGTGGAATGTGTGCAGTCCGGGGTCCTTAGCGCTGGTGCACAGCGGGTAGGGGTGCGCAGGTGCCTGGTGGCCGCTGGTAGGTGGGCTGCCTGGGGTCGGAAGAGTTGGGTGTTACTGTGGTCCTCTGCACTGTCTTCTGGTTAGACTGACCTGGGCCAGGGTCAGCTGGGGCCCACCTGAGGGTCGTGGTGCTGGCTGTAGGTCCGTGGAGGGGTCCAAGTCATGCTGCCATGACTGGGGGCCAATGTAAGTTCAAGGGTCATTAGACTGCAGTTGAATCTGTCACAAGGTGGGTGTCTTTGGCCTTGGAACCCACTTAGGCTCTGTGTGTCACTCACATCTCTGCTGTGTGGGGGAGCTGCTTTGAGCTGCCAGTGGCAGCTGTGTCCTCCAGGTGGCCGGCCTGTCCTGCCCTGCCCGAGGGCTCTGGGACAGGGCCCCTCAGACTTGCTGCCTGACTCAGCCGTGGGCAGAGCCTCGCGCTTCCTGTGCCACACCTCCCATGCCACAGGCAGCGGGAGTGCCAGCAGCGTTTTCCTGGAGCACCCACGGCAGTAGGTGCTATGTCCTATGGCTTGGGCGGCTGGTGGCAAAGCTGTCTTCCTCATGGTGGCATCTCGTGTCATGGCTGGGAAGACCACGACCTTAGAAGGGACAACCTGCGTGTTGACTGTCCCTGTCGGTATTGGGCCATCTGACCGCACCCCTATATCATGAGCTGCGGCCCAGGCGGGAGAAGCTGGAAGGTGGGGGTGCGGGGTCCGGGCACTCTGCTGTCCAGGGGTACACTGGAGCCCTGGAGCAGAAGGGGTGGGCCGTGCCTCCGCCTCCCTGCCCTGCGCTGCTGGGAGATGATGTATGGTGGGGTGCCAGGACCAGCCATGTGAGGCTAGCCTCTGCTTCTCACAGGGCTCCAGTACCACCAGGACCTGAGCTGCCCAGTCCAGCGGCCAGATGCCGAGGCCCTGCAGTGCTTGCTGGAGGTGGCTGTGGGGCAGGCCCAGCCTGGGGCTACTGTCACACTGGCCGGAGGCTTTCGGAGGTAAGGGGAACCTCACACGCCCTCGTGGCTTGGCTCCCGGCCTCTCCCCAGCGCTGGGACCTCTCTGGAAGGACTCGCCCCAAGCCCGGTGTCACCAAGCTCTCTCAGGGGGAAGTTGCTGGGCCACGATGTGGACTTCCTCATCTCGCACCCCACGGAGGGCCGGGAGGCTGGGCTGCTGTCCACAGTGATGCAAAGCCTGCAGGACCAGGTGAGGGCCTACTGCCAGCTTCTGCCCAAGTCCCCTCCCCACACCTTGCCCAGCCTGGCCACACAAGCCTGCCTCCCTGGCAGGGCCTGGTTCTGTACCACCAACACCAGCCCAGCCGCTGCGGGGACTCCAGGCACCTGCTCTGGCAGAGCCACACCATGGATGCCTTCGAGAGGAGCCTGTGCATCCTGCGCCTGCTGCAACCGCAGAGAGCTGCCGCTGGGAGCCCCTCGGGGCCCGGCCCAGCCTGGAAGGCCGTGCGGGTGGACCTGGTGGTGGCCCCCAGCAGTCAGTTCGCCTTTGCTCTGCTGGGCTGGACTGGCTCCCAGGTGGGTCGGGCTCCCAGGAAGGGGTATGAGAGGAACCCGGGGCTGGGCCAGCCCTGCTCAGGGCAGTCTCCCTCCTGCCCCGCAGCTGTTTGAGCGGGAGCTTCGCCGTTTCAGCAGGAAGGAGAAGGGGCTCTGGCTCAACAGCCACGGGCTATTCGACCCCGAGAAGGTATGTCCTGATCCCTCCACTGGGGTCCTGCAGTGCCTCCACGCTCTGCGCCATCCCTCAGCCTGGTCTGGGCAAGGCAGCTGATGTCAGCTCCTATTGCAGAGAGCCTGCCTGCCCGCGGCCACCGAGGAAGACATCTTCTGCCACCTGGGCCTCCGTTATCTGCCCCCAGAAGAGAGGAATGCCTGAGCCTGCCCTGGTGACCTGAGCACGCCCCACCTGCTGTGTGTGCGGAGGGGGGGAGTCCCTGCAGAGCCAGCCTCACTCCTGGCCCTTGGGCTCCTGCTTTGGTGACCCTGAGCACTCCCCACCTGTTGTGGGGGACCCCACAGAGCCAGCCTCACTCCCGGCCCTTGGGCTTCTGCCCTGGCCAGGGACCAGGTCGGCTCCTGGAGCACAGCGAGTGGCCCCTGTGGCTGGCGTCCCCACCTGGGCTCTGCTGTTCTTGGCACAAGCCACCTCTTGTCCCCACCTGCTCGCCGTGGCAGTTCCTAGCTAGGAGCCTCATGAGCCTGCTCGTTTCTGCCCAGCCTGTGGCCTCATCTGCAGCTTGCTTGGGTGTAGGGGATTGCCCCCCGAACCAGACCACCGGATGCCTGAGAGACCCGAGTCACGTTCTGGGCAGACTGAATGCTGCCAGGAAGCAGTCTTCCTGCTGGGACTGCGACGACCTCGCTGGCCAAGCATGATTGGGACGCGTAACACCTCACCGCCTCTTAGTGCTGGTGGCCCGGCGTGTCTGAGTACTGAGATTCTGAGATGTTCCTTTTCTTGTTCATCTGTTTGTTTACCATATCAGTTTCTGTAACTCATGTTTGCTGTACTGTTACCATAAAGCCTGGTGATTTTTGCCCAACTTCCTTGTGATCTATCTTACAGGGGCTGTGTGCTAGTCTAGTTAATAAGTAGCTTACCTGCCTGCCCTGCAAAAGTTTTAGTGTAAAAGTGCTTAGGAGGGCCTGGTGCAGTGGCCTAGCAGCTAAAGTTCTCGCCTTGAATGTGCCCCGGGATCCCATATGGGTGCCGGTTCTAATTCTGGTAGTCCCACTTCCCATCCAGCTCCCTGCTTGTGGCCTAGGAAAGTAGTCCAGGACAGTGCAAAGCCTTGGGACCTACACCCACGTGGGAGACTCAGAACTAGTTCCTGGCTCCTGGCTTCGGATCGGTGCAGCACCAGGTATTGTCACTTGGGGAGTGAATCATCAGACAGAAGATCTCTGTCTCTCCTCTCTGCATATCTGACTGTGCAATAAGCATAAATCCATCTTTTTTAAAAGTGCTTAGAGAAACTCAATGGAATGTGCACTGGTTCACTTGCCTTTGCAACCCCTGTGCCCTGATTCTTCTTGGCATGGTCGTCATACTTTGGGTCCAGGTTCTCCAAGAGGGACACCCCAGCACTTGGGTAAAGCCCCAGCTAAGGCTGCTTCCTGTCCTAAGGCTTTGGGCCATTTTCTATTGCTTTCCTAGGCCACAAGCAGGAAGCTGGCTGGGAAGCGGGGCTGCCAGGACTAGAACTGGCGTCCATATGGCATCCTGGCTCATGCAAGGAGAGGACTTTAGCTACTAGGCTACTGCACCAGGCCCAAGTTCTGTTTGTTTTTAATTGTTTATTGCTGGCACACAAAACCACAATTCTTGGGGCTAGTGTGATGGCTCAGTTGGCTAAATCCTCCCTTTGCAAGCACCAGGACTCCATATGGCCACCAGTTTGTGACCGAGCCGCTCTGCTTTCTGTCCAGCTGCCTGCCTGTGGCCTTGGAAAGCAGTAGAGGATGGTTTAAAGCCTTGGGCTCCTGCACCCATATAGAAGAGCTAGAAGACGCTCCTGGCTCCTGATTGGCTAAATCTGGCCATTGAGGCCATCTGGGGGTAAACAAACAAATGAAGATCTGTCTCTTCTCTCTGTAAATCTGCCTTTCCAACAAAAAAATAAGTCTTAAAGACAAATGAACAAAAGACCAGGCTCAGGGGCTGCATTGTGGTGGTAGACGAGGCCACTGCCTGTAAGACTGGCATCCTACGTGGGCACCAGTTCATGTCCGGCTGCTCCATTTCCAGTCCAGCTCTCTATAATGCTCCTGGGAAAGCAGCAGAGGATGGCCCCACACTTGAGAACCCCGAGTCCAACTCTCAGGTCCTTCCAGTGCAGCCCTAGCAGGCACCATGGCGACCTGTGGAGACCTGCCCTGAGCACCAGCTCTGGTGGCAGCCCCAGGCCAGTCCCAGAGGCTGGGGGCTTTACAGTGGGAACTCTTGGTTTGCATCTGTCTAGTTTTTAAAGAGGAAGTTCAACTCTGATCCCCTCTTCCAAGGTGCCAAGAAAGGAGGAGCAGTGTTGGCACCCGGAAAGGCCATGGCCACGTGTGACCTGTTGGGCAGGTGAATACTCCATTTATGCCCAAGGCCGTTAGGAAGCCTGTCAGTTGAAGCAGGGTATGGGCCACCGCTGCCAGGAAGCATCGCTTACAGACCTGCTATGTTGATGAGCAGTGCTTATCACAAGGCAGCCAGGATCTGCCCTTGAAGCTCATAGGAACAGGTCTGGAGCCAAGTCTGGCACAGGAGGAAAGTTGTGCTCTGTTGTGGGCGTCTACTTGGCAGCAGTGGGCCAGCACTGCTCTGTGGACAGGTGGGCAGGCACATACACACACATAACTCGTGCACAGCAAACATGCACACATGTGTACAAGGCACATGTGCATGTAACTTACTGCACAGACCTATATGCACATATGTAACCCTGGCACACACATGCCCCCTTTCCCGACACCGGGCTTGTCCTGGCTGTTAGGAGTGGCAGCTATGCTTGCTTCCATGCTGCGGGAACCATACAGCTGGGACAGATGGAATGAGGGTCACAAGGCCAGGAGTTGCTCTGGCTGCCTAGCACGGCCGGGCAGGATGTCTCTAATCACCTCATTGCTGCCTCACCCCATTGTATGGGCAGTCCATCACCTCTCTGCTAGTTCATGGAATTACTGGTATGACACCTGAAACTGATTATTTTCAATCATGTTATGGGAAAAGGGTCGTTGGCAACTTAAGACAATGACACACAGCTAGAAGCATGCAATAGTACAATTGAGTGCACATTGTTCCCAAACCTCTTATTATGTGCCCACCTTTGTCCTGGAACTTACCCTAAAATGCATGATGTCCTCCTTAAGAAATGGCTTGGCAACAGTTGACAATAATGGAAGCACAAGTAGTTTTTTTACCGTGCAGCTTCGAACTGCTGCATTACACGGAATGACGCATTTTGGCTTCCCACCACAAAAAGCAGAAAGTATACGGGGCATCTTCTAAAGGCAGACAAATGCTGTGAGCCCCTAGAGGAAAATGGTTTGAAACTTATACCTTATATTGCCACTTATATTTAGGGAAAGGAAATAGTTGAAAAAGATAAGTTTCTTGTGAAGGTCTTCCATTCAGAGAAAGGCTGAACTGCCCTGATCCTGCCCACTGTCCTTCAACAAAACAAAAACAACTGAATCAGTACTAGGTGAGGTAACCAGTGATTGATTGTGAGATTTAATAAAGAATCTATGACATATGCCTTTATAATCTCTTCACTTATAAGTTTCCTTTTGAATTCTTGATATTATTAGTTTAGATTCAGTGAAAATTGACTTTGGATGTAAGTAAACCACCCGTCACTATGTAACCGCATGTACTGCCAACCGTGGAGCTCCTGGCTTCAGCCGGGTGTCTGCAGGTCTGCAAGAGTAATGGCTTGCTGAGAATGTTTTCTTTGAAGTGAAATAATTTTTTTAGGATTGTTTTTGTATTCTTTTAACCATGAAGTAAAAATGAAACAACTGGATGTTGTGCAAAGGCTTGTGATGACTTCTGCATAAATAAAGAAGGCAACTTTTCTGAGTTGTCCATTATGAGCATCATGCTCTAGTGGTCCACGTGTCTTGTCTGCCTTCTCGCCGATCCGCACATCCTCCTCGAGCTCTGAAGTCAGCTGAGCTGGTCTTTGGCACTGTGCCTCTGCCTGCTAGGGAGGGCTGAGGGGGCTGTGGCAGTGGCGTGAGCTCCTGGTTCAGGGAGCCCTGGAGCACCCCCTCCCCCAGGCCTGACTTCTGCCTGGCCTTGCTCTGAGGCCCCACACAGTCCAGGCTGTCACTGGAGCCTGAGCTGGGCTATTTTAGGTTTAGCTTTTAGGCCTGCTGCCACCCGTTCTGCTACTGGCTACCTCCCACCGCCTGTCTCTCCTGGAATGCTGATTGGCAGTTGGCTGGGTGGGGGCAGGGCATGGACTGTTATAAAGCCAGGGGTGCTGCCGAGGTGCTGTCCTGGTCCACAGCCCCGTGTCCACCACTACCGCCATGGCCACCCACCGTCTAGTGATGGTCCGCCACGGTGAGAGCACCTGGAACCAGGAGAACCGCTTCTGCGGCTGGTTTGACGCAGAGCTCAGCGAGAAGGGGGCTGAGGAGGCCAAGCGGGGGGCTGTGGCCATTAAGGATGCCAAGATGGAGTTTGACATCTGCTACACATCAGTGCTGAAGCGGGCCATCCGCACACTCTGGACCATCCTGGACGGCACGGACCAGATGTGGCTGCCCGTCGTACGCACCTGGCGCCTCAATGAGCGCCACTACGGGGGCCTCACAGGCCTCAACAAGGCAGAGACGGCTGCCAAGCACGGGGAGGAACAGGTGAAGATCTGGCGGCGCTCCTTCGACATCCCACCACCCCCCATGGATGAGAAGCACCCCTACTATGCTGTCATCAGTAAGGTGAGCCTGGGGTTGTGTTGGGGAGTTCCCAGGGTGGGGCAAGGGGGTGGGGCTGGCGTCCAGGGAGGGGACAGCAGTGTCCCTGTACTCCCCAGGAACGCAGGTACGCGGGGCTGACACCCGGGGAGCTGCCCACCTGTGAGAGCCTCAAGGACACCATTGCCCGTGCTTTGCCCTTCTGGAACCAAGAGATTGCCCCGCAGATCAAAGCTGGCAAGCGGGTGCTCATCGCGGCCCATGGCAACAGCCTGCGGGGCATCGTCAAGCATCTGGAAGGTGAGAGGCCAACTGGGGCGGTGTTTACAAGTCATGCATGCACCAGGATGCGGGGCAGACACCCCAAAGGTCCTGGGCGCAAAGCTGCCCACTGCTAATTACTGCTCCAAAGCTCAGGCCCCTGCAAGCTTCAGAGTGGCTTCCTGCCAAGGGCACCCAGCCGGGCAGGGCAGAGACTGGCCCCTGGGTCCTTCAAGTGTAAGTGCAGAAGCAGAGGTGGGTCTGTGGTGAGGCCATCAGATACAGCAGGGTGGGGACCATGCTGACACACTGGCCTGAGGCCCAAGGGGGAGCAGCCATCTCTAGACCTCCTTTTCAGGGGCCTCTCCTGGCCTGGTGAGGGAAGAGGCAGCACAGCGGCAAGGGGGTGCACGACTCAGCAGAGAACACTCTGGACCATGCTATGCAGCAGAGGGTGGGGCAGCACTGCCAGCAAAGGTCGCGCTGCTATTCCCGGCCGGCAGGGGCCCTGGAGCAGATGGGGTTGGGTTTCCTTCACCCCAGTGGCTGGGAGCTCCGGGCTTGCTTGGCTCCCAGCATGCAGGGTGAGCTGTGGATGGCACCGTTGCAGGTCTTGGTTTCAGCACACTATTCCTGTAGCTGCTAGCCTGGCTTGTCTGTGACCTTTAGGCACGGGGCTGGTGCCACAGAGGAACTGACAGATGTTATACCTTGGTCCAGGGATGTCAGACCAGGCCATCATGGAGCTGAACCTGCCCACGGGGATCCCCATCGTGTACGAGCTGGACCAGGCACTGAAGCCCACCAAGCCCATGCGCTTCCTGGGAGACGAGGAGACGGTGCGCAAAGCTATGGAAGCTGTGGCAGCCCAGGGCAAGGCCAAGTGAGGGTGGGCACCGGCAATAAAGCCAGCTTTTCCCCCTGCTTCAAGGTGTGTGGCCAGATGTGCCAGGCTCACGGCCTGCCCAGCTTGGTCCAGCACGAACAGTTCAGTGTGAGCCATGGGGCGACGATGTGCTTGGCCCAGATGAAGGCAGGCCTCCCTGCAGGGAGCAAGGTGTGCTCCTCCAGAAGGGGGTGGTCCTGTTTTCCCTGCCCTGAGTCCCACCTCCCTGCTGCAGACATGCCATGTAAGTCTGGGGGCTTCCCTACCACGGTACGCCCCCCACTTGGGGGAGGACATCTGCAGGGGAGGTTGGGAAGTGGCCTGGAGCACAGCACCACCTGAGCGGAGGGGCCAGGTGCTGCCCTAGGCCACAGGCTGGATGGCTGAACCTCTCCCAGAGCCACCGACACACAGCGAGATGCCAGCTGTCATTTATGCTCTTCCAGGTGGCTCGTCACTGGCCCGAGGGTGCAGCCCTGGCACAGCGCACACCCCCGGGAGGTACTTTCCCACGGGAACTTTCAGGGCACAGCAGAGCCAGAAACCCATCAAATAAGTGATTGGCAGATTCGTTCTTCAGATAGACAGGCTGGGACACAATGGCAGGCGTGCAGGCCATTCCAGCACACCTCAGATGTCAGTAGCGGCCCGCGCTGTGGGGGCAGCCACAGGGGAGCCTGGCAAGGACCCCTCTCACAGCCCCAGCCCATCCTCAGGGTCAGCCCTCACCGAGATTGGCTCCGACTTGGTTTGGATGTCACCAAAGACCATTCTCCTGAGGGTAAGCGTCAACCTAGGCAGCTGTGGTCACACCCCGAGAAACAGAGCAGGAGAAAAGGCAGGTGCACAGGCAGCTCCGCCCAGCCAGGGCTGCAGGAACCGCTGGGGAGTCACCAGGTTACATCTGGGGTGACAGGGAGTCCCCAGGCTTCAGCGCTCAGCTGTGTCCCTGGCTGCAGAGGGGAAGATGGCCTTGGCCTCACTCGATGAGCTCCACGTAGTTGGCGGGGAACATGCCGAAGTGGCCGTCCGGCCCGTAGCCACGCCACCAGCCCTCATCGATCACCTCGATGCCCGTGATGAGGTTCTCGGGGTCGAAGGAGATCTCGGTCTCGTCCGCTGCAAGGGGGCAGGCCCGAGGCTGCAGCAGGGGCTCTGTGTGGCCGAGTGACACCCACAAGCCCCTCCCCAGAGCCACCGCCGGGCGCCCCCAGGATGGCGAGCAGCACTAACACTGGGCGGGATGGGAGGTCATCCCTGCTACAGGGGTTCTGCCTCCCACTCTCCGTCCACTGGCACCCCATACCCCGGTGCCAGACCTGCAAGGTGTGGTGGCCCACTGGGAGCCTTACCTGCCTGGTAATCATACAGGGCTCGGGCACACAGCCCCTGCCCGCTGAGGTCCTGGCCCTGCACGTAGTGCTCTGCGCCAGCTCCCTGATGCATCTGCCGGACGTGAGAGTGACAAGGGACCTCAGGGCCAGCCGGCACGCCCAGGGCTGGTCCCTGACAGCCGGCCCAGTGTGTGCACCATAGGAAACCCAGGCATGCCTGAGCCCTCCCATGAGTGAACCCACCAGCGGGGGCTCCTCGTAAAGGTCCTCTGGCTGCGGGGGTTCCTCGTACACAGCCTCCTCTTGCTCCTGCTCAAGGCCTGGAGGGCTACGGGGTGCTGGCTCCTCGGGGCCACCTGCAGCAGAGGCCATGATAGGGCTGATCCCCCCTGTAGCGCCAGCACCCCTGTACTCCACCAGTGCCCCCTGCAGGCCCTGGGAGGATGCACGCCTTGCCTGCGGTGGGTCTGGAGACAGTAGGAGTTGGCTCCCGGCTGAAGGGGACCTCGGGCTGCGTGAGCTGCTTCTGCAGGAAGGGACTCTTCAGCTTGCCTGCAGACACAGCAGAGATGCCCGTAAGAAAGCCACACACACACACACACACACACACGACCCATCAGTGCTCCTGGCCTCCTGCCCTCCCGCCCCTCTGCACATATCATACACTCGGGGCTCCGAGGAGGCCCCAGGCTGGAGGACTACCTGGCTGAGGGCTGGAGATGGAGGTGGTGGACAAGGCCCGCTCCTTCTGCTTGAAGATTTCCCGCGGGTGCACGGCTTGTGCTCCGGCTGACTCCTGGTGCAGGGCGGGGCAGACATACATGTGCCCTGCCCAGGGAGCAGGAACCCAGGCCTTGGCCCACTGCGTCTCTCCCAAGGCAGCCCCTCAGGGCTGTGCATGTGTGATCTGGAGGCTTGGGGCCCGGCCACAGCCTTGTTGGCACTGCTGCCCTTGCTTCTCCGCTCTCTCTGATGCCTCAGCTGGCCTTGGGTGCCCTCCATGGAGGAGAGCAAGCCTGGGTCAGGGGCAGCCCTAGGGACCATGGGGGTGTGAACCTGTGAGTGCCCAGGCCCTCTGGGGGCGAGGGGCATCCGCCTTACCCACTCCTCTCTGTTTCTTGAAGCCATGTCCTGCTGCTCACTCGTCCTGCAGGCAAGGCCAGCATGGCAGCTGAGGTGCAGCACGGGGCACCCGGTCCCCACTCTGCACCTGGGGAAGGTTGGGCTCACCTGGCGGGGCTGGCTGCAAGCTGCTGTGCCTGGTAGCGCTGCTCCCGGAGCTCTGCCTCGCGCAGCTCCCTCTCCCTGCGCTCCTCCTCCAGCCGCTGCCGCTCCTCCTCTGCCCGCCGCTTCTCTTCCAGCCGGCGGTTCTCCTCCTCCTTCTGTCAGGGGGGCCTGCCCGCTTAGCAGACCTCCCTTTGGCCTTGGGCCCAGCCTCAGACCAGCTCCCACAGGTGTGTGGGGGAGCGGAGCCACCACTGTCTAGCCCAGGCACAACCCATGTACATTCCAGTAGGGCTGATGGGTATTCCCCACAGAAGCAAACAGCCTATCCCCCATCCCCCCCAAGCCCAGGCCGGGCAAGCAGCTCATCTGTCCTACCTAGCAGCACCTACCTCAGCTTTGGCCCAGAAACTGTCTTTGCCAACCCTCTTGATCTCAGACACGGCATTGGTCTTCTGGTACACAGAACCCTGTGGGGTGAGGGTGTGTGCTGGCACTGAGGCCTTGAGTCAGGCCACAGGCAGAGTCATGAGGCTGTGGCAAAGGCAGCCAGCATCCCAAGGGCAGACCGCATAGGCAGAGAAAGCCCCCAGCGCCACCTGCTACCCCATAGTGACTGGCACAGCAATGAGCAAGGAGCCGGCATATACTGCTGGCTGAGGCAGTGGCTCCTGGCCTTGCCCCGCCTGTTGCCAAGGCTACAGGGTCACTGGAGCGGGAGTCCCCACATCATGGTGGCTATGGTTTTGGGCTTCATCCCAATACCACACAAAGCTTCTGGCATGGGGAACCGTGGACTAAGGGTGGCAGGATGACCAGAGGGCTGTGTCCCCTCAGAGCCAGTTCCAGATTAAGGCTTGGGACTGGCGGTCAGTCACCCCCAGGCAGGCCCCAGGACTTAGGCAGGGATGGGGGGGCAGCCTCACCACGGGGGCCTGGGGCCCTGTGTCCTGGAAGCGGTTGCTTTCCCTGTGGAAACTGTAGTTGGCCCCTGAGGCCTTGGCCACCTTCTCCATGATGCATGCGGGCTCCACGTCCTCCTCTGCCCGTGCATTGATGGTCACGTGAGCCCCCTGTGGTGAGAGCAGTGGGTGCCTCCCTCAGCTGAGGCCAAGGGTGGGTCCCAGCCCCCTTACTGAGGGTTCTGAAGCAAGGGCTTCCCTCAAGGGTCCCACCAACCAGCCGGGGGCAAACCCTGGCACCTGTGCTGCTGCGGAGAGCCCTGCCCACTCCCCAGGGCAGATAGCCCTGCTGTAGTTCACCAAAGGCCTCCTTGGGGCTAGGCGGCACGCCGCTGAGACAACAGTGGGAAGCCACCTTGTCCTGCGAAGAGAGCCTCCTTCCTGAGAAGCCGCACCCCTGCCAGCGTCCTGTTACTCTGGACCCAATCGCAACCAAAGCAAAATGGGAAAAACTAAAGAATTGGCAGGACCAAATTCGAAGTCTGAGGTTTCCTTGCCAGTAATCAAAATGCCAGTCAGGGGCTGGCACAGCAGCACAGGAAGCTAAGTCTCTGCTTATGGCACTGCAATCCCATACAGACACTGGTTCTAGTCCAGGTTGCTCTACTCATGATCCAGCTCCCTGCTGTCTGGGAAAGCAGCAGAGGATGGCCCAAGTGCTGGGCGTCCTGTACCCACGCAGGGAGTGGAATCCTCTGGTCTTGGCCCAATGACCAGAGGGGACGGCGGTCGTGGGGGAGCTCCTGGCCCAGTACCCGGACAGCTGGGGAGCGGAAGGCTTGCCCGTTACTGCAGCAGGACCGGCTTGGCCCTCACCTTCAGGAAGCTGGCCATGGTGCTAACATGGTTGGCGCAAACTCCTTTCCGCGCATCATTCACACCCTCGCCCGTCTGCAACACAAGCACAGCCAGCATGACCCAGGGCACTCTCAGAGCCACCGCCCCCTCCCCAGGCCCCCAGGGAGAAACTTTCAACCCCCAAAGCAGAGGCTAGTCTCCTGAGCATGTCCCATAGACCCCTCGAGGTGCCCAGAGTGTGCTCTGCAGAGCAGTGCTGCCTCCCACCACGGGGCCTTTCCTGGGGTGTCCTGCCCTCAACAAGCCCCGGCCCTCTACCCCATTCCTACTCCAGCTCATAGGAATGTCTCTGGGCTTGAAGGCTGCACTGCGCGCAATGAAGCAGCCATGGCCAAGTGAGGTCTCTGCCGGCCTGGCGGCATCCACAAGGCCAACCCCCACGTACCCAGTTGATGAGGACAAACTTGGGCAGGCCGGAGTTGGGGTCCTTCACCCGGCAGAAGGCGTACATCACCTTCCCGCTGCTGAGTTCCTCCACCAGCTCCTCGAGGCCGCCCTCTGCAGTGCCACACGGACAGTTAGAGGCAGCCTGTGCCCCAGCCCACCCCAGTGGCCAGGACCACCTATACACCAGGCCTTCCCACTCCCTCTGGCTGCTGAACTGCCCTGGGTCCTGCCCCCCCTGGCCGAGTACCTATGGTACTGTTCTCACCCACACTAGCCTAAAGGCTATGCCTCTAAACCCCTGGGGACCTCTGGAATAAGAAAACAAAGGCCATCTCCACTGAGAGAGGCCAGGAGCTCCCACAGCAGGCCTCTGTACCAGCAGCTGGCTGCCTGGGCCCCCATGAAGGCCCCTGGACAGCAGGGTTGGGCTGCGGGTCACTTGATGTCAGCTCAGGCTGCAGGGTCTCAGAGGGGCAGAAGAAGGAGTGGGGAGGGTGCCCTAAAGCATTCACCCCAACACTGAGCCTTGGTCTCCCTGTAAGGAGCAGCAGCAGCTCAGGACACAGCCAGGCCACGTGTTGGGAAGGCACGGTTCTGCTTTCCCATGGCCCTGTCCTGGAGGCTGCAGGGCCACGCCACCTGCTGTCCCGGGTGAAGGAGGCCACAGAGGAATACTTCCACTTACTAACTGCCTGGGGCTGGCCTATGAGGGGCAGTGGGGCAGGGAGCCCCCGCACGGCTTATGCAGGAGGCCCGGAGCTGTCGCTGCAGCCGAGCCATACTTGGGGACCTCCAAGGGCCCCGGCGCTCCTTCTGCTCTGACGGCTGCAGGCTGCAATCGCCTCCCCTCTGCACACTTCCCTGCTTCCCTGCAGGGCTCGGGGAGCCCGCCTGAGGCCACACTCACCGCCCGTGCCGGCCACACGGATGTCATTGCTGTTGCCTTCATAGGTGAAGAGCGCCCTGGAAGAAGACACGCACGGGTTCTGTGGCCGGCACCCAGGCACGCCCCACCTTTCTGCACTCAGGGCCTGGTGGATACGCCCCACCCCACCCTGCTGCGACCTGCCTGGCAGGTTCTTTCAGGCGGCCAGGTGACCTGCAGCTCAACCTGTAGCTAGCCCTCTCAGCCCAGAGATAGGGAACACAAGTCCACCCAGGAAAGTATAAGCTGTGGCGTCGGATGACCTGCCACATGCTCACGGGTGAAGTCCTCATCTGGTAACCAGATACACGGCTTTAAAGAGACAAAAGATGTTTATGCATTCCTGCACCCAGAAGCTGCTGCCAAGCAGCGAGTGCCATGGGTAGATGCCACACAGAGCAGGGAGAACAAGCCATCCCAGGCCCTGGCCAGGAGGAGGGCAGGAAGCAGACCCAAGATGGAGAGCCAGGGCTGGGCCCTGCCCGTGCCTGTCCAGGGCCTGGGCCGAGGCTACACGCTGTGTGACCCACCACACTGGACAGCACCTCTTCCTCTGTGCCTGGGCCCCCAGATGACTTTCCCTGTAGGCTATCAGTCCAGAGAAGCAGGGACACTCCAACCCTTCCAGCGGAGGTACAACACGTGTCCCACCGCTTCCGATCCAAGTCAACCAGAGATGGCGGGGAGGCTCCCTCCCCGGACCGAGAGGCTGGAGCGCCACCTGGGCTGGCAAGAGGAAGGGTGCCGCAGAGCAGAGGGGCTAAGAGGAACCAGCCTCAGGTTTGAGGAAGAGAGATCTTCCGTGCGGCGACAAGCAGGTGTGGCCACAGTGCAAGCATGATGGCCGGGCGCAGAAGCCGTGTCACCCAGAGCCAGTGGCTGGAGCGGGCATGGGCCTCTACTACCGCAAAGCTATCAGTGAGGAAGTGACACGGCTGAGCTGTTTTCTCAGGCAGCACGTAGGGAAAGGCCACTATCTGCTAATTGAGTGGCTGTGACCAGGGGGTGGAAGACCGGGACAGGGCTGCCCATGCTGGGGGAGGGGGAAGGTGGGGGGTGACACCTGCCTGGGAAGAAGCCCCAGGTGAAGAACAGGGAGCTGACCGCCTCACCCCAAGCCAGATGCCTCCCAGGAAGGCGGGCATGGGGATGGACTGGAAGTGGGGCTAGGAGTCACCCAGGGAGTCAGTGCAGGTTAACCCGGGTGGCCAAGAGCCCCCCTCCGTGGCCAAAGCAGGTGGCTGCACGTGGATGGGGAAAGGAGAATTGGGCTTGGGGTGCAGATTCTGCTGACGGGATCTGAGGCAGGTGGGGGAGGCGGGTCAAGTATTCTGAGGGGCACCGTTGGGAACGGCAGACGCCTGAGCAAAGTGGGCAAAGCTGTCTCGCAGAATGAGGGCCGCAGGATAACCCTGGCCCAGGGAGGGGTTGCCTCCCAACCGCCTGGGCGACCCAGGCCCCGAGTTGGGGCCTCGGGAAGGGTCCCGCCTGGGACTCGCGCAGCTTCCCCGCACATCCGCACATCCAGGGCGGGAGGCGGACAGCTCGTCCCGGGTGCGGTGCCCAGCCAAGAGCCTTCTCTTGGTTCACCTGGCTAGGTTCGGCCTGGCCAAGAGCAAGGCAGGATCGCAAGCCCACGCTCACGGCCTTGGACGCCCCCCACCCCCGCCCAGACCCCAGGGCGCTGTCAGGGGAGCCCGGGGCGTGGCTTCCGCCTTCTCGCAGCAGGCTGCGGCGGAGCCCTCCTCTGCCCCAGGATCGTCCCCCGGGCAGCAGGCACCCGACAGCCCCCCAAAGGCAGCACGGCCAGGCCGGGAGCCCAGTCCCTGGCCGGTCCCGGGCGGTGGGCGCGCAGCCGCGCCCGGCGCGCACAGACCCGCCGCGTCGCGCACCAGTCGGTCGGGGACTTCTCCGTGACCACCCGCACGTAGGCCTCCTGCAGCGCAGGCCCGTTCCGGCTCAGGTTCGCCGCCATGCCCGCCGCGCTGCCCGCGCCGCCTCCGCCGCCGCCGCCCCGCCGCCTTGCGATGCCCGCAGCCGCGCCGCCGCCGGCCGGAAGCCCCGCCCCAAGGCCGGAAGCGGAAGTGGGGCGGGGCGCCGGGGCCGACGGGCGCAGGTGGACCCGGGATGGCGGCGGGCAGTGGTCCCTCGGGGACCCTCGCACTTCATTCTGTGCCGACCCGCCGCAGGCACTGCTCGGTGAGGCTCGGCAACTGCAGGCGTGCCGCCTCCTCCCACCTGCGCCTTCTGCGGTGTGGTCCGGAGGGGAAGGTGAGGAAGGAGGAGAATCCACCTTGAGCTTCGACTCCACGCCCGTCCCGGGGGTCGTCCTGCCTGCAAAGGAGGAGGCCACGAGATATGGGCGCTGCTGTGGGTGGACTTACCGCCCGCCAGGAAAAGACAAGGCCAGGTAGCTCCCAGCTTCTTTCCCAGCCTCTCCTACCGCCTTAGCATAAAGACCCACAGGCAGCAGGTGTACAGGGTAAGCCCCTTCTGCAGTGCGGGCGTCTCAGATGCACCCTGCACTGTCGTTTAGATGTGAATTATTTCCCTAAATTCAGTCTCCCAAGTTTGACATGTATGGTTCTAAGAGACCGGAGATGATTCTGGCTCTGCGCCCTGGCCAGGGGACTGCACTGTAGCATCAAATCCTGCAGAAGCAGCTGGTGGGTCCCGCGTTGCCCTGCAGCGCTGTCAGAAGGTCCTGGCCAGGTGAAGCCTGAGACCTGGTACCTCCAAGAGCCTGGCCTGGGGCCCATGGACATGACCGCCTCAGTTGTCAGAGCGATGGAAGGGCGTGGGGGGGAAGGGTTATACTGTGGACTCCTGTTGCCCTCGGCAGCAGGAGCAGGGCCCGCCCCTGGTCCGCAAACCCCTTGGTTCTGTGGCAGTGCTGTGTCTGAACGGTGGGCTCAGGCAGGCGTGGCAGGCCCGATCTTGCCGCTGAGCAAGGCTTCAGTTAACCAAGCTGTCAGAGGGCTGGGACTGGTGCTGGCTGTTTGTATTCGGGCTCACATCAGGGTTGCGTATTGGCCTGGTTGGCTGTGCTCCTGTAACAGAATACGCCCTGTGCGCCTTGCCAGAGGACACGGGTCATCTTCCCAGGGAAGTCCAGGCCACGGCCCGGACAAAGTGGGGGCTTGCTGTCCATGCGGGGACAGTGCAGGGTCAAGAAAGGGAGCGGGGCGAGAGGCACCCCCCCCACCTTGGTCGCAGGGGCCAGAGTGCAGTGCGTGGACAGGGAGGACCCCAACTCGAGGAAGTGCCAGGCGCGCCTGCCAGCTGTGCCCCCCCGGTCCTGCTGTTCCCTAGGCAGGCCTTCCTGCTTCTCCTTCCTCAGCCCAACCTCCCCCACCCCTTGTGAGCTTCTGTTCCCAGCCTGGTTCCCTCCTGGGGAACTCAGCCCTTGGTCTCCAGCTCTTTTGCATGTCTGGAGGCCTGGTGTCTTCCCTCTCAGTGAGGCTGTTTCAACCCCTCCCAGTGCTGGTTTTGCCCCTCCGGAGGCTTGCAACCACTTGCTCTTCAGTTCGGTCAGCACCAGCTCTGGTTTCCTCTGCTACACTCAAGTGTACAGTAGGATGCCCTGGGGCCAGATTAGCCAGGTCCCATGCTATCTTGGTTGTGCAGGCCCAGGGAGCAGGTCTCTGTGCTTGGAGCCGGATCAGCTGGTGACTGGCTCATCCCTTCCAGGAGAGAAGAGCAGGCCAGGGCTGTGAGGAGGGTTCTCCTGGGGCACAGGAAGCTCCTGTAGGAAATGCAGATGGGAGTGCACCTGAGGATGTGCGGTCTTGGCAGTGGGAGACGGGGTAGGGAAGGCCCTGGGTTTTATTGTGGGTGTAGCAGGTTTTCAAGAGGGAAGTGATCTGCCGCCCACAGCCCGTCTCCACTGTGGGTCTCTCCCAGTCCTACTGGGGAGGGAGGAGCCCTGTGTGTTGGAGCAGCTTGGGATTCCCTACAGCCGCTCACTTTTAAGTACAGCCCATCCATGGGGAAGACCAGGGTGGGAATGACGAAGCTAGGAGACTGGCTCTAGAGAGGGCACGAGCCTCGCTCTCATCAGCAGCCCTGGGTGAGGGAGCAGGCCTGGGGACGGCGCTGCTGCTCCCGCCCTGGTCGGTGCTGGCAAAGGCGCAGGTCACAGGTGCAGAGCCCACAGGTGTGGGCCGAGGTAGGATGGGGCAAGCGGGTCTGCTGGCTCGGAGCTGACCTCTGTCCCTCTGGAAGGCAGGTGAGCACAGGCTGGGTGCGGTGCACAGCCGCCAGGAAGCCCCTTCTCTGACAGAGACCTCGGCTGCGAGCTTCTAGGCCTGTGGACATGTGTGCTGGGGAGACGACCTTTGTTCTGTCAAAGTGGCTGTGGTGGGGGGTGGGGAATGACAGGAGGTTCAGATTGTGTCTGGGGGGCAGTGTTGTGGAACATAGGGTAGTCACCTGCAATGCTGGCAGTGCCGGCAGTGCACGTGAGCACCACTTGCAATGCAGCTGCTTGCTAATGGCCTGGGAATGGCTAGGGAAGATAGCCAGCATCCCGGCCCCTGGTGCCACAGGGGAGCCCTGGAGGGTGCTCCGTGTGGCTCAGCCCTCGCTGTTGCAGCTGTCTGGGGAGTGAACCAGCGGATGGAAATCTGTCTCTCCCTCTCTCTCTCTCTCTCTCTAATTCAAGTAAATAAATACATCCTCAAGAAAAAAAATAGAGATGCATCTTGCCCCCGCCCCCAACCGTGTAGCTCAGAACCCTGCCTCCTTTGCCAGTGCCAGCTTCTGCCACCATGTCCCCTGGGAGGCAGCAGGTAATGGCTTGTGGACTGGGGTCCCTACCACCTGCAGGATTTCAGATTTTGGCCTGGCCCAGCCCAGGGATGGGATAACTCCACCTGTTTCTATTGCTCTGTCAATCTACATTGCAAAGAAATAAACGTTTCAAAAAGTCCTAAAATAAAGCCAAGTGCTACAGTGCATAAACATGATTCTAATCTAGTCAATGAAAAGCATTTTTGCCTATTATCAGGAAACTTAAGGTTAGAAATCATGACATCCATGAAGCTCTCAGAATTACAAGTTGGAGGGCCCGGCACAGTAGCCTAGTGGCTAAGGTCCTTTCCTTGCATGCGTCAGCATCCTATATGGGTGCCAGTTCTAAACCTGACGACCCGGCTTCCCGTCCAGCTCCCTGCTTGTGGCCTGGGAAAGCAGTGGAGGACGGCCCAAAGCCAGGGACAGCCGCCTGCTCTGGGTCTGCTCATCCAGGCAGTCAGTACCGGGACACACGCACATGCACACACAATATCCACGAGCCACTCTTCTCTTTGGACATAGTCAGCACTAAACTATAGGGACTGCACGATGTTGGGGCAGATGCTGCCGTTGCTGTTGATACTGGGGTGATGAAAGCAACCTGATAAGTCAGAGGAGTTACAGGGGCAGCTGGAGAATGAAGCAGCATAGAAGTGGCATGCTCGGGTCTGGGTACTTAGTGCTTGGTGCCTGGTGGTCAGTGCTCGGTGCTTGGTGCTCAGTGCTTGGTGCCTGGTCTGGCCCTTGGTGAGCTGACCCCCACCACACACCCTGACAGGACACAGCACGGGTGATTGTTGCAGAAGTCACTTGGGCCGCCGCTGCTGGATGCTCCTTCCCAGAACAGTGGATAATACTCGGGGCACAGCTCTGGTTAGGGCTACAGTGGGGGACAGAGTTGCCAAGGGCAAGAGACAAAGCCCGCTTGCCACGTGCTTAGTTCACAGCCTAGACAAGACTGCAAACTTCAGCCAGCTCAGTGCTGCCAGGCGTGTCACCTGCGGCAAGCCCAGCCTTCCCATCCCTGTTTGTGAGACCCGGTGTCTTCCTAAATTTCAAACGTGAGGACGCACAGGTAGCCAAAGCTACAGTGCCTCCAGGTGGTTGGGTGCAGGGCTGCGACTGGGTGTGGCTGTCCACAGGGAAGGGCTGGGCGCCCAGAGGCTGAAATTCCCAGGAGGCACTGACGCCAGGAAACGGTGACTGACGTCCAATCCAGTAGCAACTCCCTTCCTGCACACACCTTGGGCCTGACGACCCCAAACATGCCAGCACCTGCCCATCTGTTCCTGTGAAAGAGGCAAGGGCGTCCCAGCTGATAGTCATCTGGTTCTGGAAGATCCTGTGAGGAGGGTGCTGGCCCCTGGGGACTGGGCCCAGCTCAGGGCCACCACCAGGGCAGCCTTGGCAGTGCGACCTTGTCAGTAGCCCGTCCCCCAGCCTGGCCTTGCACTGTACAGGGCTTGGTTCTGATGTCCTGCAAAGCTGCACCCGGGGGTGGTAGGGTGACAGCTGCCAGGCCGCCCTGGGGACAGTTCCCCTTCCCTGGGGCAAACATCCAGGGAGCTGGGGGCTTCACCTCTGGGACCCTGAAAGCGTGGTCAGTGGGTAAGTGGACGCTCATCAAGAAAGTGCCTCCACGGTAAGGACTGTCCAGCTGCACGGATGAGACAAAGATCAGCGGCTAGGTGGGCACAAGAGCCAGGGGCACACTAGCATATGACCTACAGGCCCAGGGTGGTGGCCTGCCAGTGGAACACTGCACAAAAGAGAGAGCATGTGAGGCCCCTGCTGACACCTGCTGTGAGTCCTGGGCAGCTGTCCACATAGGCCAGCTCTCATTGCAATGACCGTAGGGTGCTCTGAGCCACCCTCAGGATGGGTAGCTCACAGCACCTCTGCAAGTTTCCCGGCACAGCTGTGCTCATGGCCGGGATTCACCATGGGGACAGTCACACAGCCTGTCCCCTCGGCAGGGTCCCTCATACCTCTGTCCTCCCAGGCTTGCAGGACAAGCTGGTCTCTGGTGGTCCTCATGCAGCTCCATGCACCTGTGCTCACCCCCTGTCCCCTTCCCATGTGGGGCTGCCTTCCCCATCCAGAAACATGCTGGGCGTGGGACTGGCCCAAAGTTTCAGGCTGATCCTGAGCTGGCTTCCTGCTGGAGTACCCGGGCATGGGAGGGCACAGCGCAGGGCTGCTCCTCCAGAAAGCGGAAGTAGAGACAGCAGTGGCCCTGGGCCCTCAGGACTAGCTCTGGAACATTCACACCTGCACCCTGTGACCAGAGGCCCTGCCTGGATGTCCATGTGACCATGACCCTGAACGGGCCCCAGGGAGGGAGGGTGCCAGGTGGCAGAGCCAGTCCCCTCTGAGCACCCACAGAGTAGCCCTGTTGGGCAGTGGTTGGCAGAGACAACGCGCGTGCGCGCACACACACACACACACACACACACAGCCACCCAGTGGCCACCATGGCAGTCACACACAGAGGGGTACCCAGCAGCCACCATGGTGGTTATGGCAATTGCAAGGAGATTCCTGTATCAGAGGAGACGGATGTCTACCCTGAAATGGCTGAAACTCAGGCGTGGCTATACTGTCCTGAAACCTGTAGTTCTGCATAGCAGTTTCCACAGTCACAACCAAAAATGAAGTTAACTCGTCTTTTAGAAGGTGAAGTAAAGTTTAAGCAATCATTGAAAATAAGGGAACAACATGAGACCTTATTGTGACACAATGTGGGATGTGCCACGTGGCTACAATAATCAGAGAAACACCAGGCACAAAGCAAACCACACGGTCACCACAGCGACATGACAGGGCCAGTGACAGCTTTCTGAACACACACAGACTTGGTATTTCTCAATTTTTGTTTTTACTTTTTTAAAAAAAGATTTATTTATTTATTGAAAAGTCAGATTAACAGAGAGGAGGAGAGACAGAGGAAGATCTTCTGTCCGATGATTCACTGCCCAAGTGAGTGCAATGACCGGTACTATGCCGATCTGAAGCCAGGAGCCAGGAGCCTCTTCCGGGTCTCCCACGTGGGTGCAGGGTCCCAAAGCTTTGGGCCGTCCTCTGCTGCTTTCCCAGGCCACAAGCAGGGAGCTGAATGGGAAGTGGAGCTGCAGAGATTAGAACCGGTGCCCATATGGGATCCCGGGGCGTTCAAGGCGAGGACTTTAGCTGCTAGGCCACACCGCTGGGCCCTGTTTTTACTTTTAAAATTTTACTTATTATTATCATTTTATGATACAGTTTCATAGACCTGGGATTTCCCTTTTGCCTTCCCCAGGTCCTCCCCCATCACTGAGTCCCCCTATAGGATTGCTATAGTATTGTTCTTCATACACAGTCAGATGTCCATCATTGGACATATGGCAGAGTCCAGCATCCTATTGTCAAGATATAGTAAACAGTTTCACTGGGAGTCCAAGTATTTCTCAATTTTTTAAAAAAGTGCATGCATTGCTTTAAAAGTGCATGAAAACTGACCTCAATATTACAACAAATGAAATTTTGCTACATAGAGATCTTGCCCATTCATTTAGAAATGCTGTGCTGGAGGCATGATGGCTCAATGGCTCAATCCTTCCAAGTGCTGGGATCCCATATGGGCACCAGTTCATGTCCTGACTGCTCCACTTCCCGTCCAGCTCCCTGCTTGTGCCCTGGGAAAGCAGTGGAGGGCAGCCCAAAGCCTTGGGACCCTGCACCTTCGTGGGAGACCCGGAGAAAGCTCCTGGCTTCAGATCGGCTCAGTCTCCTATATGGGATGGAGAAGCAGGGAGGGGCAGAGGGCTGCTCTCAGCCGCCAAACTATATGAGCTCCTGAGAGTGGGGATGCAGATATCTACTTTACGTCATCTTAGAAACCTCAAGGCGGAGAAGAATGTTGCAAGGGTATTGCTTGAGTGGTTCTGAGAGTTCTGAGACACTATTGCTTTTATTGCTTAAAGGTTGAGAAAATCTTTCCAGGTTCCATTGGCTGACAGAGTCCCCCCAGTGCTCCACTTGTGCACTGGGGCAGAGTCCAGTATCCTATTGTCAAGATATAGTAAACAGCTGTCCATGGCACAGGCATCAGCAATGGAGGAGGTGCGGTCCTGAAACATGCATGTCAAAGCTGGACCACAAACTCAACACGTCTCCCTGTGGCTGGAGTTTTGAGTCCAGTGGTCCAGTTGGGGATCCCCCAAGGAATCTCTCCTGGGGTGACCCCAGATCTGACTTGTGCATGTGCCAGCCAGCACAGGGTCCAGTGCGGTCCACCACCTGCATCAGCCTACACACACACTGGGGATTGTGGCTGCCTGGTCAGTTTCATCCCCAGCCCCATGTCCCATGCAAACCTGCGTTTTTATCTACAAGGATAATTACTGCCCACATTTTAAAAACTTATTTATTTTCTTAATTTGTTTGAAAGGTAGAGAGACAGATATCTTCCACCCACTTGTTCATTCCCCAAATGCCTCAAATAGCTAGGGCTCTACCAGGCAAAGCCAAGAGGCAGGAACTTAACCCGGGTCTCCTATGTGGGTGGCAGAGAGTGGCACACCCAAACACTGCTGCCTCCCAGGGTGCATGTTAGCAGGGAGTTGTATCCGAAGGCGCCTCAAATCCAGGCACCCTGAAAAAGGGCATGCTAATTGCCATTCTGAAAGCCTATTTCTGTCACACCTTTTCATAAAATATCTGTATTGGAAAAAGCAGACTTACAGAGAGAAGGAGAAACAAAGAGAAAGATCTTCCGTCCAATGATTCACTCCCTAAGTAGTCACAGCTGCCTGAGCTGAACCAATCTGAAGCCAGGAGCATCTTCCAGGTCTCCCACGTGGGTCAGGGTCCCAGGGCTCTGGGCCATCCTCTACTGCTCTCCCAGGCCACAAGCAGGGAGCTGGATGGGAAGTGGAGCAGCCAGGACACAAACCGGTGCCCATATGGGATTCAGGCGCATGCAAGGTGAGGATTTAGCCATTGGGCCATTGTGTTGGGCCCGGTCTACCCTTCTTACAATAAAGTAAGTACTGGAGGCAATACTAAAGTCCAAACACAGGGGCTGGTTAAACACACATCCAGTGGAACACTAGGACGTCGTGTTAATAAGGATTTTTGGTTTCAGTAAAGTTATATTCATGTAAGCCATACAAGTGAGCTTTAAAAGATTATTTGAGAAGAGACGGCGAGAGGAACTCCTCCCTTAAGTTCACTCCCTTCAGTGCCCACAGTGGCCAGGGGATGGACTAGGACCAGCATCAGCAGCGAGGAAGGAGTGGCTAGGACCCAGGACAGCAAGCTGCCATCGGGCACGGGAGCCTACGCAAAGGGAAACAGGGCCCCAGACCCCACCACCTGCCCCCAGGTGGGGCCCTGGCTTGTCCACTGTCAGGAATACACCGAGGGCTGCCCCTTCCCCAACGCCCCCTTCTCTCACTTCGGGGATCACAGTCCCCTGGGCGTGACTTCCAGCCGGAGTGGTCACAGGCACAGAGACATCCTGCCCTGGTCTTCTGAACGCAGGGCAGCCACAGGAGCCGCACACCCCGCGCGAGGCGCCGTGTGGATTTTTGCTCAGTCGCGGGAAGGTGCGGGGGGCCGGGCTCCAGCCCAGGTATTCCGGCTAAGAGCAACAATCGCTGCTGTTCACCACGGCACAGAAACGTGGCCAGCCACGGCTGCTGGGCCCGGAGCGCGTGTCCACGCACTCCTCAACTCGGCCGCACAGATATGGGGACTCACCTGGCCCACGGCAACGTGCCGCTCGGCTCCCGCGCCCCGGCCGCGGGGAAGGCTTTTTTTCGGAAACTTAACCGCAAACTGCGGGGATGTCTCGCAGCTGGCCGCTGCGTAGACGTCCTGGACAGGTGGGCGGGCAGGGAGGCCCGGCCCGGCCCGGCTCCGTCGGCCGCTCCGAGCTGACCCCGGGGCGTCCCCAGGCCGCCCAGCCCTGCCCGAAGCGCCCTCAGGCCCGCCCCCGCCGCGCCCCGGGCCGCCGCTCTCTCGCCGCCTGGAGCGCGGCCCTGCACGGCGCGCGGAGCCGCCGGGAGCGGCGCGGGGCGGGCGGGCGCGAGGCCCCTCCCCGGCCGGGCCGCGGAGCAGCGCAGGCGGCGGCGGCGCGGCCCGCTCATGGCGTCGCCCGGGTGAGTGGTGCCGCGGGCTGCGCCGACTCGGGGGGCGGTGGGCGGCCCGGAGCGCCGGCGCCCCCGCCTCGCCCCGCCCGGGCCTCCGTGCGACCCCGACTCCGACCCCGGCCTCTGCCCCGATCGCGCCCTGCGGCCTCTCCGGCGACCTTGGGCGGCCGCGCGCCGGGCCCCGCCGGCTCGGAGTCTCTGCGCCGGTCGGCGGGCGGGGATCGGTCGAGGAGCGCGGCGGCGCGGCGACAGGGGGTCCCGGTGTGGGGTACCGGGGGAACGGGTTCCTGGAAGACCCTGCGGCCTAGGGTTGCGGCCGGGTGCGGTTGCGTGGCCTGGGGGTGGGGTGCGGGGCTGAGGCCCGGGACGCCTTCGGGTGTTGGGGGACCCCGAGGCCGCAGAGACCGGGGAGCCCTCCCACCCCCACCCCGGGCTTGCCCTGGAGCCCGGTTCCGGGTTGTCAGCCAGATGAGGGGAGGCGGCCCCGCCCGGAGCAGGGAAAGCGGCTTGGGCAGGCCCTTGCCCAGACTCCTCTTTCCCAGCTTTGGATCTTAGGAAATGATGGTGACACACACGGTGCATCATTTTTGGAGCGATTTCTCACTTGACAGTAATAATAACGATTCATTATTATACTTCTTTTTTTTTTGTCCTGTTGCTGGTCATGCAATCCGAGAGTGGCAGCTCTTGCCAACACTTGGGCTTTGCAGGGTCACAGGGTGAACTTCAAGGTCACCACTCTGGTCCATAAACTCTGGGCTGCTCAGGGCCTCACAGGGTCTCAGTGGGTGGCAGCAATTCCCACGGGGCTCCAGGGTGATGAGGGTCTCCGTGCTTCCCCCAGCCCACCCACCCCATCATGCCTGAACTGTGCCCAGCAGTAGCTGGCTCAGGTCAGTGGGCTGAGCAGAAGCTGGGTTCGAACCCCAAGCCCAGCAGATGGGGAGTGAGAGGGGAGGGGGTGGCTGTCTTCTTTGGGACCAGTCTTGCTGAGGATACAGTACTTTGAGCTCATTAATATGGCAAGCAGAGGCCAGGCAGGAGCTGAGGCTGACTGAAGGCGGGGTCAAGGTCCCACTGCATTTCTGCCTCATTCCTCAGCAAAGGGTGAGGCCCCGGAGGTGGCTGGGCCCAGACCCCAGGAGGCTTTGAGCCACTTGATGAGTGCATCTCTGGGGTTTGGTGGTATGTTGTGTGTTATGCTGCTTGTTAAGGTGGACCTAACCCTGTGCCAGACATGAACTGCCTGCAGCTCAGCGGCTCGCAAGTGACCCAGGGTCTGGGGTCATCTGTGGTTTTCTACGGGGTGTCAGTCGCGGCGTGCTGGTCACAAAACTGCAGCACACCTGGTTTCATGTGATGGGGAGACCATCACCTGTCTATGCAAAGTGGGGGCTCAGCTGTATCCCTAGGTTCCCCTGGGAGACCCGGCTGCTGAGATCCCTCCTGGGGGCCACTCAGTCTACTGACTCCATGCCTGAAAGCCACCACACCAGGTGCCAGGTGGCAGGCAGGGCGAGGGGAGCTCCTGCCCGGGTCTTAGCACCTGGTGTGTGTGTTGGAGGAAGTGGCGGGGATGGCAGCATCAGGGCATGACCTGGGACCTGCAGTGTAGGAGGCTGAGCACGGGCTTGGCCGGGGGCGACCGTGGTCTCACTGGTACGCTCACCACCCATCCCTTGCTGAAGGCTGTTTCTGTTTGAGGAACAGCAGTCGGGTTGTGGCTCTAGGATTAGGGTGATGCCAGTGTTGTGCTGTGGGGGACTCCTAACCCACCTGCTCTCACCTCTCCTCTTGGCCCTTGGTCTGGCTCTCACGGCACCCCAGCCCCCTTTCTTACCGGCAGTACCTTCCCTACCTGCCCTTACTTTTTTTTTTTTTTTTAAGATTTATTTACTTTTATTGGAAAGGTGGATATACAGAGAGGAGGAGAGACAGAGAGGAAGATCTTCTGTCTGATGATTCACTCCCCAAGTGACCGCAACGGCCAGAGCTGAGCCAATCTGAAGCCAGGAGCTGGGAGCTCCTCCGGGTCTCCCACGCGGGTGCAGGATCCCAAGGCCTTGGGCTGTCCTCGACTGCTTTCCCAGGGCAGGCTGGGTGGGAATCAGAGCTGACAGGGTTAGAACCGGTGCCCATATGTGATCCCAGAGTGTTCAAGGCGAGGACCTTAACCACTGCGCTATCGTGTTGGGCCCTGCCCTTACTGTTTTAATGCTTGTTAATTTACTTGGAAGGTAGAACTAGAGCAAGAGATTCCATCTGCTGGGTTGCTCTAAATTCCTGCAACAGCCAGGGCTGGGCCAGGATGGGATCAGGAGCCCAGAACTCCATCTGGGTCTCCTGTGGGGTGACAGGGGCCCAAGCCCTTGAACCAACATCCACAGCCTCCTAGGATGCATTAGTGGGAAGCTGGATTGGAGTAGGGTAGCCAGCACTGTGGCATACCAAGTGGGCATTCCAGCTGGCTGGAAAACTCCCATGGTGGTGGGCAAGGCCCAAGGACTTGGGCTGTCTTCTGCTCTTTCTCAGATAGGATAGCAAGGAGCTGGATTGGAAGTGGAGTAGCTGGGAATAGAACTGGCACTCTAATGTGGGATGTTACTATTGTACATGACAGCTTAGTCTGCTGCCCATTTATTTATTTTTATTGCAAAGTCAGATAATACAGAGAGGAGGAGACAGAGAGGAAGATCTTCTGTCTGATGATTCACTCCTCAAGTGGCCTCAATGGCCAGAGCTGTATTGATATGAAGCCAGGAGCCAGGAACTAGTTCCGGGTCTCCCACGTGGGTGCAGGGTTGGGCTGTCCTGGACTGCTTTCCCAGGCCACAAGCAGGGAGCTGGATGGGAAGCGGGGCTGCTGGGATTAGAACTTGCACCTGCATGGGATGCTGGAGCTTTCAAGGTGAGGACTTTAGCCGCTAGGCCACTGCGCCAGTGCCGGTTATGAAGTTTTAATTTACAAATTAGATAGCAGGAGAGATAACACTGCCTAGTGAAAGAGAGTGTTTCTGACAGTGTGCTGCACTGAAAGCTTATGCTTTGGGCTGTCCTTAAATAAAGTCACAATTGCTTGAAAACGAGCACTGTGAGCAGCACAGGTACCCCTCCCCGAGGCAGTGACTGCTGATTCACATCCAGGCCTGGATGCAGAGGGTGAGCTGGGGCCTCCAGCGCAGCTCAGAACAGCCCCCCCTTAGAAAGCCCCGCAGTTAATGTATTTCCGGAATTTTCCTTGTAACGTTTTTGGACTGTGGTTGACCACAGGTAACTGAAACCATACAAAACCAAACCACAGGTAAGGGGAGGACTGCACACCGAAACAGCCTTGGGCCCGGGATGACGGCTCAATGGCCAACTCCTCACCTTGCAAGCACCAGGATCCCACGTGGGTGCCAGTTCATGTCCTGGCTGTTCTACTTCCCATCCAGTTCCCTGCCTGTGGCCGTACTGAAGGTCGGCCCAAAGCCTGGGGACCCTGCACCCACATGGGAGACGTGGAAGAAGCTCCTGGCTTCAGATCAGCACAGCTCTGGCCATTGCGGCTACAAAAGGCAACAATCTTGGGAGAACTGATGTGTGGCCTGTATCCCCTGCCGTGTAGCCCCCATACTTGGCAGGTGCTCCCTGTGCTCTGGCTTTTCCGTAAAGTGCATGGTGCCCTGCTGCAGCTTACCTCCTCCAACGAGCCACGGCTGAAACTCAGACCGTGAGAATGGGGAGATCTCGCCTACCTCTGCGAGCCATGTGACAGTCTGCTGCATGGTGGCTTCGTCTACAGGGTTTCCAGTTGTCCCTAAGACTGTGCTGTGTGTGTCATTCCACGATGGGCATTCCATCTCCCTGGTGAAGTCCCTGTGGCACTGAGGCCACTCCTGGCTGGGTCAAGGGCAGCAGATGAGAAGGCTCGGGTTGAGGATGGAGGGATCCTGAAGGGGCCTGAGCGGCCTGGGACCACCTAGGTTCCCAGAAGTGGAGCTCCTGTGGTGGGGCAGGGGCCTCAGGGCCACTCCAGAAGGAGGGGACAGGGCTGGGAATAGCTCCTATGGCTCACGTCTGGGAGGGACCCAGGGGACCGCAGCTTGTTAGGAGGCAGTGGGGCCCCTGCCAGCCGGAGGGAGGCTTTGCATGGCTCCCCTGTGGGTGTGTGGTGTGTGGCTGTGCAGCCTGCAGCCCCAGCAGGTCCCCACCCTGGGTGTGCTTGGAGTTTAGGATGGGGTGGGTTCTGTAGGGCCCATCCCAAAACATCATTCACCCTGAGACAGATGGCAAAGCCCACCCCAGCTCAGGTGCCCTCCTACCCAGGTCATGAGGGCCAGGGACTTTCCAGTGCTTTCCTCATAGCCTGTGTGTGGTCAGCCTGTCCCACGTGCCCTGCCATGTAGGAGTGGCTTCACCTGTCCTGAAGTCCTGGGCTGTGGCCTTTGTCACCATCCCCATTACCAATGAGAGGAGACTAGGGCCCTGTGAAGCCGTGGAAAGTGAACCCCGAGGCCATGTGTCCCATCATGTGATCAAGGCAGGTGTAGGGTTGCTGGCCCAGATACTAGATGCTGTGGCTTCTGGCTGCTGTGGGAGGCAGTCAGCAGCACCAAGCAATAGTCAGGGCTTTTTTTTTTTATTAAAGATTTTTTTTTTTTTATTGGAAAGTCAGATATACAGAGAGGAGGAGAGACAGAGAGGAAGATCCTCCGTCCGATGATTCACTTCCCAAGTGAGCGCAACAGCCGATGCTATGCCGATCCGAAGCCAGGATCCAGGAAATTCTTCCAGGTCTCCCACACTGGTGCAGGGTCCCAAGGCTTTGGGCCGTCCTTGACTGCTTTCCCAGGCCACAAGCAGGGAGCTGGATGGGAAGTGGAGCTGCAGGGATTAGAACCGGCGCCCATATGGGATCCTGGGGCATTCAAGGTGAGGACTTTAGCTGCTAGACCACTGCGCCGAGCCCTAGTCAGGGTGTTACAAAGATGCCTGAGATAGAATAGTCTAGAAGTTGGAGACGACCTGCTCACCGGGACAGTCAGGCTTTTGTGCTGATTCTCTGCATTGCTAGTGGTTTTCTAAGATAGTTGTTTCATTTCCTTTTCTTTTTTTAAAGATCGATTTTATTTTTATTGGAAAGTCAGATGTATAGAGAGGAGGAGACAGAGAGGAAGATCTTCTGATGATTCACTCCTCAAGTGGCCGCAATGGCCAGAGCTGTGCCAATATGAAGTCAGGAGCCAGGAACTAGTTCCGGGTCTCCCATGTGGGTGCAGGGTCCCCAGGCTTTGGGCCGTCCTGGACTGTTATCCCAGGCCACAAGCAGGGAGCTGGATGGGAAGTGGGGCTGCTGGGATTAGAGCCAGTGCCCATATGGGATCCTGGTGCGTGCAAGGCAAGGACATTAGCCACTAGACTACTGAGCCGGGTCCAGTTGCTTCATTTCTGAAATGAAGTGCCCCATGCACAGGGTACCCAGGTGGAAGTTAGGGCCCCTCCATCCTCTACCTGATCTTGGAGCAGCTTCTGTCATGACATCCTGATATACAGGCTAGGAGGCGATCTCCTCCTTGTTGGATCCTGAACAGAAGCCAGCTGAGAGGCGAGCCCTCGCGTGCTGGTTTCAGGGCTGACTGGGCTGCTGCCCTGGCAGGTCTTTGCTCCTGCAGGGAAATGAACCCCGCGTCTGCACAGCACTTTCCCTCACTCATGTTGACTTTGTATTGCAGGGAGCTGTTCCTATTCTGAGAACTCCCTGTTCTCTTTTTAAAAAATGCCTCTCATCCCTTTTTTGTCTTGTTGATTTCATGCTGGAGCCATGGGACACGCGTTTTGGGAAAAGGAATAGAGGCTAGACTTGCGTGAGTGCTGCAGCAGAGGCATCCTGACTGCGTGGAGTCACATTCCTGACCACTGTGTGTGCCCCTGCAACCCTGCAGGGATGGGGGACTTAGCTGTGGTGACACTTGGTGGGCCAGCACCCCACACAGAGGTGCTGCTGGCGTGGATTCTCAGCCCGTCCCCAGCAGCACAGCCACTGGAGGCCCTGGGAGGAGCAGGACGGGGCCTGGTCGTTTATCCCCTCAGCTGCCTCTCACTCTCAGCCTCATGGTCTCTGCAGCAGCTCATTGACTTGGCTTCCCCAGAGAGGCTGGGGTTGGATTACTTCCCCAAATGACAGAGCTGGCTTACGAACCTGGGCACTCCTGCTGGTTTTGCTAGTTTTGCTTCTGGCCTGACTTTCCGTCCATTTTGTTCCCTCCACCCCCTTTGTATACATCCTGAATAAGGCGCGGGGATAGTCACTGTTAAATACAACGTCCAGGATCCAAAGGAGAATGTTTTCCAGAGCTGTTACAGATATGGGAGGGTAGTCATGATTAGTTCAGTGAATAAGGAAGTAGAATAAAATACACTATCTACGAAATCAAGCTCAGGGTCAGAGTGTGACCCAGGGGGTTGCTGCTGACTTTCTTCTTTGGGGTTGTTTTCAGGCACTCGGATCTGGGAGAAGTGGTGCCAGAGAGGAAAGCCCCCGAGAGACAGGCGGCCGTGGTGACTGCAGGTGAGGCCGCCCTCTGGCCCTGGCTGGGACCTCGTGAGTAGAGAACCTCAAGGCTACGACTTCTTTCTTTCCTTTTAAACAAGAGGATGGCACACACCTTTAGTGGGCATCGTCATGCATTCAGTGTAGGAAGGTGATGGTCACACTTCGCCAGGAGCACAGGACTCCAGTGCTACTAGGTCACGATGCCGCCTGGCTCCCATCCTGGGTGTCTGTGGGGTTCACCCTGCACACAGGGCACTTCTGAGAGTCTGAGCGCGCGAGGGACTTTATACCGGGGCCTGTGGATTTCCTGGTCATGGCCGCAGCCCTGGGGAAGAACGATGAAAAAGGCTGGAGGCTGCGCACCTGTCTCTGTCTTTGAATAAATAATTAGACCAGGCTGAAAATCCCCTCAGCTAGTAACTCAGGGTCCAAGGACACTGGGATATAGACTGAGCATCCCTCACATGAAAATCCAGAACTTTGTGAGTGCCAACAAGACGTCACGAGTGGAACATTCCACACCTTGGTCCTGTGATGGGTCAGGTGAGAACAGAGCTGGTGCCGTGTGTGAGGCATACACCAAAGTACATTTCGCGTGTAGCTTGGTCCCGTCCGTGCAAGTGTTCCAGATCCGAGCAAGCCTACGGTCCAAAGCGCTTCTGGTTCTGGCCATTTCCGACAAGGGAGACTGAGCTGGCAAAAATACCAGCTGCCATATCCTTGCGCGAACTCTGCGGCAGAAAGCTCTGGCTCACCGCTGGCGCAGCTAAGATGGGGCATGTTTGTTTTTCCTTCTAGATCTGGAATGGAGAGAAATGGCAGGAAATGGCTGTGGCTTCCACTATGCAGGTATAGACCCTGTGCTGGGGAGGGCGAGGCACCTGGCATTGTGTGTGTTATTTCTGATGTTTGCATGTGTATATTATTTCTAATGTATATTTGCTTAAATTCCATCTGCTTGAAATGTAGAGAGAGAGAAAGGCCCCCCAGCTGCTGGTTTGCTTCCTAAATGTTCACAAGAGCTAGGGCTGGCCCAGGCTGAAGCTAGCAACCTGGAGGTCCACCTGGGTCCCCCGCGTGATTGGCGGGGGCACATGAAGAGGTATCACTGTGGTTCAGTGGGTTAAACCACTGCCTGCAATACAGGCATCTCTTGTGGGCAACCATTCGGTGTCCAGTCTACTCCAGTCTAGCCTTGTACTAATGGCCAGAGGCTTGGGGCCTGGCCATTGACATGGGATGACTCAGACGGAGGCCTCCTCTCCTGTCGGCCTTGGCCATTGTGGTCGTCTGGGAGGTGAACCAGTGGATAGAAGGCCTCTTGATCTCTCTCTCTCTCTCTGTAGCTAAACTTCAGATCAATTAAAAAAAAAAAGTAATGGAGGAGCCAAGATTCATACTGGTAACTCTGAAATGGGATGCCACAGCACCCGCCCTGAGAATTCTGTATTTAGAATGACTGGGTGCAAAGGTGAATTCTGGGTTAGGCTGACAGTATTGTATGTCAATCAAAGCAGGGTGATTGGCAGGTGTTCTTTCTTTGCTCTTCCTGCAGATGGTGCCAGTGAGGCTCAAGACAGTGACTTCCCAGCAGGTATGCCCTCCCCTCCTCTCTGGGTCAGCTTCCTGTCCTGGTGAGGGATGTGGCCTGGGCTGGCGGTCCCACACCTGACTATCCAGTGCTCCATGGCCATTAACCTTTTATGCATCATCAGTGACTTAAAACAGTGCCTGGGAAGTGTCGGACACAAGGTACCCAGCCGCCCCCTTGCCGTCAGGGTCTGAAAGTGTATCTCAGGAGTCAGCTTTTAATAAACAATGCTGGAAATGCTGGGATTGGAAGCCATTCCTCCAGTATGATAGGGAGTTTGCTGAGGCCCAACTGGGAGCCTGAGCAATAGTAGAAGGTGCTATGTGGTGGCTTCCATGCCCTTGTATGTCCCGTGGCTCCCCAGGGCTTTGTCCTGCTCCAGGCTGTGCTACAGGAGGACCTGGATCCATCATTCCTTCTCCTGGGACACAGGAAAAGGGCTGGCTCAGCCATGTTTTTCTGGTCCTGGCTTCTTGGGGCAGCTGGTGACCCCAGGCATGTTGCCTGCTGCAGAGGGGCTCCGAAGAGTAGCCTGCACCTGTGGGATGTGTATTTGTCATTCTGTGCCCTGGCCTTTTGGGGAGTCAGCGATGTGCAGTGGGGAGAGCTGGGGGTAGAAAGGGAACCCCAGGAGGCGCGGTGCTGTCCCAAGCTCCTCACTGGTGAGGTTTGGTGTTGTGCGTGGTGCCCTCGGAGCACCTGCAGACATAAACGTGCCGCTTGGCACTGAAGCTGCACCGTCAGGCTCAGGTGGGCTGGTGTCAGCATGCGGTTGTGGCCCCAGTGCTTTGTGATCTCTTCCCATTTTCCTTTAAGACACTGTGATTATTTGCCAAGAGCAGGGCACGTGAGCTGGAAAGCCAGAGGCTGAAGCGGGGCCGCGGCGCCAAGGGAACTTGGGGGCCAACATTGAGGGAACTCAGCCGGGTTAGGATGTGGATTGTAGCCTGGGTCCAGGGCCTTCCTCTGCACCGAAGGGGTGATGCCACTTGCTAGAGGGAGGTGCCCCGGAGGGCTTGGTGGCGCTGAATCTTCAGGGGATGCAGAGGCCGGTGGTCACATGGCCTGCATCTCATGACCTTTCCCCATCCTTCAGTGTGGCTCCTGTCTCCTTTCCTCATCACTCTTAGTGTGACCACTGAATGGTTACTCGCCCTGACCTCATGGCCACCCTGAGCCCCAGACACCGGTGCCCTGCCCTCTCAGGGTGCACCTGCCCCCACCTCATGGTCCCCGACGCGTGGCCTCCGGGGGTGGCACACTCACAGCTGTTTCTTTTCGCAGTGGAGAGGAGCAGGCTGCAGGAGCTGCTGTTGCTGCTGGGACTGGAGCCATACCAGGCGCAGAAGCTGAGCCTGCAGGACTGCCTACAGATCAGCTCTGACAGCATGAGGAACTGGGCCCCGCAGGTCCCCAAGGACCTGCCCTGGCACTTTCTCAGGAAGCTGCAAGCCCTCAACACTGAGGCCAGGAACACCACCATGGTGCTAGATCTGCTGCCTGACGCCCGGTTGGCAGAGAAGGAGAGCCAGATGGAGGGGGAGGGGGAGGAGATCATCCACTGGGACCCCGCCGAGGATGTGGCGGCTGATGACATCTACTCCTTCTCGGAGCTGCCGACGCCCGACACGCCTGTGAACCCGCTGGACCTGGTGTGCGCCCTGCTTCTGTGCTCCGACGGCGCCCTGCAGCAGGAGCTGGTGAGCAAGATGGCTGCATGCCAGTTCGCGCTGCCCCTCGTGCTGCCTGACTCTGAGAACCACTGCCACACCTTCCTTCTGTGGGCCCTGCGGGGTGTGGTGCGGTCGTGGTGGGCGCAGCCCCCGCGGGGCCCCCCAGGCGCTCTGCGGGAGGACAGCGTGGTGGTGCCCAGGACGCCCGCCTTCGCCTTCGTGCGTATGGACGTCAGCAGCAACTCTAAGTCCCAGCTGCTCAACGCCCTGCTGAGCCCAGGCCGCCGGCCGTGGGACTGCTTCTGGCACCGGGATCTGAGCCTGGCCACCGGCGCCCGGGAGATCGCCGACGGCCTGGTGGAGGTATCCTGGTTCTTCCCCAGCGGCAGGGAGGAGCTGGACCTCTTCCCGGAGCCCGTGGCCTTTCTCAACCTGCGAGGGGACATCGGGTCTCACTGGCTGCAGTTCAAGCTGCTGACCGAGGTGTCCTCGGCCGTGTTCATCCTGACGGACAACGTCAGCAGGAAGGAGTACAAGCTGCTCTACGCCATGAAGGGGTCCGGCACCAAGTTCTACTTCATCCTCAGCCCCTACCGCGGCAAGCGCAACGCCAACCTGCGCTTCCTCAACAGGCTCATCCCCGTGCTCAAGATGGACCACTCGCATGTGCTGGTAAAGGTCAGCAGCACGGACAGTGAGAGCTTCGTGCGCAGGGTGCGCGCCATCCTGCGTGGCGTGGCGCGGGCGCCCTGCCGCAGGATGTCGGTGGAGGACATGGCGCATGCCGCACGCAAGCTGGGCCTCAGGGTGGACGAGGACCATGAAGAGTGCCAGAGGGGCAAGGAGCGCATGGAGAGGATCACCAGGAGGATCAAGGATGTGGATGTGTACCGCAGGGACGAGCTGAGGCTGCAGGGCGAGCTGGGCTGCAAGGCAGCGCAGGCCGAGAGGGAGTTTGGCCAGCTGCAGTGGGCACCTGAGGCCGCCCCGGAGAAGCACCAGGCAGAGCTGCGGCGGCGCGTCCTGGAGCTGCGCGCACAGCAGAACAGCCTGGAGCCTGTCCCCGGGGTGCAGGAGTTTGTGGCTGGCATCAGCTGCCCGTCCCGGGCTGAAAGGCAGTACTTCCTGCGCTGGCTGGAGTGGGGTCTGGCTCGGCTAGGCCAGCCCAGGCCAAGGCAGTCCACCGACACTGCCATGCTGTTGGCGCTCAGACCTAGACTCGGAGCAGGAGGCGGAGGGGCCCCAGAGCCTGGCAGTGGGGAGCCGCCGCCGCTGCCACCAGAGCCCCTTGGGACAGAACACTTCTTGCGCGAGATGGGCCAGTTGTACGAGGCTGAGAGCTGCCTGGTGGAGGCGGGCCGGCTGCCTGCCAGCCACCGGCGCTTTGCCCACTTCCCTGGCCTGGCCGCCGAGCTGCTGCTAGCTGGGCTTCCCCTGGAGCTGGTGGACGGTGGCACGCTGGGCATTCCGGGGCGCTGGGTCACGGGGCTGCTCAGGGAGCTGCAGGCACGCCTGGACAGGAGGTCGAGGCTGGTGGTTGTGTCCGCCCTGGGGGTGCCAGGCACGGGCAAGTCCACCCTGCTCAACTCCATGTTCGGGCTGCGCTTCGCCACACGGAAGAGCTGCGGCCCTCGGGGCGCCTTCATGCAGCTTGTGACAGTGGCTGAGGGCTTCAGCCAGGACCTGGGCTGTGACCACATCCTGGCCATAGACTCCGGGGCACTGATCAGAGGGGCCCCTGCCTCTGCTGGGGATAGGTTCGAGCTTGAGGCCTCGCTGGCCACCCTGCTCTTGGGGCTGAGCAATGTCACGGTGGTGAGCCTGGCTGAGACGAAGGACATCCCAGCCACCATCTTGCACGCACTGCTGAGGCTCGAGAAGACGGGCCACATGCCCAACTGCCAGTTTGTGTACCAGAACCTCCACGACCTGCCCGCCTCCAGCCCCAATCCCAGGGACCGGAGACTGCTGCTGGACGTGCCCAGCGAGCTGGGCAGGGCCGCCGCGCAGGCTGAGAAGCAGGGCAGTGGCTTCTGTGACCCAGAGCGCCAGCACGTGTGGCATGTGCCCAGCCTGTGGCTGGGTGTGCCGCCCATGGCCGCCGTGAGCCTGGGCTACAGCGAGACCATCTTTGAACTGAAGAGGTGCCTGCTGGAGAACATCAGGAACGGCCTCTCGAACCAGAACAAGAGCATCCAGCAGCTCATTGAGCTGGTGCGACGGCTCTGAGCGGCCAGGGAGTTGGGGGGGAAGCGACCTGGGGCTGGGGCTGGCAGGTGCCCAGGCAGGCAAGGCTCCGGTGGGACCGGGGTGGGACCAGCCCCGAGGCTCCTACCTCTACCCCGGTGGGGGGCAGGGCTGTCCTCGCCTTCTGGCTGCCCATCCTTTGGAGGTCCCTGGAGGGTGGGCTGACTGGCCTGGAGCCCCACACTGCCGTATCACCTTAGGCCTGGCTCACTGTAGGCTCCTAATAAAAGTGTGTTGAGTGGATGCTCAGTTGAATGCCAAGCAGTTTGCCTCTCTGGACTCTGAGGGGGTCCCATGGTCACACACACCTTCCATTTTACTCTGTCCTCACCCCACCTCCTGCAGGTGGTTCCTGGGGAACAGCACAAGGTGTCCTCGTGGGAACTGCAGCACCAGGTGGGTGCTCACCTTGTCTTGTCATTCTTGGGGGTTCTCAAACTTCGTCCCATCCCTCTGGCTCTACAGGAATTTTACCCAGGACCTCCCTGGTCCTCTGAAAATGTGAGGCTGTTCCTACAGTTGGCACAGGAAATGGCCCTGGTGCTGCGGCAGAGGCCGAGGGCTGTGCACTCTGCGCAGCTTCCGTGTGATTTGCAAGTGCAGGTCAGACCCCAGTGGACGCAAGCATGTGCTCAGCAGTGAGCAGGGCCGTCCCGCAGTCCTATCAGACACTGCCCTGTGCAGCTTTCACTGCTGCGCCATCGTGCCAACTCCTCGGCACTTTTTTCCTAAACTGGCATTTCTAAGTGAGTAAAACTGTTTTTGTTTTTTTCCTTTCCATTAAGGGCTGGCAGTCAAAAGAACCCAAGTGTCTGGAGAGCCCTGCAGAGGAGTGCATGCCGGAGATGCTTTTATCCCTCTGCAACAAGGAGGCAAGATGCAAACGGACAACCCCAAGTCCTGCTGCGGCCCGCCTGAAGGGTCCCTCCAGTGTCCTGGAGCAGAGTGGACAACAGTGCAGAGGCTCTGAACCGCCCCGCCCGCCCTGCCTTTGCCCTGCGCCCTAGGATCCTGCAAAGTGTGACCCGGACCCAGTGCTCCTGATCAATCAAGGAGGGTTAGGCTGAAGGAGCAGCTGCCCTCGGCTGCGCCTGACTTCGGCTCTCCCTGCTGTCTCCATGTCCCTCCTTTGGACCTTACAGAGGATGGCCTGTTTGCATCTGGTCAGCACCCGTCCATACTGGGAACTCAGACTTCCTGGTGGCGCCAGAAGCTGATATTCCACCACACGCCTTGGCCTAATTAGGAGCCTCCTGGCTCACAGTTTTTTTTTTTTTTTCTTGGTCCTCCTGGAAATTGGGACCTTTCGACCCATGTTTAACATGGCCACGCCTGGCTATTTTATGTTTAGCTGCCTGTGTCTTTGCCAGCCCCACAGAACAAACCTGGCCTGCTGGTGTAAGCAGAGTCCTTGACTCTGACCCAAGTGCCTCCTCAGTGTGTGTCCCCCACCACGAGAGTCTCTGTGCTTGGTGCCAGGACACAGCAGACAGGCGGGGTGTGGGCAAGGGCAGGAATGTAGCAGAACTGGCAGGCCAGCTCCCAGTCCCACCGCTGACCCAGCCATGAGGGAGACCATGTGCATGGCCACTGTCCGCCATCAGCACACAACCCGAAGGACAAGCCATTGAAGTCAAATCAGAGAGGCATGGGGCCACGCCAGAGGCGCATCCCGTTACACCCTGGGTGCAAAGCATCACACCTTTGTACAGATGTTGGAATCCTTTTATGACCCAATGATGTATTTTACACCGTCTAAGTTAATGCAGTTATCTTTCCTGATTTACCGAGAAGATCCAACTGGAAGCCTCAAGGTCGGGGACTGGAGGTTTCAATCTGCAGAACTAACAGGCTCACCTGGTTCGGTCGAAGTGAGGGTAGTAACACCACTTAACCAGAACAGCTGGCCAGATCTAATCAGTTATGGTAGTCACTCAAATAGTCCAAAATAGACAGAAAATGCTAATTGCTTTAAAACTCAAGTTCTCCTAAAAAAAAAAAAAAGGAAAATAAGACAATTGTGTTGGCAAGAGCTGAAGGCAAAAAAGGCATCAACAAATGCAGACTGCAGAGGAAAAAACAACCACATCTGGAAAGGTCAATGAGTTATCAAGCTTCATTAGGAAAACCTGTGCGGCCGGGTGCAGCTGTGCATCCTCCTGCTGAGGAGAGGAAGGAGAGAAGGCAGAGTGCAGCAGCTTCCCCGAGAGGAAACCAGGGCACAGCAGGCCCAGCATCGGCAGCGCGGCAGGAGGGCGAGCCTGTGCCTTGCTCTCAGGCGCGTGGCTGGCTGGTGGAGCCCTGGCCCTTGTAGTTGACAGTTGACCCCAAGGAGAACGAGGTAGCAAAGCAGGCCCTCTCTGTTCAGCCTTGCCCTGGTGCTGGCCAGCCCCCCAGGTCCCGGTGGAGTCTGGCTGTCACATTCCTCCCCATCTGCTCCGTCCTGGTCTTTGCTTGTCCAAGGACTCTGACGAGGGGCACGGACAAGGAAGGGCGTGAGAAGCAGAAGTGGTTTTAAAGAAAATAAAAGTGAAAGAGGGGGTGGAAAACTCTCCTAAAGATAGAAACATTGGGGGCCCGGCGCAGTAGCCTAGTGATTAAAGTCCTTGCCTTGCACTAACCGGGATCCCAAATGGGCGCCAGTTTGTGTCCCAGCAGCCCCACTTCCCATCCAGCTCCTTGCTTGTGGCCTGGGATAGCAGTCCAGCACAGTCCAAAGCCTTGGGACCCTGCATCTGTGTGGGAGACCTGGAACAAGTTTCTGGCTCCTGGCTTCAGATCGGCTCAGCTCCAGCTGAAAGAGCAAAACCGCCAGGAGCAGCAGGAGGCGTCCTGAGAGGAGGGTGTCACCTCGAGGCTGATGGTTTGGCCTAAACAAGGGGATGTTTTTGGAACGGGGCCCAGAGAGGATGGTTTTGATTGGCTAGCCAGGTGACTGTTCCAATCAGGATTCACAGACAACACATGAGAGTCCCCTCAAAGGACAGACTTCTCGCTCAGATCAAGTACCACAGCACAAAGAAGCTGGCTCGCGGGCCTAGCCCGACACAGAACCTCCCTCCTGCCTCCCCGTCCTTGCCGACCCAGCCAGCAGTATAAACACTCGCTCTTAGCCAAAAGGCCTTGGGAAGTGATTCTCTTTCCATATAAACAAAAGGAAGGGGTTGGGGAGGTGAACTCGGGGAGCTGAAGTCACCAAGTTCCTGCCCCTTTCGTCCCTGCCCCCAATCTTCCTGTTCCCACTTCCTTCCCCATGGTGATCAGTGCCCACAACCCTGGAATGCAATGGCTTGACCGTGGACCACTGTCTGTAAACTCGTAGCAGCAGCTGAGGGCCGTGGCTACACGTGGCCTTCGGTGGCCTGTGGACGTGGCTGGGTGTAGTGTGTGTGTGCCATGCACACAGGTGGCCATCTCCTGTGGCCCCGAGGATCGGGGAAGGACGCTGGTGGATGTGCACTTTTCACCATCAGGGTGAGGGAGGTACAAACCACAGAGGGCTATGTGGTTCCCTGGCCATTGGAGTAAGGATCTGCCTGGTCTTGGGCCCAAAGCCCGGGCACTCAGGGGTGGATGGCCTGGGCACAGACTGGCAGCCTGTGGCCTCATTCCTGGCCGGCTGCCACGAGGCAAAATGCGAACCCTGCTGGTGCCCGGAGTCCCTGCCTGGTCCTCTCTGTCCATGCGTGACTCAGACTCAAGGCTCTGGCCTGTGCCCTGTCCCTTCCCTCCATCAAGGTTTGCCTTTTAGGAGAACAGCAGTTGTCACACTGCCATTCCTCTGCTGCCACTCTCCCGGGCCCAGGGAGGTTCACCCCACTCTATGTGACACAGGAAATAGCGCTGGAGGTCAGACCCCTGTTCTTTGGAAGCCAGAGCCCACATTTTTTCTTGGAAAGAATTCTTTCCGAAAAGCTGGACGTGGCCTGGAGAACACCTCATTCCAGCCTTTTGGCTTGTCTGGGACGGGACGTGAGGACTTCCTGCAGAAGCAGACCCCGAGGCTCCTTCTTGTATTGTTGGTACTGGGAGGACTCGGAGGAAGTTGTGCTATAGAGAATATGCCGCCAGGACTCGGTGGGGTCACTGCCTGCCTCTCCCAGCACGGCTGAGGGCAGCTCACTGTGCAAAGCTTGGATAATTTCCCTAGAGAATCACAGAACCAGTGTCAGCATCCTACATGGGCCCCGCTTCCATCCCATGCTGCATGTCGACCCCGCTCCCTGCTAATGGCCTGGGAAAGCAATGCAGCATGGCTCAAGTCCTTGGCCCCCTCCGCCACACGAAGATACTCCTGGCTTTCCATCACTCCCCAGGGTAGCCTCGTGGGGAGTGAACCAGTGAATGGAATATCTCCCTCTGTAAATCTGCTTTTAAGTTACAAATAAGTAAAATAGAAGCACAGTAGCAAGCAGAGACTCAGAACAGGTCCCCAAGGGCCTGAGCCAGGAGACCTCACACAGCCCGGAGCCTGAGCAGCACCAGCAATGGTGGATCTCACTTCCTCCCGCTGTCAGGGGAATAATGGTTTCTTTGTTTTAGATTATTGTAAATGATTACTTTGAAATGCTCTCTGAGTGATGTGCGAGTTGCAATATATCTCCCTTCCACTGGCTCTCCGCCTAAGCGTCTGCGATGGCTGGGGCTTAACCAGGATGGAGTCGGGTCCAAATCCTCGGCCATCACACTAGCAGGGAGCTGGTTCGAAAGCGGAGGTGGGGCTCCAAACAAGGCACTGGGCACAACTCCACTACTTTAAATAAAATTAAGTGCTATTAACTCGCTGACAGATACAAGTTCACCACAAACACATCAGGAACCGGACTGAAAACAGTTACGCGAAAGGAGTAGCAGCAGTGTCATACTGAAGGCCGTTTTCCGACGAGCTTGGGGCTCAGCCGGAGGAAGCCAGGGGGCCAGGGTCGCCCCAGCGTGGTGAGACCTGGGATGGACGCGTGTCCCCTCACAGCGCTTCCTCAGAGCCCCTCACCTGCTCCAGTGCACGGTCCCTGAAGGCGAAACCTTACAGTCCGCGTCCTCTCGTTCCCGAATCCGAAACCTGACAGGATCCGAGCTCTCGGGGCAGCTCCCACGACCGCAGCTGTGGGACCACCGGGCAGCGGGTGAGACCCCGGGGCAGCAAGTGGACGCCTCGGTGCCACGCGGCCCCGCCCCTGCCGAAGGCCCCGCGCCCCATTGGCTCCTCTCAACCCAGACCCCGCCCCGTCAGCGATGCTCCCGCCCTTTCGCTACGCCCACTCACACGTCACTCCTACTGCGTCCCCCTCCGAAGTCCCCGCCTCGCCCCCCGACCCCTGAGGCGCGCATCCCATTGGCTCCGCTCAGCCCGGGCCCCGCCCTCCGATGACGCACGCGATGCGCCCCTGCGCGGTGGCCTGGCTCAAGATGGCGGCGGTTCGCGGCTTGTCGTTGGGGCCGCAGGTGCGTGGACGGCGCGGCGGCCGCGGGTCCGGGGACGGGGCGGGTTCCGGTGTGCGACTCGTGCCCTCCCTCTACAGGTGCGGTCCTGGGGCCGGGAACTGCCTTGCATTTGGCGCGCCCTGCACACCTCCGCGGTCTGCGCCAAGGTGAGCGCGGCTGGGTCGGAATCGGGGTCGGCTGTGGGCTCAAGCCGGCGGTCAGGGGTTGGGGGGCTGGGGGCCCGTGCCGAGCGCCCATTCTCTGCCCCTAGAACCGGGCGGCCAGAGTCCGCGTGAGCAAGGGGGACAAGCCGGTGAGCTACGAGGAGGCGCACGCGCCGCACTACATCGCCCACCGCAAGGGCTGGCTGTCGCTGCACACAGGTGAGCGGCCACCGCACAGGTGACCCGGGGCAGAGGACAGGTGCGAAGGGATGCCCGTGGACGGCGTGCCTGCTGGAGCCCCGTCCCGTGCAGCCGCGCGGGCCTCAGAGTGCCCTTGCTAAGATGGGCCAGGCCAGCACACTGAGGACTGCACGGTGTGTTTTGACGTGTCTTCTCAGGGAACCTGGACGGCGAGGAGCACGCGGCCGAGCGCACAGTGGAGGACGTTTTCCTCCGCAAGTTCATGCAGGGCACCTTCCCCGGCTGCCTGGCCGACCAGCTGGTCCTGAAGCGCCGCGCCAACCAGGTGGAGATCTGTGCCCTGGTCCTGAGGCAGCTGCCCGCGCACAAGTTCTACTTCCTGGTGGGCTACAGCGAGACTCTGCTGTCCTACTTTTACAAGTGTCCCGTGCGGCTGCACCTGCAGACTGTGCCCGCCAAGGTGGTCTACAAGTACATTTAGGGCCGTGCCCGCTGGCCTAGAGCTGGAGCTGCCGCAGACAGAGACCGGGAGGGAATGGGGCAGCCGAGGGGCCGCGGCCGGCCCCCATGCACCGAGGCCCTGTGTCTGAGCTCCAGAGCAGGAGGCTCACAGCTGGTAGGCTGCCCCCCACACCCACACCAGGGTGCCTGCTTCTCCTAGGATGCTGCTGACACCCAACCTGGGAGGCTCAAGGCCTTGGGTTCCTGCCAGTCACACGGGAGACCTGGACCATTGGGTGTGGCTTGTTCAGCCTTGACTGTTGTGACCATTCAGGGGGTGAACCAGCAGATGACTGAACTCTTTTAAATTAAAAAAAAAAAGACAAACATCTGTTTGTATTTTTGTACATTCATAATGAGTAATCCACAAATGAAATTAAACAATTCTAGTTACAAAAACCAGAAGGCAAAATCCTCACAGAATTCTGGCTGATCGCTGCCCACCTTGGCTTCTGCCTTGGCTCCAAGGAGTTCCCCGTCCTTGGGCAAGGGCACAGGGGTGGCTGCCTTTCTCTGTGTTAGACATGAACTCAGGGCAGGGTGTGCATAGCTACCTGCTGTGCCATGGGCAACAGAGAACTCTGCAGCCGTGCCGTGTGCTCTGCCCGTGGGGGCCCTAGGTGCAGCTGTGAGAGCACACCCAGGGCTCAGGAGGGGCTCCACGTCAAGGTGGGCAGGCTCTGGGAGGGTCATGGCCAAGTTATGTGGATCCACAGTCTAGGGGGCAAGGGCACTGTTCGAGGTGACCCCACCCCTCCGCGCTGGACCCCTGAAGCTCGGTCCCCCTCCCTGACTGTAGGCCTTGCCTCTGCAGAACAGCAGTGGTGGGTCGTGTCTCCTCGCTGCTGCTCTGCTTCCAGATCGGTCCCAGATGAGTACCAGTTTGAATCCCAGCTCTCCACTTCCCTTCCAGCTTCCTGCTTTATGCCCGGAAAGCAGTGTGAGATGGCTCAGCTGTTCCGGCCCCTGCCGCTGCAGTGGGTCCCAGATGGAGCTCTGGCTGCTGGCTTCAGCCTGGCTTGGTCCTTGGTGTTGTGGCTATCTCTCCCTCTTTGTAACTCTGCCCTTTCAAATAAAGTAATGTTTAGAAAAAAACAAAAAAAGCCCGGCTCCTTGGACAGCACATGCGCACAGGAGAGAAAGCCTTGAGTGTAACCTGGGAGAGCATCTTGGTTGGCAAATTAACCCTTCGAGTGGACACAGGGAGCGGGCCTGTCAGCCCTTACCCTCCACTCGACGATTCACGGAGGAAGAAGCTGTGGGCGTGCTAGAGCTGTCCTGGAACAGAATGGCGGTGGAGAACCCTTCACTCTGCAGGATCATGGGCTGGGGAGCGGGGCAGCACCCCTGCTTGCTGCTGCTGCCCAAGGCGTTTTGGCTCCGTCGTGCGAGAAGCATGGTGTGTAAAGCTGCCAGTTTCTGCAAGGTCATGGACATGTCCCACACCTAAGGAGAATGTGCAGGGCTTGTGTGGTGTGCACTGGCACTGTGGCAGGAACGGGTAAAAGGCACCAAGGCACTCTAGAAAGCCCTTGGGATCCAACAGCTATTTATTTTGTATCTAAGTGTTGAGCCAATTTGAGACCCGGAGCTTGTGATAGGCCAGCCCAATAGACCCCGCCCATGGCACCAGCCCCACCCAGTTCTCAGAAGACCCCGCCCACGGCACCAGCAGTCCAAGGCCAAGTGTGCCACAGGCCCCGCCCAGGTGACTGGTAGGCCGCGCCCGTGACAGAAGGCTCTGCCCCCGTGACAGCCTCTCCCGCCAGGCCGCCCCTCCTGCAGGATGCCCCTCCAACAGGGCGCGGTCCAGGCCTCCGGTCCAGGCTGCCCCTCCTGCAGGGCGCGCTCCGGTCATCGTTACTGCAGGGGCTCCTTTTTGACAGATTTCAGACTAAAACCCTGTGCTCTCTAGCAAACGAGCAGCACTCCTTGTATGTCAGGAACAGTCTCGCTTGGCAGCCAATTATGGAAAGGAAAAAATATCAATTATTTACATATACGAATTTAGCACCGCTCAACCCGCAGACATCCGTTTCCCTCTCCCTGTGACTTGGTAGCTTATTTGCATCTGTCAGTCCCTGTCTCTCCAAGGTGATAAGTTCGCACTGAAATAGTAGCGAACATGCAAGGACACGGGCTGACACTGCAGGACGAGGCCTCAGGCGTCCAGTCAGGCTCCTGACTGTGCTGACCCCGAGCAGGGCCGGGAAAGGGGCAGGGGGCAGCGTGTCCACTGGGAACCGCCTGGCCCACAGCCGAGCCGGCAGGGCCTTCTCCGGGCGGGCCTGCCCCTCCCAGCCTCACCCGTGCACCATGTCCGTGCAGGTGCACATGATGCTCAGGACAGGGGTGCTTCTCAACCCGCCGGCCCCGGACACCAGGGCCACCTCACAGTCCACCGCAGTGCAGGGCAATCAGCAGCAGCCGCTGGCCATGGCTCCCGCTTCACGGGTTTACCTGTTGACGTTGGGTCCTGCACGCAGGGGCGTTGTAAGGCGCTGTGATCCGTATGGATGGATCTGCTAGAACGGTCTTTCCCCCTCCTGTGTAACCCAATACGAGCGTTTCCCATCGCCATTGGCGGACAGCAGCGACCTCTGGTGGAATCGCAGGTTAACAGCAGGTGGGCTTTTCATGAGATGCTGGTTTTCAATGTATTCGCGTTTATTGGGTCTTTTGGAACTCGGGAACCTATTTGTACTTAAAAAATGTATGTACTTAATCTTTTACAACAAAATTAAAAGCCACTATAAATATCGACACTTTAACTTCTATTAAGTGTATAGCTTTACAGAGATAACTTGGAAACTGATAAATTATTTAAAATTAACATCTACATAAATATTTCTCATTGTTCCCATGTGCAATCCACTGACCTCCACTTTTTATTTAAAGGAAAACATCTCATAAAAATTCCATATTCTACAGAGGCAACTGGGTAGATGCTTAATCAGGAGATGGAGAGGCTTCCAGAAGCAGACATGTTTAAAGCATAACATCTGATGACATTCGTGAGAAAACCAGGCCCTGAATCGCTCAGGAGCTGAATGAACACGAAACAAGCTTCCTGTTTGCTAGTGGAAAATAAAGAGGAAAATTTGATATCTGAGACAAATGCCCCCCGCTCCAAGAATTTGGGATATTTTCTGAACTTCAGAAAACTGAAAACCTTAGCTTCCATAACTTCAGTGCTGCCACGGCCTTGTTTCCGCCTTGCAAGGCAATACGTTCTTGATAAACACGCAGCCTCCGTGCTTAACTTCCTTGTGAGTCACTTACTTGCTCCTGCAAAGGGGCTGAGCAGTGCCCCGTCACATCTGTCCTAGGAGGTGCAAGCTTTCTCTGCCAGCAGGGCAGCCGCCAGCTCGGAGGAGTGCTCACCGCCTCCGCACTGGGTTCGCTGGCCACCCAGGATCGCTCTTGCCACACGGGAATGGAACGTGACGGAAGCGACAACACTGAATGCGCACACCTGCCACGCGCGCCTCCGGCGCAGAGGGCAGTCCCGCCGAATGTCACCGCAACCTGGCACTCCACCCATCTTCTATCACAGTGGAGGCAGAAAGATGAAAATACTTATTTTTAAATATATTTTCTATGGCTATGAAATTCTCTAATCTTTCAAGTTCTAATACTCTTCCAAGGATAGGCTAATAATTGCCGTGGGAAAGCAGCCACGTTACTTAACAACTACAGCTATGGTCATTCTTTTGTTTTTTGATAAATAGACTATGAAACCATGAAGTAACGCAGATGTTCAAGGAAGCAGGCGGATTTAAGGTGCGGGTTGTCCAGGCGAGGGAGTATGCTTAATAACTTAATGCCCTCACAGTCCTGTCTGCAGGACAGAGATCTGAGTGATGCAGAGACGCTGGGGGTTCCTCTCGGAAAGTGTTTTCAAGGTTGCACACTCAGGGACGCCCCAAGTCAGGAGCCCCGCGCGTGCCTGGGCAGGCGGTAGTGCTCGGAGCCGGGGCGCAGCGCCTTGTCCTGCGGGTGCGCCTGCTTCCATCTGGAGGCCGCCTTCAGCTTTTTCCGCTTTCGGTCACTGCACCACACTTTCTCGCAGTATTCTTCCACTCGCTGGAAGTTGCTGTAGCCGATCAGCTGCAGAAATTCCTTGTACCAGGGCGTGGTTCCGTGCTGGCCGCCTCCCGTGGTGTGCGCGGGGCACAGCGTGCGGGCAGGCGCGGGCCCCTCGCGCTCCTTGCGGAACATGCTCTGCACGCGCGGCTCGTCCACCACCTGCAGCACCAGCCTGCGCACCGTGTGCACAAAGCCGTGCTCCACCGCCTGGCAGAAGTAGGTGCCCGCGTCCGACTTGCGCACGCGCAGGAAGAGCAGGCCGAGCTCCATCTTGACCACTCTGTCGTCCGTCTTCACCTGCAAGGACAGAGAAGCCATCGCTGGGGGCGGAGCCACCTCGCCACCTGCTGTGCCTGGCTGTGTTTTGCCTTAGCTTTGGGCCGTCCTCTATTGCTTTCCCAGGCCACAAGCAGGGAGCTGGATGGGAAATGGGGCCGCTGGGATCAGAACCGGTGCCCATATGGGATCCCGGTGTGTCCAAGGTGAGGACCCTAGCTGCCAGGTTACTGTGCTGGGCCCTCAGCATGTTTATTCTACCAGCATCAGACACGTTCAGGAGAATGCCCCTCTCTGGATTGCGTGGCGCGTTAGCATGCGTTAGTCCTACTGTTTCCATCAGGCAGAGGTGCCTGAGTCTGTAAGGAGCATCTCAGGGGCCCAGCTACTCTGAGTGTACACACTGTCATCTCTTAGAGGTGACAACATGTTAGATCGCCCTCGGCCGGAGAAAGAGCCAGTGGGAAAGCTCAAGCAGCCCCTACTTGGATTCAGCCATCTCACGCCTGGTGGCAGATGTCTCTCGCACCAACACACGGGGAGGCGGCCCCGGGTCCACCGTCCACTGACACGCACCTGCCGCTTCTCCCCGGTGCCTCAGGCAGGCCTCTGGAATTTCCTTTGCTCAATACACAACTCCTCCCCAGGACTCTGACGGCCACCGTGCACCGTCTCCCTGGCTAGCCCGCATTCCCCTCTAATTGCTGCGTGGGCGTGGGGTCACCAGAGTCAGTCAAGTAAGCAGGTCATGACGCCCTTAGGCGTGATGGCTCAGGTGCTCTCAGGGCAGCACTGTCCCGTGTCTGGGCCAGTGGCCGACCAGAGCGCCCTCATGCGGTAGCCGTGTGTAGTAAGACCCGAGTGGTTCGGCAGTCTGCTGACACCTTGAACTCATTACAGATGTGCTCAGCATCTGTCACACATCGAACACCGTGGTGGGAGCATGCGGAATTACCTCCTCCTTTCTTGTTTCGTGTCCTTTCTGCACGAACCAGACGACCTTGGCCTGCAGGGACCGCGGCGTGCATTCCAGCAGCGTGCTGTTGTTCTCTATGCCGTAGGCCAGGCGCTCTTCCGTCTGGTCCAGTGCGTCCCCTGCAAAGTGGACAGGGACATCAGTCTCCAGGAATCTCCTTCCACGGGACGTGATTTTATTTTCCAAACTTTCCCTATGCAGATTCCTGCAGCAACATTAACAACCCTTGTTGACTAGCTGCTAGTTTGTATGCAGGCTGTTTAAGGGAATCACCCAGAGACAATGCCCTACCCAGAGGTGGGCGTTAAAGGATAAGCAGGTTCTACAGCAGGCCAGGGTAGACAGGTGGGAAGCTGGGCACGGTGAGGACAGAGAGAAGGCACAGCAGTGCTGGCCTCGTGGAGCAGCCACTAGCCATGCTGATTGATGGAGTGGGAAGGGTTGGTGAGTGCCATGGTCACACAGGTTCAGGACCACATTCAAGATCATGGGCCCAGCAGCCAGGAGGCAGGTGACTGAGCTCTCGACGTGGGATTGCACCTGCCAGGTGTGGGCTGCTGCAGCTAAGGAGAGCGCTGTGGATGGATAAGGGCGGTGTGAACCAGAGCTTTCTGCTAATTTCCATCTATGTCTGGGGCCGGAAGGGATCTCACTGGACTTGAATTCAAATTTGCTTACACACAAGTATCCCTGGACACAGCGAGCCAATACACACCAGTGGCTTTATCCTTTTTTGGTTTGTTTTAACCCCTTGAGGATTTCTCATCCCTACCCCTGAGTCCTCATCTCCCAGGCTGAGCTCCCTCTTCCCCAAGGTAAGGCCTTGCCTTGCGTTTGCTGGGGTCTAGCTCCTGTTTGCGTCTCACTGGGATGCCCCTCCAGCCTTCTGCATCAGACTGTCTGTCTGCCAGCAACCTTGAAGCCTCCAGCCTCGGCTTACCCTCCTCCAGGAAAACAGGGAAAGTGCCCCCTGTCCACTGCATGTTCTTCTGAATGGCTACAAGTTCCGTCACACGTGCCTGAGGGTCCTGTGGGGCCCTGCAGTGCGTGGCTTTCTTGCTCCACAAGTCCTTGCTTTGAGGTTTACTAGCAGGCTGGGTGGAGGCAATTTTCCCAGTTACATAGAGATGACTTATCAAAGCCACAGACATTGCACGCAAGGGGCAGATGACTTCTGCTGAGCCTGTCACCAAGTGCATGAGCCACAGGCAACCACGGGCTCTGCTTCCCAAGTGTGTGGCTAGTCTTCTGAGTAAACCCAGCACTCACCCACAAACTGCTGACCGAAGCACTGCTGAGCTGCGTTGCCGTGTCGCACATCTTGCCTGCGGAACCGCCTGCAACACAGGAAGCGGGGGACATGGCTAGAACCCTTCTCCCTGAACCCAGGGGACGGTCCCTCCAGTAGTGACTCGGGCCTGCTCTACCAGGGAAATCCGAGTAGTCTCCTGTGTTTCCACGACTGCTCTCCAGTAGGAAGAGGCCTCTAACTGTGCCTGTGCAGTGGGGTGGCACGCTGGGTTTCTACTGGCAGCAGGCATCCCATAGAGGCACCAGTTCGAGTCTCAGCTATTCCACTTCCATCCAGCTCCCTGCTAATGTGCCTGGGAAAGCAGCAGACGATGGCCCAACTGCTTAAGCCCCTGCTCCTGCATGGGAGAGCCAGATGAACCCCCTGGCTCAGCACGGGCCATTGTGGCCATCTGCAGAGTGAACCAGCAGATGGAGGCTCGCTGAGTCTCTCACTCTCCCTCTGTAGCTCTGCCTTTGAAATAAACACAAATAAATTTAAAAAAAGTTGTATAAAACAATTGGTCTTTAAATGCTTGCCCAAGTTTGAATCCTAACTCACTTAATATTTCAAGGATTTTTCTTCATGTTTCATTTCAAAGTTTAGTAAGAAGTCTCCCGGATTGAAAGGAGTGTCTTGGGCCAGAAATGTATGTAGATAAAGACAATGGATTTGAGACAGAATAGAGTATAGACATGGTAACGTTTATTTAATAAAGCACATATGAAAAAGGTATTTGAACTTGAGTTTTTTTTTCCTGTAGCCGTTGTGATCTGTCAGCACAAACCAGTTTCTAGTCAAAGGAGATCAGCTCAAATGCCCTGAGTGCATTCTTTTACCGACAGAGCGTTGACAACGGGACGGTGTGCTGCCTCGTCCAGCTGCGCACGTCTCACGTCAACCGAGACTCAGCACGTTGTTCTTGCCCTTCCATCTGCCCGTTGCACCAGGCTCACTTCCGGCCCATCTTCACACTCTAGACAGCTTAGATCTGTGTAACTAAGGACGATAATCCGTACGTGTGAACACAGCTTGCTGACTGTCCTGTTCTAATTCTCTGTATCTCTGAGGAATTTCTCAATAATTAGGACTGCAACTGTGAAATCAAGGCCAGAGACGAAAGTCCAGGTGTCACACGGAGGTGTCACACCACTCGCTTCTCTCAGTCCCGGCCTCTGCTCAAGCCTGGGGGTGGGGAAGTGGCAGGCGAGGCGGAGGCGTTACCCAGGGGTGAGGGGCTGTCACACGACACTCGCCCCCTGAGTGGCCGCGAGCATTCCACGTGAACCCCACGGCTGCCCTCCCGCGCGGCTGCTGTTGTCTAAATGACAGTGAGCATCTTGCCTGGTGTCATTTAGCTCTCAGTCCTGGCTGCCCTTCCATCCTCCAGGCCGTGACCAAGCAAAGCCACTTCAAGAAGCGAAGGGCTTTCCCACACAGAGTCCCGAGCTTAACAACACAACACACGACAAAAAGCCAGGGAAGACATAAACGCTTCCAGCCAGGTTAAAGAGTTCCTGTTACAGATGGACAAAAGCGTGTTTCCTTTAAAATAGAGACTGCTGATTAGAAAATCTTATCCAAAGGCCCAGGTTTCTAGAAAAGTAAGATTAAAACTACCACACGGATCACCCTGTCTGACTGACTGGAAAGTGGAACCTGCAGTGAAGGGAACCATAAAGGCAGTCAGTCACAGGCTTCAGTGTTACTTCAGGCCAGCGTTAACAGCTACACATGACCGACCCATGGGGTACCCAGAGCAGAACTAAATGACTGCCACGACTCTGCTTCCCGGTGCAGCGCGTCACCGCCAGGACTCCAAGGCCTCCATGAATAACAGATTAAACGGTAAGTTCTTCCCATGAGCAGGGACGGTGTCCTATGCAGGCAGTCACACAGGCCTGAGTCAGCTCTTGAGGGGAAGTGTGAACAAGAGTGCAAATATGTGTTCCAACTCACTGGAAAAACGCCTTTAAAAAGAAAAGATGTTTGGGCCTGGCGGCATGGCCTAGTGGCTAAAGTCCTTGCCTTGAATGCGCTGGGGTCCCATATGGGCGCCGGTTCTAATCCTGGCAGCTCCACTTCCCATCCAGCTCCCCGCTTGTGGCCTGGGAAAGCAGTCGAGGATGGCGCAATGCTTTGGGACCCTGCACCTGCGTGGGTGACCTGGAGGAGGCTCCTGGCTCTTGGCTTTGGATCGGCCCAGCACCGGCTGTTGTAGTCACTTGGGGTGTGAATCATCGGATGGAAGATCTTCCTGTCTGTCTCTCCTCCTCTCTGTATATCTAACTTTGCAATAAAAATAAAACAAATCTTGAAAAAAGAAAGATGTCACATGGTCCGGCGAGGTCTTGGGCCATGGTACACTCCCCCAAATAGCTGTCCTTTACTTCAAAGTTTAGAAAGGAGTTTGAGAAAGTTTGAGCAAAGTTGTCTTTCACTGGAATTTCCTTATGTCTCTGCCCTCAGTTTTTAAAATCTTATTTTTTTTTTAAATGAGATTTATGTTTATTTGAAAGGGAGAGTTGGAGAGAGACTGATTTTTCATCTGCTGGTTCAGTTTCCATGCTCATGACAGCCAGCCCAAAGCCAGGAGTCTGGAACTTGAGCTGGGTCTCTTGTGTGGGTGGAAGGGCCTGAGCACAGAGCCTCTTCCGCTGCTTTCCCAGGCGCATCAGCAGGGAGCTGGCTCTGAAGCAGAGCAGCTGGACTGGTTGGTGCTTGTGTGGGATGAAGGTGCTGCAGGCGGGGGCTTAACCTGCTGGTCCCAAACTGGCCCTTGACCTTCAGCCTGCACTGATATGATACAACTCAGCCATCAAGCATGAGGAACTCAGTCCAGTGCTGTGCGCGTGGTAACGACTCAGCAGTGAGGTGCCACCATCGCCATCGCAATGCCACTCTCTCCATTGGCTTCTGCCCTCCTGCAGACATGGGGCTGTGGCCGAGTCTTCATTCATGAACACAAGGTGGCCGCCAGCTGAATGGGCGAGTGAGTCACTACTCGGTATTTTCAAAGCAACTTACAGTTCATTCTTTGAGAATTGTTTTTGAATATCAACAAGCATTTGTATTAAAGTCAGTGTCAATAGTTCAGTTCTGAAATGGCTTCTCAAAGTGTCAGCTTGCTATTGGTTTACCATATCCTTTCTTTCAGCATTCATTGAAATGTTCATTTATCCCAGGTCAGGTTACTCAAAATGCTGAGTTATTGAAGTTTTTTTCCACCGAGATTCTACTATATATGTGAACTTACAAAGACAGCAGCTACAGGGACCAGTGCCATGGAGTACTAGTTCAGGCCTCTGCCTGCAGGGCCGGCATCCCATATGGGCACTGGTTCAAGTCCTGGCTGCTCCACTTCTGATTCAGCTCCCTGTTTATGGCCTGAGAAAGCAGCAAAGGATGGTCTACAGTACAATGTACCCGAGCGGGAGACTGGATGGACGCTCTTGGCTCCTGGCTTCGGATCGACTCAGTTCTGGCCATTGCGGCCACTGGGGAACAAACTAGGAGGTGAAATCTCTCTGTAATGCTGCCTTTCAGATAAAAAGAACTAAATCTTATAAAAAAACCAGCAGATATACTAAACTGGTAAAAAAGAAAAGATTCTGCAAAACTTCAGGAAAAGTAACTGCACGGAAAACAGTAAGAAAACAGAAATTAATACAAACTGGTTTTCAGCAGGGCAAGTTCTTACAGTTTTATGTTTGGCTTATTTTGTTGTAGGTCACTTTATTATGAGAAATCTAGAAACAACAACCTGCCTCCCCCTGCTTACTTCCCCAAGGTAGACACTGCTTCCTCGGGTCAGGATCACCGAGATGATCCCGAGGCGCCCTGCCCGCTGGCTCCTGTGTGCGCAGTCCTGGGGTGTGCCTTGCGTCAAACGCCAGCGACCTCACAGCCTGATTCAGCTGAGCTGCCTTAGCTCACACGGTTCACGAATTACCCAGGTCGTGCAGCTGCCCAGGAGCTAAGCTATATGAATGGAGCAAATGAAGAACAGCTGGCGGGGAGGAGGGGGCAAGTGCAGGAAGGATTGCAGAATCTGTTTATTTATTTTCCTTTTCAGCCCTCAGCCCTTCACAAGTGGGGCTTGCGATTTCCACATTTCAAGCTTATCTAAACTTGTTTCATGTCTTGCAGCAGAAGTTTCAGAAGAGGGAAGAGTTGACTCAAACCTGGGTGGGAGGACAGCCCACCAGCATGTTGGCTCTGGCTTCTATCCGTAACAATCAGCACCAGTTTATGTTTGGGAAGATGGCCAGTTTTCCAAGTTTCTACCATGCATAAAATATGAGTGCGGTGACTCGTTTAAGTAAATAATAAAAAAGCAGGGTTGATTTCATGAAATGGGTGCAAAAAGCAAAAGACACCCGTACAGATGGCAGAACTGTGGCTGCGGATGCGTCTCACCTTTTCGCGTGCGTGCCCGACGGGTAGTAGCGGGAGCAGGCGATGCCGTCCCAGGCGCAGTACGGGTCCCGAGCGAGGCAGCAGTCGGCACAGGCGCTGCCGTACATGTCGCAGTGGTGGAATCGGACCTGTGCCACGGCCGACGAGGCTCCGACGTACAGCTGCTGCTGCAGAGGGCGGACAGAGACACCTCGATGTTCTCACAACCCCCTGTGCGGGCACTCCCCCAGGCAACCCGCTGCTCTCGCTGGGTAAGGTCCCACTCCTGCCTTGGGTTCTCCAGCACTTCAAGTACTTTCACAGACTCAAATGCAAGAGCGCCAGAGCTGTCAGGCTGAGCCCAACAAGCACTTCAAAACTGTCTAAGCTTCTGTTCGTTATCTAGGCAGAAAGACTGGCACCTGCTAACTTTCTAGATCTTTCCTTAAAAGTCAAGGGGCCTGGGGCCCGGCAGCGTGGCCTAGTGGCTGAAGTCCTTGCCTTGAACGTGCCAGGATCCCATATGGGCGCCGGTTCTAATCCCTGCAGCTCCACTTCCCATCCAGCTCCCTGCTATTGGCCTGGGAAAGCAGTCGAGGATGGCCCGAAGCCTTGGGACCCTGCACCTGTGTGGGAGACCTGGAAGAGGTTCCTGGCTCCTGGCTTCGGATCGGCATAGCATCAGCTGTTGTGCTCACTTGGGGAGTGAATCATCGGACAGAAGATCTTCCTCTCTGTCTCTCCTCCTCTCTGTATATCTGACTTTCCAATGAATAAATAAATCTTTTTTTAAAAAAAAAGTCAAGGGGCCATCCAAACGGAGATTGAATAAATAAGAGATCTTTCAATATTGTTATGAAAACTGAGAAGACCAGCTGGACGTATATACATTCTTCAGTTATATGGGTCACGCACTTGCTTTATGTAGATGCAAGGGTGTGGTAAAAATTGTGCTGTACTGAGCATACAGGTCAAGTGGCAGAGTTTAACATCCTGCTCCCGTTGCTTAAACACGCGCAGTGATTCCCAGGTGTCTCTGAGACAATGTGCAGCAGCTGTGGGTGAAGCGAGGAGGCACTGACACACACAGCTCCCGACGTCCTCTCGGTTTCTCTCTGCCCAAGCTGGGAAAGCCACCCGGGAGTCCTGTCCTGTCTGTAGGACTCTTTTCCCCATGGAAATGGAAGGGGAGGACATCTGCTAAATCTAAGTTACTGTCTGCTTTTCTGAGAACCAGTGAGGGACGCAGGAGGACAGCTCAGAGCGCTCATGGAAAAACGAAATGAAAACATTAGGGGCTAGGGCTGTGGTGCAGTGGGTTAACTGCTGCTTCCAATGCTGGCATGCCATGCTGGAGTGTCAGTTTGAGTCCTGGCTGCCCCACTTCCACACCAACTTCCTGCTAACAGTCCTGGCGACGCAGTGGATGAGGAAACCACAACTAGTTTATATCTGATCACATGAACTACTACTGTTCCTACCTCCATGGCCCCTAACTCACAGGTGGTGCGAGCACACACACACACACACACACACACACACACACACAAACTTACTCTCTTTGCGGAGATCTCCATAGAGATAATAGGAACTGGATCCTGAAATTAAAAGAACAGTTGCCTTTTAAAGAAAGGAAATAGAAGATTATCTTCCTTAGTATAGTTGTAAGTTACCTGAAATCTAATTAGATATGTGAGTTTCAAGAGATTCTTTCTAATGGAATGGCGCTGACAAGTAACAAAGCAGCAGTGGATAGTCCAACTGGCTGACTGAGGAATGCACTTCTTGTGTTTACAGTTAAACATTACCGATGTCTCAAGTTATCTTTGAGTAAGACAATACAGTCCTGTTCTTTCTAGCAAAGTAGTTGAATGGTAGAGCAGTTGTGCCTTTGACGAGGTGTTACTGTCGAAGCACCATGCACCCTTTCACTACGTTATCCTACGTCTCAGACAATTTCTTTCCATTGGGATGATTGTGTTGAATTACTAAGAACCCAGGATTCCCTGAACGGATGAATGACTTGATTTTCTTGGCACTGGAACAAATGAAGGCCGAGGAATAGAGTCGCTTGCAGGCCTGTGCTTATTTGAGGGCCGTTGAGACCAGAGCATCCCGCCAGCTCAACATGCACCCGGAGGACCACCAGCAGGGGGCGTCTTCCCTGAGACCGACTTCCCTTCCAAGAATTACAGATTCATTTCATCCTGTATGTCAGTGCATTTCTTTCTAATATTTTAAACTGCAGAGCCCTTTCTACATTTGCACACTTTCATTTATTCATTCAATCAGGCAACTGTGCTGCTTAAAGGATATGGTGCTGGTTGCTTTAATATGAAATGATATCTCACATAGCAGACTGGCTGTTCTGGGGACACATGGGCGTCAGCTTTTGTCTGGGCAATGTGGTGTCCAGGACAGCCAGGTCCACATGCCCTGCTATTCATTCATCAAACTTTTTCATAATTCCCATTACACCCATATATAGCCAAGCTTCCTAAGTCACAGATTCCGCATTTCCCACTTTGCTGCCTGGTACAGGGTGCAGCCCTAGGACCCACATTTGCTTTCACAAACATCACCATGCAGAAATCAGCAACAACCCAGAGCAGCTGAATGCACGTGTTCCCAGCGGAGGTCTGGCAAGCTGGCACTGTGCAGTGCCGTTTCAGCATCTGTCACATTGCGACATGTCCTTTTCATGGACTACTGAGTACCATGTCCATCACATGTCTGGGCCTTTTTTTGCTGAGTGTTTTGCTGTTTTAACCTAAACACAGTGCTGTAGTGTTACCGAGTGTCTCCAGTTCCCAGAGGCCGTGATCTGTCAACTGCTGAGAAATTTCTGTTTCGTAAGCTTCATTCAGGTGTGAATTATAATACTGCTGGCTGTACCTTCAAAGTTAATCAAAAGTGTGCAAAGATGTCTTTAGGCAGACGCACACAAACAAGGTTACATATTGATTAGTCATGTACCCTACTGTCAGAAATTTCAGGGAGCTGACCCAGCACCTTCCCAGAGCCAACAGTCAGCGATCATGAGTTCCATGTTCATGGTCACCTTGGAGACCTGATTGCTGGAGCGTTGACACCTGCCTGTGCAAATGTACATAACGCACACACGTACACGTGCTTGCTGTCATCACGCCTAAGCTTCCACCATCGTGTTCTCTTTCTTTTCCTCTCCAGGGAATTCTCCGTGTGGTTAATATCCAACAATGCCCTGGGTTGCACAATGGGAGCATGCCTCCTGTTGCCAGTGGCGACACCTTTGGACGAGAGGTGACTTGGCAGCGACAGCCTGGAATCCACCCGTGACCCACGTGTTATTTCTCTGCAGTCCCAGTTGTGCACTGGGATTCTTCACTGGGAGGTTTGGCTTCTTCAGTTGAAAAATTTATGATGATCAAACAGGCCTTTCCATCGTCACTTCGACCTGCTCTCACCTCACAGCATCCCCGCCAGGAAAAACTGACACAACGGATGTGTACGGCCCATCCACATTCACCTTAGCACACACATTGGGGCTGTATTTTTGACAAAAAGTACCTTGAATATCTGAAGTTCTTCTAGAATTACTTCTTCCATTGACTCTGTTTCTTGGTTGTAAATGGTGATGACTTTCAGTACAATTCCATTGTCTGTAAAAAAGCAGGGAAACTGAAAACTACGCACACACTGCTTTTCAACAATGAAAAAGTAATGTGCAATGAAAAGACTGAATTCCAGCAAGATTTGCAACTTAGTTGCATAAAATGTTTTTGCCAATAAAAAAATCATATTACTACTTATATATGTGTATTTTTCAATGAACAAAAAATACGTGTTTAACCAATGATTTAGATCAGGTAGCATTTATACCCATATATTTACAAATAATTCTGTCTTTAAATACAATTATATGTTCAGAAAATAATATCTTCTGAAATTGTCAAATAGGAGAAAGCCACCATATTATTATTATTATATATTATTATAGTTCTTTCTGTGATATATGACGCAAGAATACTTTTCACATAAATCTGCTTCAAGGTTAAAAAAGTTCGACATGTATCTTTCAGGAATATTCTAAGCAACATATCATGGAAATCACACACACACATACACACATGCTTATATTTATACTCACATGGTTTCAATGAGGAAAAACTGAGTAGCCACCAGTTCAAGAAGCATATGGCTCCTCTTAAACCCGATTTAACTTCCATGATTATCAACTATTTTGCAAATTTATTTTCATATTTTAAATATCTATCTTTATCCCTGATATTCTAATCTTGCTCCTTCTAATAAGTTCTCAGCAAGACGACAGTTCCTACATCAATATCTTGGTGTAGAGCTAGAACCGACAGCTCAGCTGAGTACTCTGGAAGTGCTGACAGCAACTGTTTCCGTGGTGTGTGAGCGGCTGGTTGACAATGATCAGACAGAGCTTGTAGTTCGGTTAATAAAATCAGACTACAGTTGAATAAATAATAGTGAGTTGTATTTCACATTAACTAAAAGAAATTTAAATCTGTATGCTGAAAACTAACCATACATATTAAATATTACACATTTTATGTCAAACAAAAAAGCAAAGCTGTGCATGACAGTCACCCCACAGTGCGTGGCTCTCCGGCACTTGTCACTTCCTTTTGACGGGTTTTGGTCCCTTTTATCCAACTCCCACTGCGAATCTTCATTTGAAAGGAAGTCCCTCGCTCCACCCAGTCCTCCTTGGTGCTGCGTTACAGACTGCCTCGAAAGAGCCGGAAGAGCGGAGCTGGGGGCTCCAAAGACAGAGCTCGGACACTGCAGGGCTGGCTACACTCTTTCATTGTTCTGGAAAGAGTCGTGTTTTCTTTCACGAGCTACATCTAACACATGAGACCAACTGAAAGGAAAAATCTGAAAATTTCACTTTTGAATATGCTCAAGTGGTGATGGCGCTGTTGCCTGGTAGCTGGCATCAGCTGCCATGACTGCCATCCCGGGAGGAGTCTAGGCTCCCATTTTGGCTAGCAGTTTGCAAACAGGCTGCTAAACCAGAGGTGACGTATGGATGACTCTTCAAAAAAGAGTTATCCCAGCTATCAGTTTGAAGAGTCAATTTACCATTGCCCCATCAACCTTGCCAAGTACTCTTCCAACTGCTGGTCAACACTATGGCCCTTTCAATGTCTACTGGATCAGCCCCTTGGGAGTTCACAGAGAGTTAGGCACTGGGTCGTGTTTTTACCTGTCCCAATAAATAAGACGTCATACTGGCCGTCCTCGGCTTCCACTCGGTCCACTGCTATCTGCTTCAGGTTGTACTTCCCGTCTGTTCTCACCAGAATTGGCTTTTTGTGGGCGGGCTTTATGGGCTGGTACATTAGAGGGTGGCTTCTGGCAAACCGGATGGCATCATCGGGGTAGTCTTTCGTGGTTCCGTACCGTCCTCCGTTCACTTGGCTGGCACACTGAAATACAAGTGGATTAGAGAACTCCTGCCTTAAAAAGAAACTTTTATGATCAATTACAAGAAGTTACAAAAACTGTATATGTTTAATTCCATATGCATTTAGAAATATTTAACAACCAGTTATTAACTAAATGCACCTTGCATTATAAATTACAGAGGGAGATTAAATGATTTCAAACATGCCGTATGAGAAAGATACAGGATGCTGGTGGAACCCTGGAAAAATGGATTGTATTTAATACCACGACAGTTAGAGGGGTGTAAAAATGTCTACTATCATAAGTACCCCACTCATTTGCTTTTTAGCACTGTGGGTTAAAATTTGAAGGTGAAGACTGCACTCGGTAGAACGAGAAATCCACCCGATGTGCTGGGGCTTCACTCCGAATTCAGAACTGGGACTTAGGCAGCTTTCCTGCTACTGCTGAGGGTTCCAGCTGACTCCCTGCCTCTAGGCCCCGGGGACATTCCTGTGCTTCCTAGGAGCCTTCCTTGGAGCAACATGGGTGGGTGTGCTCCGAGTGAGCTGCAGTTCCCATCAGCAGAGACAAATAAAATCCACTTATGTCTTCCTGAAAGTTGCGATTCCAGGCCCGTGAAAGTGAGATAGAGCAATTGAGGGCATGTGCACGTTGGCATCAGCAAAGCCTTACCCTATCCGTGGAGGCAAGGCTTACTCCCACTGTGGGTTTTAGCTCTATAAAAAAGCTCAATTTCTGCTGGACCTGGAAGTACGTATGCAGTTGGTAAGGTGGTGGGGTTTCACCAGCTGTTCATGCAAGGCTTCGCATTGACTCAAGGGCCATTTCTATTGTCATCACCGGGCACGTGTGATGATCTAGCAATTTCCCAAAGCAGCTGGACACAGGACCCCAGATACAAAGTCACTGCTGTCATCACCATCAGGGTTGGACAGGCAGTAGGGAAGTATACAGCATCAACTTCTAGGCGAATGGTAGAACCTCCCGTTGTCTGGTGACCCTTCTGTATGGCCCCTCGTCTTCTAGGAGATCCGACGTGATGTGAGCCAGGTGCTGAATGCTTGGGGGGCAGAGAAAGAGCTCCCTTCTGATCCTCCACAGGGGGTTAGTGAGATGCTAGGCCTGCCTGGGCAACTTGGAGGCTGGCCCAATATTAGAACATAAAAATCTGATCACACCCTCTTCTTTGGCAATTGCATGTGGTGCTAATTCTCACTAGGCTGCGGGGAACTTGACGTTCATTTTAGCGGAGGTCTCTGTGCTCACTAGCACCCCAAACTCTCAGTGGGATCTGCTTGGCCCCACTCATGCTGACAGGCACTTGCTGCTAAAATACATCCATTATGGGCTGTTCTTATTATTAAATAATGAGCACACAACTTGATATGAGTTTTTTGCCGTGCAAGTCACTCAGTATTTTAGGCACATGATCCCTTAGTTGTTTAATTATAAAGCACATGAAAGAGTGAGCCAAGTGTTAGCAAGAGAGCATGCAGATGCTGAGAAGCCTGGGTCAGGTGCGAGACTCACAGAGCCAGGTCTGGGATACGGAACCCGTCCCTCGTACAGGGACCAGTGGTACTCAGGTCCTTCTTTATGTGCGTACGGCCCGTTGAAGGCTGCCCGGATGCTGGACATGTGGTAGACACATATGGCGTGCCCTCTGAAGATGTTACTACAAATCATAAAAAAGGGAGATGATTATCTTGCTGGGATGTACTAGCAGGTCACCTTATCAAACACTTTGGCACACACACACTACAATCAAGTCTCCTAGGGAAACCGGTGATGATTTCCCCACAGGATATTCTAGAAATATTATCCATCACAACTCACTAAATATTAAGCTCTCCTGCTCTTCTAATTTATTATTTATTATAGTTGAAATTTACATTGTTAGAAAAAGGTGGTTGTGTCGCTTCAGTTTGTTATCGTCAAACCCTGCATCGTATTTTGGCACTTATTAGCAAAGTTAAATTTGTCACTTTGAGGTCTACCTCCATTTGTGTAGTTCCACCTTCCAAGTGAGCAATGCTCTCTTAGTCATGACGGCGGTGTTAGGGCTTGTGCTACAGACTCCTGGGATTCTCAGCGAGTAAATCAAAGGAAGAGTTTAGAATCTTACAGAAGCGGAGGAGTTCCGCTTTGTTAGCATGAAGTCACACAAACAGGAACGCACAGTGGAAAGTACCGACAGAAGAGGCTAAACTTGAAATTCAAATTCTATAAAGCTTAGATCTCTCACTTGCAGAACTAGGAGCAACTAAAATGCTTTTGTTGATAAGACTTCAATTTTTAGAGGATGAAGACAGTAGCTGACTACTACGGGGTAGTATTTTTAATTGGACTATGCAAAAGGATATATCTATTTTTAAAAAAGATTTATTTTATTTTTAATGGAAAGTCAAATATACAGAAAGGAGGAGAGAGAGGAAGATCTATTTGCTCATTCACTCCCCAAGTGGCTTCAACGGCCGGTGCTGCGCCAATCCGAAGCCAGGAGCCAGGAGCACAGAGCCTCTTCCAGGTCTCCCATGTGGGTGCAGGGTCCTAAGGCCCTGGGCCGTCCTCGACTGCCTTCCCAGGCCACAACAGGGAGCTGGATGGGAAGTGGGACCACCGGGATTAGAACCGGCGCCCATATGGGATCCTGGTGTATACAAGGTGAAGACTTTAGCAGGTAGGCTAACGTGTTGGGCTCCACAAAAGGATATTTTTAAAAGATTTAAAATAATACCCCCGACTGTGGGAGCCAAATACATAGTATTTGTCGAAGTGTTTTGTAAAATACAAGATTCTATGTAAACATGACATTTCATGTACCCCGAGACACCTGTGGCACAGCAGCCTTGTTTCTGTTTAGGGCGTTAATTCACATATTTTAAAACAAACCTTGAAGCAACTAGAAATGCCTGGGACACTGGGGAAACCAGGGCTAGTCTCTCAATAACGTGACGGCCACCCTTTGGTCTCTACCAACCTTCCAGCCTGGAACCTCAGGTTGAACAGTCACAAGTGAGGCCAGGGAAGACAACCGTGGTTTGGATTTCTCTGGAAGATCTCATGTGTTGTCAGGACAGTGGGTGATAAACTGCTCAATAAACCTCAGTCATTCTTAACAATGATGCTAAACTCAGCTGATTGCACACACATGTTAAAAGCGGCAAGCAGATGATCATTCTGTCATAGATTAGAGACGAGAGTTGGCGACAGCTTCTATTCACCGAGTAAATGTCCCACCTGGTGGTGTTGAAGAGTCCAAATATCACTGGGTTTTTATGGTCTCTGGTGTGTAGTAAGAACACATCCTCTGAAAAAGTAAAGGCCATTCCATCGCTTAGCATTTTCAGTTCTTTGCATACAAAAAAAGACATTCACGCAAAATGGTTCAGAACCTGCTGCAGAATTTAAGACAGAAATTTCCATATACCATAATTCAAGCACGACCCAAGTGTGACAGAGTAGTTCACCTGGTTGTTCTGTGTGACCGTGAGCTGAAGCACAGGAGGAAGCCAAAGGCATCAGCTCCAAGCTGTGAGCTGGGGTGCTCTGTCTCCCCCATCCCCATGGTGACCTGGCCCAAATCCCGAGTGCTACGGACGGCTCCACCCACCGGACAGCCATACTGACTTCCTCAACAGCACTCACCGAGTTCATCAAAATACGTGTCGATCCCATTCGCGCCCGGCACCGAGCACACCAGCCTCGCCTTGAGCAGAGTGCTCCACTTGTTCACCAGGATTCTCTGCCCGCCCACGTCGTTCTGCCAAAACAGAAGGCAGCAGGTGAGCAGCCAGGAGCCGCTGCCACCAGCAGCCTCCCAGTAATTTAACACGCACACGCCTGCCCCGCACAGGTAAGTCCAGAGTAATCCCCAAACAACGCTGAGGAGGCCGCTTCCCACTTTCGTGCATGCTGTCTCATCAGGGCATCTCACTGCGGGGCATGCAGTACATTTTCCAGGTGTCAAATGATAGTGACAGGATAGTCTTCCCCAAAATAAAGCTGTGCCTTCGAGCAGGCAGTGGCTTTATTGGTTTATCAAGACAATGTGCCGAGGCTGGAACGATGGAATTCCCCATTCAGTGAAAAAGCTTGAAACACACACAGATACACATGAACATACATGTCACATATAAACACATGTGCATTCAGCCCTCCCAGCACACACCTACACGTTATATGCACATTACATACGTGAACAATCTATGTATGTACCTATCATCTACCAATCTTGTATTTGTCTATCGTCTTCAAAGAGTTAATGAAAAATGGAATAAAAGTATAAAATTTAAGTTCCAGTGAATTCCACATACTTCAGTAAGGGATGATAGCAGCCCTTCCATCTTGCAAGGAACAGAGCCTCGGGACTTCACCATGTCTAGGATGTGTGTTTCACATGATGAACCCGAAGGGAAATGGGTGCCTTCTAACTTTTCTAAGTTTGGAAAACAACATGTCAGAAGGAGCCAAATCAGGACTGTAAGGTGGATCTACTAACCAGCCAGGGCAGCACTGTGAGGACTGTGGGCGAGCAACTGGGGACGGTTTCTTGAACTTCTCGGCTCCAGCTTTGGTTAACTTTCTCAATACTCTCCCAACAATTGGCTGTTACAGCGCTTTGGTCTTTCAGAAGCTCAGGCAGCAAAGTCCCTCAAGCATCCTCCCAAAGTTGTAGCACGACCATCTTGTTTGGCTGGCCCACCTCTGCTCTGATTGGGCCACCTGACTGGCCTGCCTCTGCTCTGCTCTGATTGGGCCACCTGACTGGCCCGCCTCTGCTCTGCTGTGATTGGGCCACCTGACTGGCCCGCCTCTGCTCTGATTGGGCCACCTGACTGGCCCGCCTCTTCTCTGCTCTGATTGGGCCACCTCACTGGCCCGCCTCTGCTCTGATTGAATCACTTCAGCCTCTTGGCAGCCATTGTGTTATTTGTGCTTCCTCTTTTGGAAGACAGGCATAAAGCCTGCCTGTATCTCCTCTCTACTTCCTCCAGGAAATGCTGCAGTGTCGTGCTGCCTTTGTTTGAAAATTTCCATTGAAAACTCTCTGCTCTTGTGTGCAGCTGATCTGGGCACCAGTGTGTTGGTACCCACTGAGCAGCTTCTCCAATTTCAGGTTTTTAACCACCGTGTTGGTGCTGAGCCGGTTAGGCGTCCATGGTGCTGGGCTGCTGTTGATGAGCAGTACGGCAGCTGGACCTGGGCCAGACTCGCGTCTTCTTGCAGAGCATGGGGGCGGTCTACTGTGGTGGGCTGCCTCTCCAGCTCGCGCTTGGATCTTGTTCTTTCTTCAAACGAGTCACCCATTTGTGCACTGCTGATTTCTCTGGGGACTTTCTCCTCGTTAACCTTTTTAAAGCAGCAATGATTTCACCATTCTCCCACTCAACCTTCACTCTCAACTTGACACTTTTTCTTCGTTCAATTTTAGAATTCACGTTGCTTTGACAGAAACTCTTTAAGCATTGATTTCTTCCCCATCTCAACGCCCCAAACCAGACCTGCCCAGACACGTCACAACAAGCTAGTAGGGGTCTATTTGTTGCGAACCAAATTTGAAATCCATGCTTCATTTTTCATGAACCATTTGAAGACCTTTCATATAATCATTAAAAACCATTTCTGAAATTTCATTTTAAATATCTTCTTAAATGCCAAAACAACCTTACATATGTAATGTTATTAACATTCTCTTGACATATGTAGGTATTTCAAATTGTTTTGAATATTCCAAAATAACCCATCTGAAAATTTCAACAAACTACAGATTTTTTCTCCTGTAGAAACAATCAACTAAACTGTCCACAACCATGTGAATCATTTACACTGTGGGATACAACAACAAGAATTTTGGTTTGATTCATTAAAAAGCAGAGTTCAGAGCTCTGGGTGGGAAGCAGCATAGGCTACTATTTCTTCAAATGGAATTTGAAGAAACTATTTGAAGAAACTATTTCTCAAATGGAGAAAGGCCTTCAGATGCAAACCTTTTCTAAGACTTCTGCTAGGTAAGAAGAGTTTCTAGAAGCACAGTGTGAAGATAGGCACAGGGCACAGGGCTGCCAGGCAGTCCACAGAACACCAGGACACACTTTGCAGGAAAATCTGCTAAGCATTAGCAACGCCCTGGCTGGTACACAAGCTGTGAGGCACGCGAGCTCAGGGAGAAAGAAATGGCGTCCTCACCGCGCAGAGGCGTCCCACCCTGGCGTAGACCGCGTGCCCGCTGTTCTCTGCTTCCAGGGCCTTCTCAGTGAAGAAGAAATAGACCTTGTTGTCATCGCGATCTTCATTGTCAGGGACCATGTATGAACCCACAAATTTTGGTTCTACAAGAGGAAAAAAACAAGAAGCAAAACAGATAGGCACCACAACATAATACGCTGTCTAAGAAATGAGGTGCTTACCTGATTGCTTGACTCCAACCCTCATTGCTTTGTGAAGAAATAGAATTTTCCTTGAAATTTTTAACTAAGCGTTAAAAACCATATAACCATCTCCATTGTATTTATATATCAATGAACATTCAGGAAAATTAATCTGAAGAAATTTCATTGGAAATTGAAAGTCTTGGAGAGAAAAAACAATTCTGAGATGGCGAACTTCGAATGCATTTGAAGAAGGTCCGACAAAAGTGAGTGGAAGTGTAGCAAAGTAGTATTGAAGTAGTTGATCAGTTTTTTTTTTTAATTTGTATGTGATCTGTCTTCCAGGCTAATACAATGAAGATGATTATAGCTTTCTTTTTATTTTTTTATTTGAGAGGGAGGTGGTGGAAAAGAGAATGAGCGCTCCGTCTGTTGGTTCAGTCCCCAGGTGCCTGCCAGGGCTGGGGCTGGGTTGGGCCAGAGCCAGGACTGGAAGCAACCCTCGTGGGTGGCAGGAGCTCGGTAACATGAGTCCTCACTGCTGCTGGCAGAGCCTGCCTTGGACACAGCTGGAGTCAGGAGCCTGTCCCAGGAATGCAGGCGTGGGATGCAGGCTGCACGCCTGCTCCAGCTGTAGTTTCGCAATAGAAATCTGGCTTTCGCAGTTCTGTGTTTGTAGTCTAAGTGATGTGAGTAAGTGACTTTTGACTAACATGGTCTACAAAAATTTAAAAAATTGAATTAATTTGAGGGGGAGAGGTGGAAGAGAGTACGCATGCAAACATACTAGCAAGCTCCCAACCACTGGATCACTCTTCAAATGCCTACACCCGTGAGGGCTGGGACAGGCTCATCTACGCAGCTCACTGCCTGCTGCCTCCCAGAGTGTGCACCAGAGGAAGCTGGGCTGCAGAGGGAAAGTGGAGCCTGAATCTTGAACCCAGGTACTCAGACACGGGATGTAGGTGTCTCAACTGGTGTGTTTGCTGCAAGGCCAAATGTAGTGTACTCATTTAATGGTATGTGAAATATTTAATGATAACATGCCACCAAAGCCGATTAGGAGGTTAATAATAATGGTGAAGATGCTCATCACAAAGTGATGTTCTAGTTCCTAGAGTTCCTAGTGTGTCAACATATCACAGTTATTTCGTACAAAGAATCCTTTACCAAAGAACACGCAGTGACACCGCTTTTCTCCAAAGTGTAAAGTGATCCTATTGAAATACGCAAAAGGGGGCTGGCGTTCTGGCAATATAAGTGCTGTGTGCTCCGCATTCAACCCAGCTCTCTACTGATGGACCTGGGAAAGCAGCAGGGAATGATCTGAGTGCTTGGGTCCCCGTGGGGCCCTGGATGAAGCTCCTTGCTTCTGGCTTGTGTGGCTATACGGGGAGGGAATCCGTGGCTGGATTAGTCTCACTATATGAATTGGTAACTGGTAAGAGTAGATAAAGCACCTTATTTCGCCCCACCTTTCAGACATTTGCTTGGTCTTCTTTATTTAAACCCTGATTTCTAAGTATTGCTGAAAGGCCAATTGATTCTATAACTGGGACAATCTGTGCTGATATAAAATGACATACATGTCATAGGGACTATTTCAACTGCAGAAGCATTGTGAGATGTATAAAAATTGTGAGCCCCACTCACAGTACTCCTTCTGCCAGCACGGCAGGATCGTCTGTCCCCAGCGCGTCCTCACTGCCTGCTACCCGAAATCCTCTCCCCTCAACTCACCCTTCAGCAGGCGCTCGTCGTCGTGCTCCGTGCGGAGCGGGCCCAACCGGCCGAGGCTCCGGAAGATGGCAGCATCTCTGCCCCAGTAGTCGCTGTAGAGCCCTGTGAACAGCTCGCTGCCTGCGGGGAGCACCGGGGAGACACAAATGAGCCCGCTGCTCGGGTCAGAGGAGTTGGGCTGCAAGCACTCGGAACATGTCCAGAGTGGACGGGCCTGCAGTCATGTGACATTAGGGCAGGGCGTGGAGGGGAACAGTCAGGTCCCAGGGTTGCCATGCCAACTCTGCTACGCGGAAGCAAGGTGTACCCTCTCGGTGCCTCAACCTCCCCATTCAGAGCAGGAAGAACAGTTGGTGAGGAAGTTCAAGAAGAGCAGCAAACATCGAGGTCTACTTGTGCCAAGTAACTCGGTCTCATCTACATGTTGCCAGCTAATTCGCATCCTTCTTGTAATAAGGAATCGCACTCATGGACACTGAACGTGGGCACTTAAAAATCTGTCGCCGCTGTCTGTAACCTCTTGGTCTTTAACTTGTAGGTCCGCAGCTCAGTGCTAGGTGGGGAAGGAGTGAGAGCTCAGAACGGACTCAGGCAGTCGCTGCAGGACTGGAGCAAGGTGTAACATGTAGCGAGGCTGGAGACTTAAACCCGAAGAGTTGTGCAAAGATGAGCAGTCTCAACAGAGTACAATGCATTCTTTAGAACCAGAAAGACATGAAATAGTTCAACAGAACAGAAAAACACCGCAATCCTTGCTAAAGGAATAAAAACAGGTCGGGGTACAACTGCACCCCAGAATGACCAGGATGTGGCTGCTCTGTCCTCAGCAGTACCAAGGACAGAGGCCATGCCGTCATCAGTGGGGCTGGAACCCAGTCCTGGCTACCCAGCTCAGGTGCCCGGCACAGACAACCGACGGTTGGAAAACCTCCTGTGCAGGCTGGCAAAACTGACACAAACAGATAGAGACCGTTTTGAAAAATTAGTTTAAATGTATTTTTGAAGGGGGGCTGGGCTGAACACATAATTTGTATAAACAAGATTTCTTAAAGATGATGAGTTTCCCATTTGTTATTTTTAGATATTTTACTTAAGGAAGGTGTTTTAGGTACCTTGTGATGGGAAAATAATCTTTACATTAGTCCACATGCATTTGTCTCATTTTGGAACATTGCTTCAAAGTTCCCTTGTCTTAATCAATGATAGAAAATTGACTCATGCGTCCTAGGAGCCACTAGATGGCAACCCGACGGTATCAAATCACACCGTTTGCAGGCAGGTTATTTGCACAAAAGATGCTCTGCTTCCCATCTCAGCCAGTTTCCCTTCTTGCACTCAGACAAGAAAGAGAATAAAATAGTAAGACAATTCAAACAACACAGTGTGAACTGTGCGACTGAAGCTAGGCAGGTGCTAAAACTGTATCAGTGCGTAAATGGAGGTACATGTGTTTCTCTGGAATGTGTCAGCTTTTCCTTAGAAGGCAGATTTTTTTTCATATCTTACTGGTTGTGTGAAAAAAAAAAGAAGCAAATTCATGTTATAACAGGTAGGAATTCAGTCTTTCAAAATACTGTCCTAGGAGAAATAGAAAAATAATACTTTAATAAAAATGACAAGATAGAACTGTGGGTAGATGGGTCCAGTGGCGTGGCCTAGTAGCTAAAGTCCTTGCCTTGAATGCCTGGGATCCTTTACGGGCGCCGGTTCTAGTCCTGGCCGCTCCACTTCCCATCCAGTTCCCGGTCTGTGGCCTGGGAAAGCAGTTGAAGATGGCCCAAAGCCTTGGGACCCTTCACCCATGCGGGAGACCTGGAGGAAGTTCCTGGCTCCTGGCTTCGGATCGGCGCAGTATTGGCCGTTGCGCTCACTTGGGGAGTGAATCATTAGACGGAAGATCTTCCTGTCTGTCTCTCCTCCTCTCTGTGTATCTGAGTTTGTAATAAAAATAAATAAATATTAAAAAAAAGAATTGTGGGTAGAAATACTATGTAATAGCAATTAAATGGACAGAAACATCCTTCCTAGGCCTGTTTCTGAGCGTTCTCAGTCTCCAGTGGAGCACTTTAAATGTCTGACTGATATTACTAGCGAAAAATCTGTGACTCAATAGTTTGGTATTTTGTAGAAATGATACCTAGAAAAAATATTTTCATGGAAGAAAAAAACCAAATTTCATATGAGGAATAACATGTTGTGAGTTTAAAAAAACTTGTTGCATTAAAAAAAAGATTTATTTATTTTTTTATTTGAAAGGCAAGAGTTACAGAGAGAGAAGGAGAGATAGAGAGAGATCTTCCATCTGCTGATTCACTCCTCAAATGGGTGTAATGGCCGGAACTAGGCCGGTCCAAAAACAAGAGTTTTTTCCAAGTCTTGCATGTGGGTGTGGGGGCCCGAGGACTTGGGTCATCCTCTGCTGCTTTCCTAAGCCATTAGCAGGAAGCGGGATCAGAGACAGGGCAGCTGTGACTCGAACTGGCGCCCATATGAGATGCTGGCACAGCAGACAGAGGGGATGCCAGTACAGCAGATGGAAGCTTAACCCACCAGGCCACAGCGGGTCCCTAAATTACATTGTAGATTTAGTAACAATGTACTTATTAACTTGTCTTCCACCTGCTAAACAATCCCGAAGGCTTTTTTTAGTGTTCGGTAACTTTTTACTTCATACCATCTTAACTTGACTGAACCTAAATGAACTGACACTAAAATTGTGTAAGAAATCACACGTATGGGAAAGGCTCTGATCTAAAAACGCCTTTGACTGCCTCTCGAGGCCTTGTAGGTTTGTGAGTGTTGTCCGCTTGGGTGTTTTATCACGGAAATTGTCTTTGTGTGAGCAGATGTTATGTTGTGTGACACACAGGGTGCAGAGCAGCCAACAGGGCAGGGGCGCCAGGTGCCTGTCTTCTCCCGGAGTCCTGCCCGCCATCAGCAGCAGGACTCCGTTTGTCCCTGGTGTCCGCCCGATGCCAAGGCAGGAGGCTGCGCATGCCCCATTCCTGCCGCTTTCCCAATGGGCGCACTGTTTTCACTTCCCCTTTTCTGGCCCTTGTGGGTTCTCGGGTTTCCAGCCAGTGGCTGCTGCCTTTCCACACGGAGTAAGCGATCTCTCCCCGTGCTCGGGATGAAAGCGTGGGGGCAGACGTCATGGCTTCGCTTTGTCGCTTCTCTTTGGAGGGATTATGCCGCAGCTTTGGTGTTCAGCCAGGATGGCGCCTTTGATTTGCCTTTCCCGTGAATCAGGGAAGCAGTGGGCCAGGTGCAGGCCCTTCACCTCGCACTGCGGTGTTATTCAATTTCGAAGGTCAAGGACACTCCATTGGAACCGTCCCTCCAAAGCATTACAGCTAGGCGTGCGGACACCAACCTCCAGGGTGCTGACTTCTCAGGATGTCACCCAGAAACAGGGGCTCCTGATTCTAGTGACAGGCCTTTCAGCATTTGTTTGTTCGGGGTCTGGGTGCATCAGTCCGGAGTCCTCTGAGCGCTCCCAGGAGATGGAGTCTGGCTCAGGCACTCCGCGAGCACGCCACAAGCAAAGCGAACTCACACAGATGGCTAGAGCTAGGAAAATGAACAAGTCCCAGACTCATGCGTTGTGACGTACAGCCCGCCGAGTTCCTCGGCATTTCTAGCACTTATGGATGTGGCATGTCTATGGTTTTGATTCCTACTGAGCCTAAATGGATGTGAACGATTCAGTTCCAATATTTAAGGTGGCTGAGCCTTCAGTTCCACTTACACATACCCTTCCATGTGCAGGTGCACACAAAGGGGTGCATAAAAGAACCCACAATACATTAAAATAATGTCATTTACAGTTTTTAAAAATGTTTATCCATTTGAAAGGCAGAGTTAGAGAGAGGGACGAAGGAAGGGAGGGAAGGAGAGAGAGAGATTGATTTTCCATCTGCTGGTCTCTCCCCCAGTGGCCTCAACAGCCAGGGCTGGGCCAAGCCAGTAGCCTGAAGCTCAGTCTCGGCCTTCCATGTGGGTGTAGGAGTCCAAGCACTGGGCCATCTTCCGCTGCTTCTGCTGGTGCAATTTCAGGGGGCTGGATCAGAAATGGAACAGCTGCAACATGAACTGGTGCCCATAGAGGATGTCAGCACAGTAGGCGGGAACTTAACCTGCTAGGCCACAGCACAGGCCCTTACCATTTTTCTTTAAGCATTATTTAAAAATACTACATCTCTTTCTCTAAGACCCGAGGAACTATGTGACATTCTCATTTTATAGCCTTTTCAGATTATGATGAAGCCCAACTTTTCCCACTCTGAGGGTTATCTGAGAGATTTTTTCCTTTAAATAGATTTTTTAGAAACTTTACTTCAGATGGGGCTGGGGCGCGTGTGGGAGGAGGTTGCAGCAGTGGCTTTTCCAGCTCTAAATCCAGTAGAGCAGCGACTGGCTAGCCAGCAGGGAGAACAGCGATTGGTTAACCATCAGGGAGAGCGGCAATTGGTTAATCAGTAGAGAGAGCAGTGATTGGTTAATCAGTAGAGAGAGCAGTGATTGTTAATCAGTGGGGGAGGGCTGAGACTTGACAGTTCATTCAAAAAGCCTCACCACCTTATTTTTAATTTTCTGCAAAACTGATCCAACATGAGTAACTCTACACGCTGCCACTGTGAAAACAGCTCAACCATGCCTAGGTTGAAACCTCTTAACACCCAGGCAACAGTTGCATTCCCGTTGGCGCCTGCGCCAGGTGCCAGGGACCGTGCCTTCCATACAGGGGCTGTCTGTGCTGGTCTGTCCACATGAGGTGCTGCAGTACTTGGATAAGGGAGCCATTGTCAAACCATCATGGTATAAAAGAGGCAGGAAATAACCGTGACTGTATCTGAAGTGAAGTTTTGAGGCACCATTTTCTACCCATTTCCTTATGCCAACATGTTAGGACCAGTTTGAACCGGTTAGCTCCCTCAGTGTACATTCTAGAGGAACAAGAATTTAGATAAAATAACTTCTGAGTTCTCAACCGCGATGTCTTTCTGACCGAGTTCTACCAAATGCAGAGGAAGGAACCCAAAGAAAGGAATATCAAACACTCCCTTTCCCTAAGACACATCAATACTGAAACACAGATGAGTGACGTGTTAGGAGGGCTGAGCTCCCCGTGTGCATTTTGTGCAAGTAAATGTCTTGTGCAAGTAAAGGTATGAAGTGACAGTCTGTTCTTCCAGAATGAGAAACACACACTTCAGAGCACCTGTTCTTATTTCAGAGTCCAGCTGCTCCAAATACGAAGCAGCATGGCTTGAAACTTAACATCACTGCTCCTAGCACCAGTCAATAGGCATGACAAGGCAAAGGATGGGCAGAGATGCCAAAGGAATGAAAGCAAAGGGGTAACACCATAAGTTCTGAAGTCCTCCCAACTGCCCCGAGGTCTGTAGCAAGATAATTACCAATGAGAGTGGAGGTGAAGGAGGAGCCGGGGTCGTATGGGCACCTGCCCCTTCCTCGTTCAAAGCGGTGCGACTCCAGGTGAAACCGGGTGTCCTTAAAAGGAAACCAGAAAAGCCGTTGGAGATGCGCCAACCGTATATGGATCCAGCTGTCCAGACACCACACCCTGCGTGATTATCACAAGGCTGTGCCCTGCGCGGGGCCTGGCAATGTCCTGCTATGATTTGGGTGCTTGCACTGAGTTTTGTAGACAAGCGGCTGGTGTTGCACACCTGTGCAGATCCTTCCTCCTCTCAGACTGAGCAGGTGATGACGAGGGGAGCAAGCAGCTTTTATCACTCCATCAGGCGGTGCTGGCTATGCCAAGATGCATCAGTTAGACGTTCCAGAGGAACTGGGACTTGCCAAAAAGGGGTTGGTTCAGAGGAGATGGAAGGATAACAGCAGAACTGGGCTTTTAGTTTAGAAATGCCAGGACGGATCTCTGTGTACTAGTCTGGGAAATAATAATGATCATATTTGCTAGCAATAATTTGAAATACGCATTTTCAACACTTTTGACTCTTCATCACATTCCTTTTATAAACATCCAAATATTGACTCATTGAGAGAAATATTAGTACATAATTGCTGTGCTATCTGTTTATTAATAAACACCATGTGTATGCTATTTTAGTTTTAATATCTGGCTTCACAAACATAACAGACTAGAAATAAAGGATGATTACTTGATTGGCTATTTTAGCACTCAGCTACACAAGTTTTTCTGAGTGTTTGCAAATATCAAAATTCTCACGAATGGTTTCTTTTAATCACCTCCATTAAGGGTGCTGTAAGTATTTCGGGTAAATAACAGTCCGGGTAGAGAAGCAGCAACAACAGCCTGTTCTGAGAATTCTGAGGGAGGACAGGCCCTTGCAGCAAACGCTGCTGCTCACCAGGCCTGTGTGAACAGCGCCCTTGGCTCTGAAACCCGCACTCCGACCTGCTGGTCTAAGCGAGCCCTGAGGTGGCAGGGCCGGCTCGATGGGCCGGCTCGGACGCCTCCTTAGTGACTTCACGTTATCTGTTCTGTTTTTGGTTATTTATTTATTTATTTCTAAGGATTTATTGATTTGAAAGGCTGAAAGGCAGAGTTACATAGAAAGACGGAAGGAGAGATCATGGTTCCAAAGGCTGGGCTAGATTCCGTTGAAGCCAGAGGCCAGAGGCTTCTTCAGGGCTGCCCACGTGGGTGTAGGGGTCCAAGCATTTGAGCTATCCTCTGTTGCTTTCCCAGGTGTATCAGAAGCAGAGCATTCTGGACTTGAACCAGTATAGGGGATGCTGGTGATGGCTTTACCCACTATGCCACAATGCTGGTTCCTGTTTTGTTATTTTTTTTTAAAGATTTATTTATCTTTATTGCAAAGTCAGATACACAGAGAGGAGGAGAGCCAGTGTGATTCTGTCCATTGATTCACTCCCCAGCTGACTACAACGGCCAACACTGTGCCCATCTGAAGCCAGGAGCCAGGAACTTTCTCCAGGTCTCCCACGTGGGTGAAGGGTCCCAAGGCTTTGGGCCGTCCTTGACTGCTTTCCCAGGCCACAAACAGGGAGCTGGATGGGAAGTGGAATGGTCAGGACTAGAACCGGTGCCCATATGGGATGCCGGTGCATTCATGGTGAGGTCTTTAGCTGCTAGGCCACTGTGCCGGGCCCAGATTCCTGTTTGGTTATTCTTAATACACTTCCTTTTTTTCCTCTGCAACACCCTAAAGTTATCATCCCATTCCTGCCATGTGAAAAAACATTTCTTGAAAATGTCAATTTCTTAGACCTCTCAGGCTGATCCTACAGCTCCAGGCCTTAAGCGTAAGTGTTTACAACAAATACGGCCTCCTGACTCACAGGATGGCTCAACTGCTATTTCAACTTCCAACCCCAACCTGTTCAGCAGCTATACTCAAACTAGGGGAATGCACAGGGGAGAGCAAATAGCTTGAGAGGTGCCGGTGCTTCCTTTGCACAGATGACAACTGGTGATGATGTGAAAGAGCAAGCAAAAGCATGGTCAAATGAAAAGCAATTACGCTCCACGCCGCTACCACTTAACTCTGAAGGAATCCCACCCAGATCCTCAAAGCCAACCAATAACATCCTTTGCAGGAAGGAGCCTACACACACGCAGCCAATCCCCATCTGCCCCTTCAGTCACTGCCGTTTTGTACATTCTTTGAGAAAACAGCTGGTAGGGTCTACGCGGCATACTTTTTGAATGCAGTCAAAAATGACTCACAGAAGGCTGGTGGAGACACACCGAGCGGCTGCCTAAAGATTTTCCACAGAGATTCTCTGACACAGCCTCGGATCGTTGCTGACTGATGAGGTTGCTTCATGTAGCAGATGCAAAGTTAGACTCCTGAAACACTAACACGCAAGGGATGAGAGCCCAAGCTGCAGGAATTGTCGCTTCCAGGAAGGTCAACGCACCAACAGAAACCAATCGAAAACGGAGACGGAGAGCATTCTGGGGTCAAGAGGATCTCAGAGCTAGAGGAAAGCAAGTTGCAGATTTCTGTAAGCAGCACTCAGCCTTGGCTCCTGAGGCCGCGGGAGATGTGAGACTGACACGTCAGCGTGGCCAACCCTCAGGACCTGCAGCGGGTAGGGAAAACTGCATTCACCAGTGCCCGGTACCCCACCCTGGGGAATCACTTCAGGGGGACCCACAATCCACAGGAGCTTTCAGTTGTGCTGGAGGCACGGATCTGTGAAATCCACACGGCCGCTCGCCTCTGGGAAAGGAAATTATCTTTTACAACTTTCAGACTTGAAGCTGCGGACATTTATTTGGACCCTGGGTGCTTCACGCTCACCTTGTCGCCAGGTGTCTACACCGTGGATCACAATCCACACCCACACTGGCTGGACCTGTCTACACCGTGGGTCATGGCTCACACACAGCCTGGTTAGACCCATCCACACTGTGGTCGCAGCTCACGCGTACTCTAGCTAGAGCCCTCTCAACTGTTTTCAGCGATTTTTTTTGCCTCACATCTCAAAGCCGGTATTTTGAACATCTTAAAGGAGAAATGTGTTTTTCCTTGTAACGTTAAACACACCCTGTATCCTGCAGTACGTAAGTGTCAGCCCCCTAATGATCCAGGGGAAACATCCACTGAGGTACCCCTGTGCTCTGGATAAATCCCATCGCCTCCATGTACAAGGAGATGAAAGGTTCACGCCCATGTCCCATGGGACACCAGGAGCACATGCGCTGGCCACGCCCTGGCCCACAGCGTCACAGGCACTGCACACTGAGACACTTCTTCAGTTGGAAGAATGTTACAACCTGTTTTGAACATCACAATCACGGCAACAAAGAAACCAATGTTGCTTCGAACTGGACAGTTCTGGAGTCAGCTCCTGGCTCACGCCTTGGCATGCTGGAGGGCGAACACTTAAATGACCGCAAGGTCCCACATTTCTTCTCATGGATGAGAACATGCCATGTTTTTCCGCAGGGGTGTAATATATGTGCTGCTAATTTTCTTTATTGTAATCATGGCTCACCTTTAGAAACAGCAATGTTCAATCTCTACTTTTTACCTTTGAGTTATTAAATAAAGCTGTGAGGGTAAGTCCACCAGTTTTACAAAGGGCCATGAGCATGTTTTTTACTAAAGTGACACTTGATAGTAAACGCTAATAAAGGGCTGACATCTTTCAGGCGAGTGACTGAGCTTCCAGGCATGGCTGGGAAGCTTGAGTTATTCTTTTAAAGCTAGCCTCATGGTTCATGTAAGTAACAGCTTCATTGTGACCTGGCTGCCTGCGACACATCTTCTTTAAGCAGATTATGTGTGATCACAACCTTCAGGTGCCTTTAGTAGACAGTGCAGGGCAGTTAAAATAACAGAATATCAGGAAAAGAAAGTAAAATTAGCTTTCATTTATTAAATTCATGCCTAACAGCATTCTTCTAAAAACAATCTGCTTATGGGTTAAGGCTGCTCAAGTCTAGAAGAGTTTGTCTTATTATTTATTTTTATGAAAACACACACACACATAATTCCCATTTTCAGGACAATTTGGTCAGTGGGTACTTGCTTAGACTCACATGATGGAAACATATAAGCATGTTTATGCAAAAGGGCAACTATATGCAGATAACGGACTGCATATTTCAAAAAATTTGGCCCTGATCATCTGCTTTTGTCTTCCCGACTGACTCCTGAGGTCTCCTGGGAGAAACTGTCCACGCGCTGTCTGCCTGAGCCCTGTGCACCAAATAGAAGATAGAAACCAGAGACAGTCTCCCTACCTGTGCAAACTGCTGGGTCAACAACACCACCTTCACTGAAGCGGTGTTTCTTTCTCTTTCCTGGGTCACCTTTGACTCTGTCAGGCCCGACCCCAGTGCCAGAGCATTGCTTGGACAGCTGTGCTGAGCTGAAACTAGACCATCTGTACAAACTGCCATGCCACGCTGAGTGTGCGTTCTGAGGTTCGCGAGGTCTGTCTGCACAGCAACATTATGATTCTGTTTTTCCTAAATTTTGATTGCCCTTGACTTTAGTACAAAGCATCAGGTTACCAAAACAAATAAAGGAAAAATAGATGCATTCTTGACTTCCCCCACTCAATGAGCATCATACATTTTTACAAACACTTTCATAATTTATGATGGAATCTTATCAGTATTAACACAATTTCAGGTGCACAGAACCATAAATTAGTACTTTGTGGCAATCATTAAAAAAATAAAACCAAAGACTGAAGGATCATAAAGAGGATTTCTTTGATCATCCAAGACCCTGCTAATGACAGCGGATAATCTGAAGGCACAGAAGGAGTGTACTGCAGAGGGACAGTTTGTTAATTAAAATTTCCTTTTCTTCCAAAGGGCTGATTCTTGTTGCTGTAGGAGTCTGTGTGCTGGAGTGTGTGGTCATGAAACTTCAGTCCTGAACTGCGAGTGAGGCCCTGTGTCTGTATTCCCAAACCACCTTGGCATTTGTCAAAATTAGGAATTTAGGATTGGTCTTCTGCTCTGTGGTTTTAAAGTAGCAGTGTTTCTTTTTCTTTTCTTTCATTTAAAGAAATAT